CAATGATACTATTGCCAATAATAGTAGCCCTGGCATGTGTGGCTCTTGGTTGGAGCATCGTTCTGTCCACCAAAAGGTGGCAGGTTCGATTCCAGATCCCCAGTGTGGGAAATGATGTTTCTCTCGCACATCGATGTTTCCTTCTTTCTTTTTTTGAAAATAAATAAATAATAAATAAATGGATTTTTAAAATATATTTTATTGATTTTTTTTACAGAGAGGGAGAGAGATAGAGAGCTAGAAACATCCATGAGAGAGACACATCAACCAGCTGCCTCTTGCACACCCCCTGCCAGGGATGTGCCCGCAACCAATGTACATGCCCTTGACTGGAATTGAACCCGGGACCTTTCAGTCCGCAGACCGACGCTCTACCACTGAGCCAAACCGGTTTCGGCAAATAAATGAATTTTTAAATTTTATTTTAAAGAGGAAGGGAAAGGGAGAGGGAGATAACAGCATCAATGAGAGAGAATCATTGGTCGGCTGCCTCCTGCACACCCCACACTGGGGATGGAGCCCGCACCTGGCCATGTGCCCTGACCCAAATCGAACCGTGACCTCTGGTTCATAGCTTGACACTCAACCACTGAGCCACACGTGCCCGGCTCCCTCTCCCTTTAAAAAATCCGTTTTAAAAAATAGTAGTAGTAATGATAGTATAATAATGCTGATCCTATTAATGATGAAGAGGGAGGAAGAGATGGGGAGAGGAGAGGAGGAAGAAGGGAGACCAGCTAGCTCTACCTCGCCCGGCAGCGCCTATGGGAGTCCGGAGCCCCTGCTCCCGATTCCATCGATTCCGCCCTAGCCAGTGTCCTCCAGTGCACCCACACTCATCAGTCAGTATGGATGGGGTCCCCAGGGTCCGCGGGGTCCGCGGGGCAGGCGGTGACCGGGGCTGATGAGGTGTCGGGCGGTGTCTCTGGCTGGCGGGCCAGAGAGGCCAGCAGTGGGCACCGCCCCCACCCGCCACGCCCAGCGGTCGCGCCGCCCACGCCCTCTGCGCCCAGGTTATAAATAGCCTCATGCTTGTGACCAGGAGCTTGCGGGGGGAGGGGCGGCGCTTCAGCCCCAATGACCCCCAGCGCCCGGCGAGGGCGGGGAAGGGACGGGCACCGATGTGATGATGACGGTGGTTAATGCTGGCGGTGAAAGCAACGGCACTTGGATTCGTTTACTGATGAGAAGGCGGCGGCGGGTTGGGGAGGGAGGAATAGAAAGAGACTGGGTTCTTTCTCCTTCCTCCACGCCCTCTTCTCCCCTAGCTGCTTTCCAGATGCTACCCACTCTTCCGTGCCCCTCCCACCTCCGGAGTTCCCTCCTCCCTCTATCCCACACCTTGCCATGAGCTCCCTACCCTGTGAGTCCTCCCCCCACTCTAAGCCCTCTCCCCTGGCCCTCCATTCCTTTCTGAGCCCCCTCCTCCACCCTGAGCCCCCTCCTCCACCCTGAGCCCCCTCCTTCCTCCGAGTCCCCATGAGGAACATGTACACTCTTTATCCTAGACTCCCAGGGGTCCTGAGCCTGGCCTCTGCCCCCAGAGCTGGACACCCCACCCCTCACCCCCCCAGTCTTCCACTGCTGGTGGACCCCAACAGAGCCCGTGGCCTTCTCTGCCCTCCGAGGCTCAGGCAGTAGGAAAGCGGTTAGAGGAAAGGAGGGGGGACAAGAGAGACAGAGACAGAGGGAGAAGGGGAGGAGACGGAAAGGCAATGACAGGGATGGAAAGAAACAGATTGGGGGCGGAAGGCCGGGAAAGAAACCGCACCTCCCCCCAACTCCCCACCAGGACAGGATGGAAGGCATTGTGCCATTGGCCTCCTCTGAGCCCTGTCCCAGATCTGTAAAAGGGGGTACAGTGGGAGCTGCGGGGTGGAGCCCAGGCCAGCTCAGGCTAGACCCCAGTCAGCCCCTGGATCTTCCCAGGGTCTGGCACCTACCCCCCTCAGTTTCCTCTGTCCAACTCTTCTTTCCCAACTTTGCCAGTTCCCTCCCCTGCCTGCCCTGCCTTGTGGAAATCAACGCATCTCCCTTCCTGTCTCTTTGTGTCTGACTTTCATGACTTGTTATCTCCGCTCCCTTCTTCCTCCTTTTCCTTTCCCTCCCCGTGTTGGTCCCTCCATGTGTGCGTTTTTCTCAGCCCCTCCCTGTCTGTGTCTCTTCCACCCTCTCCCTCTCCGCTCTGTCCCTGCACCCCCTCCCTTCGCAGAGACATCAGGTTGGCAAGCAGGAGCTCCCCCAAGGAGCGAGGCCTGGAGCTCCTGGTGCACACAGACCCTGAGCTCTCAGCCCCAGGGTTGAGGGGCTGGGTGTGTTAGCTCCTTGTGAGCTGGATATAAGAAGGGGCTAGTGGGATGGGGGCTGAGCAGGCATCCAAGAGAGGGGCCTTTGCACGAGTCACGAGTGGAAAAGTGAGGAAGATAGGAAGTGGTGACTGATTTTGGGAGTGGGGGGAGGAGACAGAGACAGAAAATACAGGGGGATACAGAAGGGGACACACACGCATGCACGCACACACATACGCACACACACACGGAGCCAGATCTAGAGAACCAGAGAGAGAATAAGTCAGAGTGAGACAGAGGGGGGTTCACTTCCTGAGGGTCACACAACAGGTAAACGGGACCTGACTCCACATTGAACTGGCGCTCACCTCTCCCAGTCCCCAGCCAAGGGCTCCATGGTCACTCTGCCTCCCAAACCCAAACCCAAGCGGGGGTGGGGGTATGATGCCCCACCATTTACATTTAAATTCTGGGTCTTTTGGAGGCATAGGAAGGCACTCATTTCTTCTCTTGCTCTACAGCTCTGAGGAGCTCACTCAGTACTTCTGTGAGTCCATCCCACCTCCACACTCCCACCCCATGACAGGAGCAAACAGTACCCAATATAATAAAATCCTAATATGCTAAGTGTCTGGTCAACCAGTTTGCCATTCAACCAATCAAAACATACAATGCTAATGATATGCTAAGACCACTCAACCGCTCACTATGATGTGCATTGACCACCAAGGGGCAGACGCTCTGACCAGTAGGTTAGCTTGCTGCTGGAGTCTGGCCAGTCGAAACTGAGTGGGATGGGCCAGACATGCCCTGGAGACCTCCCACTGTCCCTCCCCAGCTGGCCAACCTCCCGTGTCTCTCCCCGGCCCAGGTTGTGCACCAGTGGGGTCCCTCAGCCTGGCCTGAGCCCTCTTGCAATCTGGGATCCCTTGGTGGATGTCAAAGAACTGGTTTCAGCCCAATCCTGCAGGCCAGGCAAAGTGACCCTACTGTGTATGAATTCGTGCACCCAGCCTCTAGTTTATTGATAAATGTTTAGAACCACTCCACTTATTTTCCCCACTGATTCCATTCAGCTGCTTTTACATGCTAGACATTCAAGTGATGGGGATAGAGACATGAACAAAATGGGAGGCTGTGCATTTGCCCAGGAAAAGGCCAAACTTGACTTTCAAAAAAGAAGAAAGAGCCCTAGCTGGTTTGGCTCCGTGGATAGAATGTCGACCTGCACACTGAAGTGTCCCGAGTTCGATTCTGGTCAGGGGCACATGCCCAGGTTGCAGGCTTGATCCCCAGTTGGGGGTGTGCAGGAGGCAGCCAATCAATAATTCTCTCTCATCATTGATGTTTCTGCCTCTCTCTTCTTCTCCCTTCCTCTCTGAAATCAATAAAAATTATTAAAAAAAAAAAGAAGAGTAGAACCACAGATTTAGCCTCCAACTTGCTTGCACAAACTCTTCAAAACATACAAAGGTTCTATGGAGGGGATGGAGGCTACCATTTGTGTAGGAAATAAAGTGATGCTCTGATTGCTGACGCCAGACTGTCTCCAGTGCCTGCTCATGGTGATGGCACCTGGGAGGGAGAGTCGGGGCTGGGGTAGGTAGAAACTTCTTATTGTGTAATTTTTTGACCAGTCTGATTTTGTAACCAACTTGTATTGCCTACTCAAACAGAAACATTCATTTGAAAAGAAAAGAAGGGAGGAGAAATGCGGAAAAGAGGAGGGCTCACTTTGGTAACAAGTTTTGGTGGAGGTGGAGCATGAGTGATGGAGAAAGATGTTGGGGCAGCTGCAGGGTGCGAGAGAAGCTGAAATTGCAAGTTTACTATCCTGTGAGAAAAGGCAGTGAAGAGTGAAATTGCTTTGAATCCCTGAGGGCTGTGGGTTATGTGAAATCTGAAGAGACTGGACAACATGAGACCCTGACATGTATTCAGTTGCACCTTTCACAGATGAATGGGACTGCACAAGCTCTCACAACCTCTTGGCCAGGACTGGGATATCCTGTTCCACCTCCTCCAGTCTCCTTTCAATATTGAACCCCAAACCTTGAGCGTGTTTGATGAGACAGACTGAGCTAGACAATTGGGGAAGAAGTCTTGCTAGCTTGACAGTGGGATGGGGGTTATTGGAAATCGTCTCTTCTCCCTCCCCCGTGACTCTGCCCCACCTCCTCCCTAAGTGTTTCTCCCTCTGTGGCAATCCTGGAGAGCTTTCTGTGGGAGGGCTTTCCTGCCACCAGTCCAGCTCCTTCTTTAGAATTTTGTTCAATGGAAGATAAAACCAAAGCTGGAGGGGAGAAGCTGCAGGGGAGTTTAATGGGGAGGGAGGAGGGGCAGGGATTGCACCCAGGGCTTAGATTCCTTCCGCCCCTAGGTCTGCCTCTGCTCATCTATCTGATGGCTTCTCTCTCTCCCTCTCATCCCTGCCTCCCTCCTCTCCTTAATTTTCCTCCTCTCCTTGTCTCTGTCTTTATCTTGTGTTTTTTTTTTTTTTTTTTTTTTTTTTTTTTGTGTGTGTGTGGGTTTTTTTTCCTGTTTGGTTTCTGCATCTGTCCCTTTTGCTTTCTATCCTTGCCTCTGTCTTCTCTCTGTTTCTTTCTGTGTCTCTCTCATTATGTCTCTATTTTGGTGTCTTTCTCTGTGCCTCTGTCTCTCTCCTCCCTGCCTCTCTCCCCATCTCCCTTCCCGATCTGTCTCTCTCCACAGTCAAAAAAGCCAAGTTTGATGGTGCCCAAGGTGAGTGGCCTCTATACCTGTCCTGTCCTATGTTGTCTGTCTATTTGTCTATCCATCTCTTGGAGAGATGGGGGGAAGGGGGTCTGAGCCATGGGTGGGGGACTCGGGCTGTGTCTGCTAAGCATCATAGAAAGTGTCAGACATGGCTTGTGGTCCCAGCCATCTCCTCAGCCATCCCCTGCAAACCCCAGGGTGGGTGGGGCTCACCCTGAGCCAATGGCCCTTTCCAGGAACCCAAGAGATTGTGTGGGACTCTTAGATCAGGCTCCAGATGGGGAGAGTGAGGCTCAGAGAGATGAAGGTGTAGTCACTTTTGTTCCCATCTGGGGCCCCAGTCTTTTCAGCTAAAAACCTAGGCTGTTGGATGTAGTTATTTTTAAGCAGCAGGATTAGGCATTCCCAAATCCCACGTCTCCCTGCACTAAGGTCCGTCCCTTGTGCTCTGAGGGACTGAGAATGGGGGAAACATGGGGGGCTGGCCCGGAGGCGGGAGGAATGCACAGGAGCAGAGTGGTATGTTGAACCTGAGGTGGCCCCGAGCACACAGCACCTAGGGCACATGTGTCAAACACAAGGCCCGCAGGCCAAATCCGTCCCGCCAGGCCTTGCAATGTGGCCCGCACCGTGCTGTCATCACTGCACTCCGCTGCGTTTCCATCACAATGACAGTTTATGACTGTTCAGTAAACCATTCGGCCCGCGATTTAGGCTGGATTTTAGATTTTGGCCCCTTCTCTGATTGAGTTCGACACCCCTAACCTAGGGGATCACGGCTGGTTGTCTAGAGTTTAGAAGGGGCACCGGGTGTGTCTGAACCCCTACGCTAACGCCTGCTTTCACCGCCACAGAGAAATTCAACACATACGTGACCCTGAAGGTGCAGAATGTCAAGAGCACGACCATCGCTGTGCGGGGGAGCCAGCCCAGCTGGGAGCAGGATTTCATGTTGTGAGTGGTTGGTCCTGCCCAGCCTCACCCCCTGGCACCTTGCTGGTCCCACCAATACGTCCCTTGGTGTCATCTGGGGCTCACCCCCCTCCTCCCTCTGCCCCATGTCCACCCATCAGCTTTGTCTCCAAAGCTCTTCCCAAATCCAGCTCCTTCCTTCTCTCTGGTGCCACCAGCCTCCGCTCCGGCCTCCCGCTGCAATCTGCCTTCTGCAATCTGTTCTTCTCCAGGCAGCCACCGGGATATTTTTAAAACGGCAAATCACATCCTGTCACTCTCCAGACTTGCCTGTGGCTCATCCACCTCAGAACAAAACCCACACGGCTCCCCTCAGCCCTGGAGGAGGCCTGGCCCCTGTGACCCCTCCCCACCAGTATCTGTCTCCATCTTCCTGCCTCACCTGTCCCAGCCACAGCCCCTCTGCAAGGTTCCTCCAACGCAGCCAGCCTGTTCCCACCCCAGGATCTTTGCACTTGCTCTCCTCTCCTCCCTGCCCCTCCCAGCTGGCTCCTTCTTATAGTACTTCCTGTCTCCGCTGTGTGAGCTCCTTAGAGAAGCCCTCCCTGACCATTACCCCAAGCTGCACTTGAAGAGTAATTTCTAGCCTGCTACCAGCTGTTATTCCAGTCATTTGTGCGAATTTTGGACATATTTATGGCCCCTGACCCTAACCTGTGAGCTCTATGAGGGTATGGTCTTATCTGTCCCTGTCACTGCTTTGACTCCCAGGCCATGCACAGGGCCTGGCACTCAATAAATATTTGCCTAATCACTGAATGAATTCATGACCCGGTCCCTCCCCTTGACCTAGAGCCATCCAGGGCCTGCCTCCTCTGATGATGGGAGCGTGTGCCATGCTCTCGGCTAAGGCTTTGATAAAATAAATTGGCCCACAACGCTGGGAGAGAAGGTGCCGCTGTCATCCTCCTTTTGTAGATGAGGAAACAGAGGACCAGAGAGGCTCAGCCACTTGCTCAGGGTCACACAGCCTGTCCGTGGCAGAGCTGGGATTTGGACCTAGGCAGCCCTCCACCCCTAGCTTGGGCCTGACAGTGGTGGAGGCCACGGGAGAACCCAGTTAGGATCCTGGAGCAGAGGAGCAGCTGGGGAAGGGAGGGAGGAACTGGCCCTACGATTCTTGGGCCAGTGAATGGGGAGGGACAGGATGGTCCTCCCCATTTGAAAAAGCGAGTTGCTGAATGACCAGGTCACAGACCACAGATATATTCAAGGAGAACATTCCTTAAGATAAATCCTTGGCGAACGGGTCAGTTCAGTGAATTGGACATTCACCAAGGTTTCTCCCCCCCGCCAAATCTGCCTATGGCTAGACTGGGGCTGCAGGGAAAGTACTCACGGGAGGGCCATTGATATGCTCAGGTTGTCCCCAGGCCATTGGACAGAGGTGACACTGGGAGTGTGGGGTAATAGGGAGCCATACAGGGTATTTGGGCACCGTCCTCACTTAGCTAGCATTCTTGCGGCCTGAGAATTGAGGTAGGACCAGGCAAGTTGGGGTGCAGAAGGTGTGTGATATCTGCCCCAACCCTTGCATCCCCGCTTGGAACCCCGGTTCTGCTGTGAGGCCCTGAGCATGTACGTTAGCCCTCTGACCTCAGTTTCCATCTGTGAACAAGAGTCACTGTGTTATCTTCCTGGCTAAGACTCACTCAGGCCTGGGTTTAAATTCCAGCGGGCCATATGTCCTGAGCTGAGTGCGCTGACTTTTCTGAGTCTCTTTTCTGTGTCTCTCTCATTATGTCTCTATTTTGGTGTCTCCCTACCCTCACTCCTGCCCCATCCTGCCCCCTCCTCTCTCTCTGCAGCGAGATCAACCGCCTCGACTTAGGGCTCACGGTGGAGGTGTGGAACAAGGGCCTCATCTGGGACACGATGGTGGGCACCGTGTGGATCCCCCTGCAGAGCATCCGCCAGTCCAACGAAGTGAGTTTGGGGCTGAGGGTTAGGGGGGGGTGCCTGGGAGGAGCCAGAGGCCAGTGGCCTAAACTCGGTGGACATTTACCTCCTTCCCTGGATAATTCAGCGGCAGCTCCAGAGTGACGAGGGTCTCAACTCCTTCCATCTTGTTTGCTCTGTCTTTCCGAACGCCTTCACCTCACGGCCCAGGAGAGCTGCTGGAGAATCACCAATACATTTGCGTAACCATCATGGGAAGGAAAGGTGGCCAGAGGGGGTTTGCCCTCCAAATTAAGGACCAAACCTGGAGGTTGCTCTTGGCACTTCATTCGCTTCCCATTGGCCAGAAATTAGTCAGGGACTCCCACCTAGCTGCAAGGGAGGTCTGGGAAATGTAGTCTTACGCTGCATAGCCCTGGGCCCACCTAAAAATGTACTCTTATGGAAGAGAGGGGAAAGGATGATGTGGGTAATTAGCACTTTGTGCAGGAGGAAGGCTACACCTGATGGTACCAGACAATAACATTGGTCTCTTGGTTATAAGTTTCCCCCTTTCCCCTTCCCCTCCCCCCACGCTGAGCCCAGCAGCATCTTTTTACCCCAGAACTCTTTATATATATATATATATATATATATATATATATATATATATATATATATATATTATTGATACTTTACAGAGAGGAGAAAGGGGGAGAGAGAGAGCTAGAAACGTCAATGAGAGAGAAACATCGACCAGCTGCCTCTTGCACACCCCCTATTGGGGATGTGCCCGCAACCAATGTACATGCCCTTGACTGGAATCAAACCTGGGACCTTTCAGTCCACAGACTGACGCTCTACCACTGAGCCAAACCAGTTTCGGCTACCCCAGGACTCTTTCCTGCCCTCCCTCCCCATCTCCCTCTGAAGGCCTTCTGGATGGCACCTGCACACATCGCCAACTTCATCTTCCTCCACACCCCAACTTCCACCCCTTACAGAGTTCCAAAGAAGGCTGTCACCTGGACTTCCAATGTCTCTTCCATTATCCCCTAAGCTTAGCTCCCATGTCCTCCCTCAGCAACCCCTTCTTAACTCCTCCCTGAACCCCTCAGCCCCCCTCCCTCCCTCTGACCTTATCCTGACCTCACAGGGCAGGCGGTGTCTCTATCACATTCTGTTTCCTGTGACTGTGGACTTCTCGGGGATCCTGAACTTGCCCAGCGTGGGATAGGCATAGAGGAGGCACCAGGAAGGGTTTATATATTTATTTTTTAAATATATCTTATTGATTTTTCTACAGAGAGGGATAGGGATAGAGAGTTAGAAACATCGATGAGAGAGAAACATCGATCAGCTGCCTCCTGCACACCTCCCACTGGGGATGTGCCCGCAACCAAGGCACATGCTCCTGACCGGAACCAAACCTGGGACCTGTCAGTCCGCAGGCCGACGCTCTATCCACTGAGCCAAACCGGTTTCGGCAGGGTTTATTTTTTAATAAATGAATGGAAAGGGAGAAAATGGGCACAATAGTCGAGGCAAGTGAGTCCAAAAGGAAGCCTTGAGGGTGACCCTACATTTTCTCAGCGACCGCTCCTCCCCCTGCCCCTCCCCCCAAGTGTGAGGAAGGCCCTGTCTCCTGTGTCAGTGATGGCCGGCGCAGAGGATCCTGGAGCACTCCTCCCACCCCTGCCAGCCTCCCCCTGGGGCTGCAGAAAGCAAACCCCAAATCCCACACAGCATCATTCTCACTTGAGATGAGGAAACTGAGGTTCAGAGGAGAACCCGCCTGCTGAAGGATTTGTGTTTCTGAACCCAGGGGGGCTGGCTCAATCACCAGGGGAGGGGTTTCCTTTCTGGATTGTGGGAGCATCGGGGCTTTCCTATGGGGCCAGGGCTGCGTAACTCCCGTGAGGGATGGGGCGTGGCTGTGTAACTCTAGTAGGACTGCTCCTGCTGACCCCAATGGGCCCTCTCTCTGGGTCCCTGACTCTGCATTCCCTGGACCTGCAATGTTGCCTTGCACTGAGTCTGTTTCCTCATCTGTAAAGGAGGGGTGGTGGTGTGGGTGGCCCTTGCTCTTGGGGCAGGGGTGGGATGGAGTGAGGGAGACATCTCATGTGAGCAGATGCCTGATCCACCTCGCCTCACCCAGGGTCCTGACCCCTGTCGTCCCCTCCCCCTATATCCAGGACGGCCCTGGAGAGTGGCTGACCCTGGACTCCCAGGTCATCATGGCAGACAGTGAGATCTGTGGCACCAAGGACCCCACCTTCCACCGCATCCTCCTTGACACCCGCTTCGAGCTGCCCTTAGGTGAGTGTGGGGGAGGCACAGGACCCTGGCCCAGTCCCAGGAGCATGGCCAGGCCGGCTGTGCCCATACAACCCGCATTCTGAGGACAAGGTTTCCTCTCCCCAGAGGAGAGAGTTTCCTGGGTTTCAGCCAGTCAGCTGAGCTGTGCACCTGCTGCGCACACAGTGGGGTCCAGCTCCTCCAGGTCACCAATGGGCAGTCAATGCTCTGGACCGTGGGACTCAGGCTCCAGCTTTCCTGGCAGGTCCTGGAGAAGACATTCTGCTGCAGGGGTGAGCTGGGCTTAGAAGACAGACAGAGGCAAGGAGACAGAAAGACAGAGGCAGAGAGGCATAGTCCGCCTTTCCTGGAGGCAGCTGGGTTCTCCCACGTCATCCTTCCGAGAACTTATGACTCCCCCTGTTGTAATGCTAGGGTTCATCTTCTCCCCCACTCCCCGCCCACCTCCAAGGCAGCTGGGGCAGTGCCGGGGCAGGGGCCCACCCTGGCCCTCCGCCCGCTGGAGACCCGCCCAGGGAGCCTCAGGATGCGTTGGGTGGATGATGAGTGGCGGGCAGGGGCTTCCGTGCTCACAGCCAGGGCTCCCCTTGCAGATATTCCTGAGGAGGAGGCTCGCTACTGGGCCAAGAAGCTGGAGCAGCTGAACGCCATGCGGGACCAGGATGAGGTGAGTATCGATGGGGGGGGGGGGGGCCCTCTCTTCTTCTTGAGTCTGTCTCTTTGTCTCCTCATGTCCTCCATTGCCTGTCTCTGTTTCTCTCTCCTTGTCTTTCCCTGTGTCTGTGTCTCTAACTCTTCATAACCCAAATAAATCAGTGACTCATGGGGTCCAATCTCCAAGTAGGATGTCTGCCAGGAACACACAGTCTAACAATATAAGGATGATTCCAATGGACTCAAGTTTTTCATTTTTCAAATACCCTCAAGGGCACACAGGGGCTCCGGAGCCGTTCTCACACTCCCTCTCTGCCCCGCACGCCCCAATTCCTCAAGTCACACTTTCAGACTTTCCTAAACTCTCTTCTCTCCCACCGGCCTTAGCCCCTGTACCTCGGATCTTCCATGCCACCCCTTCTTCTTCTTGGCTCTGCACCCTCACAGTGCAAAGACCCAATATGGCCCAGACGACAATCTTTAGAAGGCGAGGGCAGGGGAGAAACAGCAGGCAAGACTGCAACACTCTTTAGGGAGTGGTGGAGAGTAAGGGGGCAATATTCACATGTGAGTAATTTTTGTCCAACCTCATTTCTCTGTCCCCTCCCCCTCCTCCTCCTCCTCCCCCCCCCTCCTCCTCCTCCTCCTCCTCCTCCTTCTTCTTCTTCTTCTTCTTCTTCTTCTTCTTCTTCTTCTTCTTCTTCTTCTTCTTCTTCTTCTTCTTCTTCTTCTTCTCTCTTTCTCTCTCTCATCTCATCCTAATCTGTCTCTTTATTTTTTCTATATCTGTTTCTCGCTGTTCTTCTGTGTGTACTTGTCTCCCTCTGTGAACATTGTATCCCTTTTCTCCAGAGGGAGAGGGTTGGCAGACACGGGGGAGTCAGGATGGAACACAGCAGAGCACCATCCTGGTCCCCTGGCTTCTGGCCCCGCTGAGATGAGCCCTCTTTCCTTCCCTCCCCTCAGTATTCATTCCAAGATGAGCCAGACAAGCCTCTCCCCGTCCCCAGCAACCAGTGTTGTAAGTACCTGTCGATTCCTTTCTTGGCATCCCTTCCCCACCACATGACTGCTGTGTGTAGCAGACAGTCGGCTCCCTTCCAGATGTGGGTCCTCAGCGAGGGCAGCATCTGCTCACAGTGTGGTGGGAAGACGAAGAGATCTGGGGCTTGGGTTTGAGTTCTGCCTTGACACTGCACAGGCATGCCAGTGGCCCTCTCTGATCCCTGGAGTCACTCACTCTGAAATGGGGCATCTGACGGCCCTTTATTCTGAAGGGTCCTAGGACATCTGGAGGCTTCAAAAACATTTTTCAGACTCTTGAACCCCATCGCTCAAATCCTAGATGAGGACCTCTTCCATGGAGCCAGCACAGGCCCCCACGCAGCCCACAGACAGTCACTGCCAGTCCTGCCAACACATGTACAATAGGTGCACGTACAGTGTTCCATTCACCCATTTTCTTAGATGGAGAAATTGAGGCCCATGAGAAGAAGCAACTTGCCCAAGGTCACGCACCTGGCAGGAGGCAAAGCTAGGATTTGAACCTAGGTCTGAGGGACTCTTTCCACTGCACTGCATCTATTAATGCTGATAGCAAGCACGTTCCTCTGCCTACTGCCCCTCCGACGAGGCTGGAGTTTTCGAGATTGCTTATGTTCCTTGGCCCTGAGGATGCTCAGGGGTACTCAGACCAGGTATCCATGAGCCAAGGAGATGCCTCTCTCCTAGAAGTTCCTCCTGAGTCCTCTCGAGGGGAGAAGTGACAATCATAGTCTCAGGGCAGAACCCGAACCCACAACACCTTGTCCCCACCCCACACCTCAACCTCTTCCTCCCGTTCCATCTGCTTCCTTACCCCCATTTCCTCCTCTCTCACAGTCTCCCCCCCCATTCCCCTTCCCCCCCATATGCCCAGGATGGTGATGATGGAGCCTCGAGGGGGCATGTGCTAGGGGGCTGCCATTGGGGACCTCTGTTCTGCCCTGATGTGTGTATGTTACCAAGAGGGAAGTTTACCAAGAAGGCCCCTGGACTTCCCTGCCTGGGGTGGAGCCATCACTTCCCAGAAGGATTGATACCTCCCTCCCCCCATGAATGGATCACTGAGGATTGTGCAGGAGCCGAGAACAAAGAATACCTGGGCAGATGGGCTAAAGGGAAGGGTGGATTCCATTTGGGAATGGAGACCCACCTCCCAGCATTTGCCTCTGAGCTCCAAGGCCTTTTGGGAATGTTTCAAAGGAGTTGGGATTCTGGTGCAAGACATTTTCCCACAATGCCAGGGAGTGATGGAGATGATGCAGTTCTCTTCCTGGCCCTAAAGCTCAGAGGCTGTGTGACTTCAGGCTGCTCATCCCACCTCTCTGGACCCTATTTCTCCCCCTGTACAATGAGCAGAATGATGGGAGGGGAGGGGGAGAAGTCACCCAACAGGCGTGTTTTGAAATTTAGGATTTCCAGTTCAACATTGCTTCCCTTGTGCACGCAATAGGGGAGGGGAGGAGGAGAGAGTGCTGGCCTCAGACGGCAGAGTTGAAGAACCCTTATCCCAAATGCCCTCTTCATTACCTCCTGGCTGAGCTCGTGGCCGCCTCCAAAGAGAGAGACACCCGGCCTTCCTGCCAAAGGAGTGGGTGAAGGCGGGATGCACGTGGCCGTGGTGAACGTGGCCCTCGGGGAAGACCCTCCGTTTGAGAGGCGATGTGGGTCCTGGGTGGGAGAAGGAGATGGGGAGAAGGAGGCGGATGGGGGAGCCTCCCTCCGGTGCCCCTCTGCCTGCTCCCTTTTATTATCTCTGCCCCTTCTCTTTGTAGGCAACTGGAATTATTTTGGCTGGGGTGAGCAGCAGAGTAAGTACTCAGCCTGATGTCCCGGGAGGCCACAGGGAGGTGGGCGCCTTGGCCACTCTGAGGCCCCCGCCCCACCATGCAGGGAAGCGAGGAGCCAGTGGCTGGCACGTTGGGGCCAGAGCGCTGGCAAGACCCCTTCTGTGCCCTCTTGCCCCTGACCATGGGCATCTGTCTCGGGGGGTCCTGCTCTGTCTGGTGGGAAGTGGGCGCTGTCATTGGGTGGAAGGTCTCAGCCGGGAGGGAGGGGCATTGGAACAGGAGGCCTGCCTGTCTCCAGCGGGGCACTGTGACCTCCACCCCCCCCCATGTAGATCCTCCTCTCCTCTCCTGTGACTCCTCCCTCTTTCTGTCTCCCCATCTCCCTTCTCCACCTCAGGGGTGTGGGTGGGAAGGAGAGAGGGTCTCAGGCAGAGCCGCAGGACAGGGGTCCCCAGGCAGATACCATGCCAGAGACCCCAGCCCCAAAGCTCCCTCACATGCATGTCCTCCGATCTGCCCCCAGGGCAAGGAGACAACCCCCTCCCCCCCAATTGGAGGCCCATTTTTCTCCCTAAGGAAGAGCGTCCTTATCCCCTTGTCCTGCTTCTCCCAGAGAAATCCAGTTCTTTGGTCTGAGTATGAATCTTCATCCTTCATTCCCCTCCACCAGCTGGGGGCTCCTCCCCCATCTGTCCCCTAGAGGACACGCCCCACCCCCCCTCTCCCTCCAGGACCAGGGGAACTGTTTACACTTACTTTGATCCCAAACACTTTGTCAGGAACAAGTCTGTCAGCAATTAATTTGGGTAGAATAGGCATTAGGCAGACAAGATTTGGCAACAGCCAGTTTGGCACAAAAAAACAACAACAAAAAACACCCACAAACCAATATCAAAAACAAAGGTGTTTTTGCCTTGGCCAGTGTGCTCAGTGGTTAGAGGGCTGGCCTGCGAATGGAAGGGTCACGGCTTCGATTCCCAGGCAAGGGCACGTTCCTAGGTTGCAGGTTCATCCTTACCCTACCCCTCAAGGGCCTGTGTGGGAGGCAACCAAGTGATGTGTTTCTCACATCGATGTTGCCCACCCCCACCCCCCTGCTATTACTTCCAAAAGTCAATGGAAAAATATCCTCAGGAGTGGGGATTAGAAAGAAAGAAAGAAAGAAAGAAAGAAAGAAAGAAAGAAATCAAAAGAAGAAAAACAAAGATGCTTTTAGTTAAACCAGTTTGGCTAAAGCCGATAAAGCTGAGTGAAGAGCAAAAGACCTTGGGGCCAAAAGCAGCCCCTTTTGGTGAGACAGGTGTCTGAAAGCTGGAAGCAGCGATTTACTAAAAAACAAACAAACAAACAACCCCCCCCACACACACACAATTATTTGATAAAAAACAGGGTCTGGGTAAAAACAAAATGAATAAAATTAAAAGCAATTTGCCCCTCAAAAATAGACAGTCTGTCAGAAAAAAAGGGGGTGGTGGTAAACACACATACACACACTCACTCAGCCTCCCTCATGTGATTTGGTTGAAAGCATCAAGGACAGTTTGGTAAGAAGGACGCCAAATTTGGCCAAAGACCCAGATAATTGAATAAACAAATTGTCAAGAGTTTTAAGGGGGTCATCCACTTCAGGCTTTTACAGGATCACAGTGTCACTCTGAAATACAGGGTTTTCACCTTCCTATTCCAAAGCCTGTACCTTTACTTACATGACCCAATATCCTTCATTCACTCTGGTAATGATTACTCTTCTTGGTTAGCAACCACTGAAGATCCCCTAAGTCTGAGGTACTGCTTTGGCCCCCATTTTCTCTTTCTCTTTCTCTCTCCCCCTCTCTCCCCCTCCCTTCCCTCCTCACTCTCTCCCCTTCCCTCCTCTCTGTTCCAGATGATGACCCTGACAGTGCGGTGGACGATCGTGACAGTGACTATCGCAGCGAGACCAGCAGCAGCATCCCGCCCCCTTATTACACCACATCCCAGCCCAATGCTTCGGTCCACCAGTATTCTGTTCGCCCGCCGCCCCTGGGCTCCCGGGAATCCTACAGTGACTCCATGCACAGTTATGAGGAGCTCTCTGAGCCTCGGGCCCTCAGGTAGCCACCGTGGGACCGAGGTCGTGTGTGTGTGTGTGTGTGTGTGTGTGTGTGTGTGTGTGTGTTGTGTCCAGCCCTGTCTCCTGGGGTGAAGGGAAGAGTGGAGGGCTGGAGGGAGCTGGGGTGTAGGTGAGTGGGTCTAGAATTCACGCCTCTTGTAGGCATGGAGCCCCTGCTTTACCTGAAAATTCCACAAGATTGAGAAAAGTGGATCTGCTTTGGCTGAAGAAAGACAATCCAGAGGCCCCTGAGGTTCCCCCCTGAAATATGGGGGCTCCTTGCCCTTCTTTATTTTTTATAATCAGCATTTAAAATGTGTTTTTATTTATTTTAGAGAGAGAGCAGAGGAGAGAGAGAGAAACATTGATTGGCTGCCTCCTGCACATTTCCTACTGGGACTGAGCCAGCAACCTGGGCATGAGCCCGGCTGGGGAACCGAACCAGCGACCTCTTGATGCATGAGACAGTGCTAACCAACTGAGCCACACCAGCCAGGGCTTCTTGCACTCCTTTAAAAGCCACAGGTCTTCATGTACTCTCTGAACGGGTTGGAGTGGGGTAGTGGAGGAAGAGATGATATGGGGGGGGGGGGGGGTGTGTGTGTGTGTGAAGCATAGTGGTGTTGAAAAAATCTCAGCAAGCAGCTAGCTGGTGGTCCCTGCTTTCCTGGTGCCCCCTGGCCCTGTGCTCCTGGCCAGCAGCTTGGGCGCAGTGACTTGGGAGCTGCCCCTATCCTCTCCAGCCACCATCACCCCCGCTTTAAACGTAGGCGGTCCCGAGACCGGCCCAATAGGGCCATGCCACTGCCTGGGCAGGATGCTGGTCCTTGAGCCTGGGAGGCTGGAACTTGAGCTTGCTGCCCCGCCTCGTTGACCTGATTGCCCCAGTCTTGGCTTCCAAACAGAATGATAACAAGCAACAAGCATGATAAGAAACAGGTTGAGTATTTGTGAAGCACTTAGACAGAAGACACATCCATCCTGGCCAGAAGTTCTATTGGGCAATGTGAATTGCAGAGATTTGGGGTAAAATATAATTTAAAGGAAAATTTCATACACTTCCTACTCAAACTTTAGCACTGACCAATATAATTTTTTGCACGTATTTGAACAACTTTTATTTTAAAATTTTCTAATACACACACACACACACACACACACACACACACCGTAGAAAGCTTAGATCATCTGTAGATGGAATATTTTAGAAGGAACTTTTTAAAACACTCAACATCTACACTAGACTCTATCCTCTAATTTTTAGCTCCAGGGAAACAGAAGAACATATTCAAGGTAGAACATTTAGGGCAGAGGGCACAGCGCGTGCAGAGCCTGGAAGTGGCCTCAGTGTAGGGTGTGGGCGGGACCGCAGGAAGGCCAGTGTGACTGGAGCAGGGGGCGAAGGTGGGGACAGCGAGGGAGACGAGGGTGAGGGGTGAGGGGTTCGGGCCACATGGGGGATGCGCGGCATAGAGTGGCTTTATTCCAAGGACACTAAGGAGCCCGGTGGGGTTGGAACAGGGAGGCATGTGATTTGGTTTATGGTTCAAAAAGCCTCCCTGTGGCTTCGGTGGGAAGCACGGGCTGTTGGGGTGAGAGTGGATGTCAGGGCAGATGGCAGAGCCTGGACCCGCGCGGGCCCCGGGAGCAGAGGTGGGTGCATTTTACAGATGCTTGGGGATGGAGCCCAGGGCCTGTGGCAGGGTCGGCTGTGAGCCGGGCCGAGGCTCTGGGTGGAGACAGACAGGCGCTGGCCCTGGTGAGGGAAGGCTCAGTGGTGGGAGGCCCAGGCTGAGGTGGGAGGTGTGGAGAGCCAGGTACGGCCCTGTTCGCGTTTCAGGGGCCCTAGGTCTCCCGGGGGCCGTGGTGAGGACACTGATTCTGGTCCCCGGCATGGCTGTCCTGCAGCCTCCACAGGCACGGGTGGGAATGGTGTGTAGAACGTGATCACTGATCACTGACATCATCGATCTGGTTTGTTGCCTGTCCACCCCGACCATAAAGGCCACAAGAGTGGGAGTTTTGTCTCTTTGGTTCACGGCTGTGCTTCTCTGGCACCTACAGCAGAGCCTGGTGCACAGTAGGTGTACAGCCATGTTGAGTGAATGACTGACTGGGTGTTGGACCTGTGAGAGGGGGGCTGGTGGGGCAGTGGCTCTGTGCCCGGTCCCTGAGCCCCACCCGTCCCCTCAGCCCCACAGGCAGCAGCCGCTACGCCTCCTCGGGGGAGCTGAGCCAGGGCAGCTCACAGCTGAGCGAGGACTTCGACCCGGATGAGCAGAGCCTGCAGGGGTCCGAGATCGAAGATGAGCGGGACCGGGACTCCTACCACTCCTGCCACAGCTCAGTCAGCTACCACAAGGACTCGCCGCGCTGGGACCAGGACGAGGATGAGCTGGACGAGGAGCTGGACGAGGAGCTGGACGAGGACCTGGAGGACTTCCTGGAGGAAGAGGAGGAGGAGGAAGAGGAGGAGGAGGAGGAGCTGCCTGAGGATGAGGAGGAGCTGGAAGAGGAAGAAGAGGTGCCTGATGACATCCGCGGTTACACTGAGCGCCAGGAGGCCGCAGTGGCGGAGCCCAAGGACTTCAAGCGCGTCAGTGTCCCGCCGGCCGCCCCCGAGAAGGAGGACAAGGCTCCCGCTGAGGCCCCCGCCGTGGCCAAGGTGGCCCCTGAGCCAGCCGTGCCTGAGGAGGTGCCCGCAGCTGAGCGGGAGCCCGAGGACAAGGCCCCCAAAGCTGAGGAGAGGTAATGGGAGGGGGCTACGGGCTGTCACAAGGTCACTGTGGCCAGGGGTCTGTGGTGTCACGATGGAATGAATGTGAGCCTGCGGAATGGTTTATTGAAGAAATCGAGATGGGTCCAGAGGGGGTTCAATGGGGGCCGAGGGGGTCAAGCTGGGTCAGGAAGTAGTTTTAGGGGTTAGGAGGGGCTAGATGGCTCGCTGGGGTTGGAGAAGCCACAAGCACATTGGGAGGACCGTGGGCAGCTAGGACCCTGCCAGAGGGCCAGAGGTATGGAAAAGGGAGCTGGGGGACCCAAGGCTGTAAGAGACGATGGGCATGTAGGAGGGGAGGGGCACTGAGACAGGTCAGAGGGGGCTCAGGGCCACGGTGGTATGGGCAGAGCCATGGAAGGACCAGGAGGTACAGAGGCATGGTCCCTAAGACTACTCCATGACCCGGCTTGACCCCCTCCGACCCCACCGAACCCCCTCTGACCACCTGGACCCATCTCGATTTCTTCAATAAACACATAGCCCTGTGACCACTCCCCCTCCCTGTCCCCCAGGGTCATGTACATTCCATCATGACACCACAGTGTCTCTGAAGGGCCAGGCCTCCCTCGGAGGGTGAGGTGGAGGGTGGAGGGTGGAGGGTGAGGTGGAGGGTGGAGGGTGAGGTGGAGGGTGGAGGGTGGAGGGTGGAGGGTGAGGTGGAGGGTGGAGGGTGATGTGGAGGGTGGAGGGTGAGGTGGAGGGTGGAGGGTGGAGGGTGGAGGGTGGAGGGTGAGGTGGAGGGTGGAGGGTAGAGGGTGGAGGGTGGAGGGAGAGCCGGCCCTGGTGCCTCAGGACGCCCCTTGCCTCAGTTTCAGGCCCAAAGAAGATGAGGAAGGCCAGGAAGGTCAGGATTCCATGTCCAGGGCCAAGGCCAACTGGCTGCGAGCCTTCAACAAAGTGCGGCTGCAGCTGCAGGAGGTGAGTGAGAGCCCTGGCCAGCCACACTCCCAGAGCCCAGTGACCCACCGCGCCCGCGCCCAGACTGGCCATGCTCCCTTCCCCGCTCCTCAGTGCCCCACCACCCTAGTCCTTTCTGGGCACCACTCACACCAGACCATGCCATGCCCCATGGGCAGCACGGCCATGTCCACTTCCCCACTCCACGCCTTTGCCTCTGTACATCCTGGTCCTTCCGTGGCTCTGCCCTTTTCTGCCCTTGCCTTGGCACCACCATTCCTGGCCTCACCCACACCTGCCTGGTGTTTCTAAGCAGGGAAGGGGGAGTGGTGAGCTGTAACCATGGAGCTAGGTCAGGGCTACAGTCCTGTCAGGGGTCAAGTTCATGGTTAGGGATAGAGAGAGCTTAGGGGTAGAGATCAGAATTAAGGCAGCAGTCAGAGGTCAGGGTTAGGATCGGTATTAGGGGAAGAGCTCAGTGCTCGGGTCATACTGGGTGTCGTGGTCGGAATTGGGGGAAGGTCTGAGGTTGGGTCAGCATCAGACAAGGAATTCAGTGAACGATACAATTAGTGCCGGGGTCAGAGTGATTTGTTGATTGTTCAGATGGGGAGCAGGATGGAGACCATTACTTATTCCTTATTCCGTTACTTATTCCTTCCATCATTCAGCTCACTCTGGGCTAGACACAGAAATATAGGGTTACTATCCAGGGGGCCTTCGAAATTTGGGTGGAACTGAGGAGAGGAGATCTTAATCACATCGCCAAAGTCTTCAGCCATCCATTATCAGAGCCACAGAAACTTCAAATTCCATATCAGTTCAAACAAAGAATTTTCTTTTTTGACCAAATAATATATTCACACGGTTCCAAATTCAAAAGATAGAAAAGAATATACAGTGAAGTCTACTGAATAACTTTCATTACATCAACAATTAATTAAAAACAAAACAAAAACCCAGCAGTTTCTACCTTTGTAATGGAACTAGTGATATGACAAGAAAAATAAACGTGGGCAGGCTCTCTGGGTTTTATAGGTGGGGCATAAAACAAACCCAGACAATCAGAAAAATTCCCTGGAGGAGGTGACACTTAACGTATTCAAGATGCTTTAACGATATTTCAGAAGAGTGTTTCCCAGCCCTGCCCCAACCACGTCCCCTTTAGTGGCATGGGAAACGGGTATAGACCCTGGGTCACACTGAAACCTGAGTGATAGTCGGGTTCAGAAGGTGGGAAGGCATACAAACAGATGGCACAGCCTGGGCAAAGGCCCTGGGGCACTAAAGCAGACAAGCAGATGAGGCTGCAGGGAGTTTAAGGGATGACAGATTCTCATGAGTGTCAGAACCAGCCCCTGAGAATCCCAGGAGCCTCTAGAAGTACTAGAGGCCCAGTACATGATATCCGTGCACTCAGGTGGGAGGTCCCTCAGCCTGGCCTGTACCCTCTCGCAGTCCGGGAGCCCTTGGGGGATGTGGGAAAGGCTCCCACCACCACCACCACTGCTGAGCTCACCACCCGTGAGCTGGCTTCTGGCTAAGCAGTGCTCCCCGCTGTGGAAGCGCACTGACCACCAGGGGGGCAGCTCCTGCATCGAATATCTGCCCCCTAGTGGTCAATGCATATCATAGCAACTGGTCATTCCGCAATTCCGTCGATTTGCATATTAGCCTTTTATTATATAGGATAAGCTCTTGTTGGAATGATGCTAACACATCCCCAGGTTTGACAGACGAGGAGACTAACATTGGTGGCAGAGAGGAGCTCCTTTCTCTCTCCCCATTTTACAGATGGAAAAGCCGAGGCCTCGAGAAACCCAGTGAGGTCCCTAAGGACACACAGTGAGGACCGGGACCCAGGTTTCCTGACTCCCAGCCCAAAGGGGAGACAGAAGTGGGTGTGGAGCCTGTTTTGCCTTGGGAGGGACAGCACACTGACCACATTTGTCTGTCGGTCCCATAGGCCCGGGGAGAAGGAGAGATGTCCAAATCCCTGTGGTTCAAAGGCGGGTGAGTAATGGAGCTTTTGGGGGTGGAAGGAAGTTTTTAACCCACAGCTTAAGGCCGGTTTGCACCATAGCCTGAGGTCAGCAAAGGCTGGGAGAGGTTCCATTCAGATGGGGCAGGGACTGGGCAGGGGTGGAATAATGGAACCACTGTCATAGGCACTCAGGAGCCAAAGAGAGTAACATGTTGAACCCTTACAACAAACCCATGGTAGGGGCCACTACTCTGCTTTGCAATGGGGAAACTGAGTCCAGGGAGAAGCATGCCTTGCCCAAGCCACTCATAATTCAGAAGTGCTTCCCCCCAATGTGAGCTAAAGGGGAAATCCATTTTCCCCCACCGCCCATCTGTCACCCTGGAGTGAATTTTTTGCTTTGGTTCTGCATTTAGTAATCTCAGATTATTGCTGCTGCTGCCACCGCCGGCATTTTTCATTAACATAATCATTTGGGTCCTGGCGGTGTGTCTCAATGGTTAGATTATTAGCCTGTGGTCCGAAGGGTTGTGGGTTCAATTCCATCGGGACATGTGCAGGAGGAAGGTAACCAATTGATGTGTTTCTTCAATGTTTCTCTTTCTCTCTCTCCCTCTCCCTCCCTCCCTCTCTCCCTTCCACTCTCAAAAAAAAAAAAAAAAAAAAAAAATCAGTGGGAGGAAAGATTAATCCTTTGTTCTTAAATGGAGCAATTTGTCAGATCCAACTTCTTAAGTTACTACTTTTTAGGGATGTGTTTTTCAGCCTTTGGATGGTGAGGTTGGAGGATGCAAAAGATATTTTTAAATTGCACTCACGTTTAAAAATAGCAGGACCTGCTTCCCTCATAGGCCTTTTGCAAACAGAGTTCTGATTCCCAGATGAGCAGGGAGCCCCGGAAGCAGGGACTGAGATGGGGGTTCCTGGGTGTGTGATTGACAGGGGAAGCTCTCTCAGGACACCCATGTGACAGGCAGGATCAGGCCTGGGAGGCAGCTTGGGCAGACATGTAGTTCGGGAGCCGCCAGGCCCTGCCTGATTTTGCAGGGGGCACTGGAGCATGAATTACACCCCAGAGCTTGTCCAAGCGTCATTGGCTGCCAGACATCTCCCTCATCGGCCAGTCATTGGCCCGGGAGAACCTTCTGGAAAGGAGCCACCGCTGAACCTTCTCAGGAATGAGCACACCTCTCCGTAAAGAGAATGCAGACAGGCCACGATGGCATCTGCCACATGCTCATTCAGTCCTCCAGCTACTGCAAAACTGCCGAGAGACAAGAACACAAACACCATTTCCAGCTCCCTCATTCCTGTGGGAGTTAAAATCACTCCTTCCAGGACAGATTTTCAATAAACACACACACACACACACACACACACACACTCACACATTGGTACACCCACCCATGCACCAAGAAGTCCGGTTCAATTCCCAGTCAGGGCACATGCCCAGGTTGCTGGCTCCATCCCCAGTACAGGGTGCACTGGAGGCAGCTGATCAATGTTTCTCATCGATATTTCAATCTCTCTTTCCCTCCTCTCCCTCCCTTCCTCTCTCTAAAAAATAAGTGGGGGGAAAAAACATATTTTTATTAAAAAGGAAATATTTCCTTGATATTTTTATATATTATTTGGGATTGCCTTAATTCAAATGTTTACTAACTATAGGCGCCTGCATCCTCTCCCCACCTCCCGGACGAGGAAGGTGAGCCCAGGCTTCATTTCCTGGGTCTGCTGTGACAAAGGACCACATAGTGGGGGAGAGGGGTGTTAAAACAACAGGAATTTATTTCCTCGCCGTTCGGAGGCCAGAAGTCCAAGATCAAGGCATGGGCAGGACCACACTCCCTGGACAGCTGTAGGGGAGAGTTTCTTCCTGGCCTCTCCAGCTTCCCGCAGCTGTCAGCAATCCGTAGTATTCCTTGGTTTGTAAACATGTTACTCCAGTGCCTGCCTCCATTGCCACGCCACTGCCTTCTGCTTGTGTGCCTCTCTTCTTAGGAAGACACCTGCCATGTTGTTTTGGGGCCCACTGTACCCTGGTATGACATCATCTTGACAAATTACCTCTGCAGTAACCCTATTTCCAAAGAGGTCCTATGTTGAAGTCCTGTGGATTAGATTTGAATGTATCTTTTTTTTGGGGGGGGGGGGGAGACACACAATTAAATTCTTAACGCTTGTGAGATGGCACGTCCTGCCCCAGCCTCGGGCGATGTCTGTTGGAGGAGGGGAGACTTCCCGGGCCCTAGACATCCTTGTGTGTGTCTTACAGCCCCGGAGGGGGTCTCATCATCATCGACAGCATGCCTGACATCCGCAAGAGGAAGCCCATCCCCCTCGTGAGTGACCTGGTAAGTGTCCTCGCCCTCCTGGCCCCTGGTGCCAACCTGTGCAGCTGCCCCTGGCAGACCGGGCCCGAGGGGCTGGCCAGGCGTTCTCCGGGACTAACATAATCTGATTTCTGCCCCATGTGCTGCTTGGATTCTTCAGGCCATGGTGAGTGAGTGATGGTGACCTGGGCCCCTGCGTCTCCTCCCCAGACCCCTCCACTGCCATCTTCCAACTGGCCCCGTCCACGGGTTCTGGGGAGGGAACCTTGCCAGGTCCTAAGTTCATGGGTGGGGAAGACAGCAGGCGACTCGCCACCTTGGATCATGGTGGTTGGTGCCTTTGCCCTGTGGCTGGTGAGCATGGCCCAGTCTGGCCCGTGGTGGGAAGGTATGGGTGAGCCAGGGGTGTGGGGCTGCTCACCTTCCAGGGTCCCTTCTGTCATTTCCCAATTCTTTGCTGGTTCTGCTCCTGCTGCTGTGACCCGTGTCCTGTTCCTCGGGACTGGTGGCCCCAACCGTGACTGACTGTGGATTCTGCTCCCCACAACAATCCATGGGTCTCCATCAACCCCATGGCTCCCTCGGTGGCCTCCCACACCAGTCCCTGGTCCAGTCCAGAAAAGCGGGCATCACCTCAGCCTTGGCCTCCAGCACTTTGAACAACGAGGAGCTGGTGCGTGGGGTTGTGAGGTGGGCTTACCTGGGGGCTTCTGGAGGAAGAGGAAGAGGGCGTGGCAGGGATGGGCATTCCTCACTCTCCTGGGTTCGGTAGCTCAGCATGGGGGTAGCACTCTCTGTACACGGGAACTGCTGAATTCCGACCCCGTGGGGGCCACGGAGGGGCAGAGACTAGACCAGACTCTGCACAGGGTGAGGGCCTGGCAGACAGGGCCCCCAGGGGAGGACTCTGCGCCCCACGCCGCCCCTCCTTCCCTCCCCGCAGAAAAACCACGTTTACAAGAAGACCCTGCAAGCCTTAATCTACCCCATTTCGTGCACTACGCCGCACAACTTCGAGGTGTGGACGGCCACCACGCCCACCTACTGCTACGAGTGCGAAGGGCTGCTGTGGGGCATCGCGCGGCAGGGCATGCGCTGCACCGAGTGCGGCGTCAAGTGCCACGAGAAGTGCCAGGACCTGCTCAACGCCGACTGCCTGCAGCGTGAGCGCGGGGCTGCGTGGTGGGCGGGACCGAGTGGTGGGCGGGGCTGATTGGGGGCGGAGCGGAGTGGGGGCGGGGCGGAGTGGGGACGGGGCTCTGCGGAGGCGGGTTGAGGGCCGGCAGCACTGGGAGACGGGCTTGGAGAGAGGGGCGGGGCGGTGAGCGGTGGGGGCCTCGGGCAGGGACTGGGGGCGAGGGTTAGGGCGGGACTCCTTTTGCGGGGAGGATGGGGGCGAGAGGAGGGGAAAGGAGGTGTCGCAGAAGGCTGGCTTAATGTCTGGGATGGGGTTGGTTAATGAAAGACACCCATTCATTCCCCTTAGGAAAACGGGTTAGGGTTAGCTCAGCAGGGGAGAGAGTGCAGAGAAGGGTGGGGTCATGGAGGGGGCAGGGGAGGCAGAGGGGCAGGCTCTGACGGGCAGAAAGCCTGGCGGGAGGAGGTGTTCAGAGAACAGGTAGGAAGCTCTAGCTTGGGGGTTATTCACACGAACCCCCACGGCTTAAGGTGTCCGCGGCCGGGCAGCCGCTGAGGGAGCTCCGGAGTTGGGGTGCTGGCTCCCTGAGGGCTCCCCGACAGCGCCGGCTGCCCGCTGCTTCCGCAGGGGCGGCGGAGAAGAGCTCCAAGCACGGCGCCGAGGACCGGACGCAGAACATCATCATGGTGCTCAAGGACCGCATGAAGATCCGGGAGCGCAACAAGCCCGAGATCTTCGAGCTCATCCAGGAGATCTTCGCTGTGACCAAGGCCGCACACACGCAGCAGATGAAGGCGGTCAAGCAGAGCGTGCTGGACGGCACGTCCAAGTGGTCGGCCAAGATCAGCATCACTGGTGAGGCCACCAGTGCAGCCACCGGTCCTTTCTCCCAGCCCGCTAGCTCCCTCCCAGGCCCCTTCCTTCCCTTTGCTGCGATGCTTGAGCCTATCTGTGGCTCTCCCAGGTCCACGTGTGTGCGCCTCTGTGCCCACGGGTGGACACGTATGTCTCCAAACGTATGTGCATGACACGCTATCTGGGTGCATCTTGATTAGTGCCCCCAGAATCAGATCCCGGGAACAGGAGTCGAGGGCACATGGTTTGTCTGGGAGGCCATCCCCGGAAGCCCTGTGGGAGCTGGAAGTGAAGCTGGGCCAGAAGAAGCTCTTCACAGGGTGCCAAGAGGCAATGCTGTGGACACCTGGGGCTTATTCCCACTGAGGGCCACTAGGAGACAGTACTGAGCTCCCACTGTCGTGTGGGCTTAGGGGCTTAATCACACGGAACAAGATCAGCCTGAAATTATTGGAATCCAGAGTCTAGGTCAGTGGTCTGCAAACTCATTAGTCAACAGAGTGGCAACCGCAGCTCTCAAGCCGCATGTGGCTTGTGAGCCGCAGTTTGCTGACCACTGCCCTAGGGTGTTTATCCACGCCCAACCTCATTGGGATTTCCCAGGAGACAGACCCCACGATGATTCAGAGCAGATGGGTGTCCAGGAGGTGGTCCCAGGACGCCCTGGTGGTGGGTGGAGACATAAGTCTGGGAACAGAGAGGAAAGTTGCCCTGCAGGGGCCACCAATGAGTAGGTGGTTTTTGTGGTCAATGGGGATTCAGTCCTACAGGGGAACTTCAAGGGCGCAGTGTAGAGCACACACCTAAGAATGTCCCTTTCTCAGGGTGGCCCTGGGGCTCCTTCCCATCCTTCACTGACTGAGTGTCTCTGGATATTAATTCTTCGGCAAGGTCATTGTGCCCAGTAAGCAGTCCCAGCCCTTGGGCCACATCACAGGGGTCCCCAGCAAACAGCCTGGAGCCCCTGGAAATGCCTGTTTTCAACATGCCTTCTTCCCTGAGCCCACCTTTATATGTCCCGTGTGTCTTCCAGTGGTCTGTGCCCAGGGCTTGCAGGCAAAGGACAAGACGGGATCTAGTGACCCCTATGTCACCGTCCAGGTCGGGAAGACCAAGAAACGGACGAAGACCATCTACGGGAACCTGAACCCTGTGTGGGAGGAGAACTTCCATTTGTAAGTGCCTGCCTGGGCCCCCTGTGTCCCAGGCAGAGCTCCCTCCTGGGGCAGCCCAAGGGGGCGCCGATACCAGCCCAAGCCAGCTGCTTGACCCTCGTTCCCGCCTCCCCCTGCAGTGAATGTCACAACTCCTCAGATAGAATCAAGGTACGTGTCTGGGACGAAGATGATGACATCAAATCCCGCGTGAAACAGCGGTTCAAGAGAGAGTCTGATGACTTCCTGGGGCAGACAATCATCGAGGTGCGGACGCTCAGTGGCGAGATGGACGTGTGGTACAACCTGGGTGAGCAAGGGGAGGGGCCTGCAGGAGGCAGGGAGGGGGCTCCGGGAGCCAACCAAAGTGGGGAATCCCATTGGAGGGGAGAGACACTATGTCAGAAGGAGTCAGTCCAGGAGCCCAATCTGATGGAGGAGGCAGGGTCTGTGGGCCCCAATCTGGTGAAGAAGGCACACTCTGTGAGCATGATCTCATGGCGACAGGAAGCATCTCAGGTTGACAGAGTGAACAGAAGAACCTAGGACAGTGGTCGGCAAACTCATTAGTCAACAGAGCCAAATGTCAACAGTACAACGATTGAAATTTCTTTTGAGAGCCAAATTTTTTTTTTAAATCAATCTTTATTGTTCATATTGTTACAAAGGTTCCTCATTTCTTCCCCCCTCCACCAGGTTCCCACCCCACCCTCCGCCCCCTCCCCATCCCCCATTGTCCTCATCCATAGGTGCACAGTTTATGTTCAGTCTCTTCCTCCCTCCCTTTCCCTGATAGTAAATCCCTTTTCAGATAGTAAATCAGTTACTTAGCATTTTCTCATATCAATAATACCACCACATGCCCAATGATACATTTCACACAAAAGACATTTTCAAATAGGTCAACCAGCCTCATCCAGGCCCCACCCAAGGCACTCACAGATCAACACCCCAGCCCTATACTAACTCAACACATCCAGATCTAAGCCTTCATCACTTGATTCAGCAGACCCTCAAGTTCCCACAAAAGTTTCCAGCCATGTCTGAGAGGCAGCCTTGGGGCAGGGGCAGGTGAGGAGCGAGCTGTTCTGGGCCTGGCTGCTTCGGGCCTGGCCTTTGTTGCTCTGGTTCGTTCCACAACCAGCTGCTCCAGGTCTGGTCACCGCCACTCCCGACCTATTAATAGTTGCTCTGGACCTGGCTGCTGCTGCTCCGGGCCTGGCCACACCCGACCCGGCTGCTCCGGGCCCGGCTGCTCCGGGCGTGGCCGCTCCCAGCCTGGCAGCTGCTGCTCTGGGCCTGGCCGCACCAGACCCGGCTGCTCCGGGCCTGGCCGCACCAGACCCGGCTGCTCCGGGCCTGGCCGCTCCCAGCCTGGCAGCCACTGCTCCAAGCCTGGCCGCTCCCAGCCTGGCAGCTGCTGCTCCGGGCCTGGCCGCACCAGACCCGGCTACTCCAGACCTGGCCGCTCCCAGCCTGGCAGCCGCTGCTCCTGGCCTGGCTGGACCAGACCCGGCTGCTCCGGGCCTGGCTGCTCCCAGCCTGGCAGCCGCTGAGAGCCAAATTTTTTAAAAATATATTTTTTATTGAATTTTTACAGAAAGGAAGAGAGAGGGATAGAGAGTTAGAAACATCAATGAGAGAGAATCATCGATCAGCTGCCTCCTGCACACCCCCTACTGGGAATGTGCCCGCAACCAACGTACATGCCCTTGACCAGAATCAAACCAGGGACCTTTCCGTCCACAGGCCAATGCTCTATCCACTGAGCCAAACCGGTTTCGGCGAGAGCCAAATTTTTTAAACTTAAACTTCTTCTAACACCTAAACTTCTTCAAAATAGATTCGCCCAGGCCGTGGTATTTTGTGAAAGAGCCACATTCAAGGGGCCAAAGAGCAGCATGTGGCTCGAGAGCCGCAGTTTGCCGACCATGAACCTAGGAAGTTTTTAGTTTGTTTTGAGGGAGTGTCGGGGGGACAGAATCTCTGTATTCCAGTCTCAGGGGGGACACAGAAAATAAGGCCTGGGATCCTGGACTGAGGAGAGAGGCACAGACCCAAGACTCCAACCTGAGAAGGAAGATGGAACTTTAAGAATCCGATGTAAGAGAAGAGGTATAGTTTGGGCATCCTAATCCGAGAAGTGAGCTACAGACCCAAAAATCCCGACTAAGAAGATGAGTAGAATCTGTGAGCCCAGCCTGGTGGCGGATGCAGGGTCTGTGAGCTCAGCCTGTGAGTGTAGGAAGAACCCACTCTGAGAGGAGTGAGCAGAGCTGAGGAACTTAGTTTGGTTGGAAGAAATCTAGATACCCTATTCTGATGTCAGGAAGCAAGACTTGGGGATCCTAGTTTGAGGAGGGAGAGAGGCACAGACCCAGGAACCCTGTATAACAAGATAACTAGACTTTGGGAAGCTTGATTTGATTGGGAACACAGACCCTGGGAGGTCAATCTGGGGGAGAAGCTGTGCTTAAGGCTCCTAGTTTAAAGAGGGAGATACAGACCAGGAATTTAATCGGAGTGAAGAAGCAATGTCTGGGGTCCTAGTTTGAAGAGAGAGACAGAGCCTACAGAATTCTAGTCTAACGTGAGAGACATGAGCCTAAAGAGGCAATCTGAGGAGTCATGCATACATTAAAATAGCCCAGGGATAGCCCTGGCCAGATTTGGCTCAGTGGATAGAGTGTCAGCCTGCGGACTGAAGAACCATGGGTTCAGTTCTGGTCAAGGGCATGTACCTCAGTTGCAGGCTCAATCCCCAGACTGGGGCTCATTCAGGAAGCAACCAATCGATGTGTCTTTCTCACATCGATGTTTCTCTCTCTCTTTGTCTCTCTTCCACTCTCTCAGAAAATCAATGGAAAAATATCTTCGGGTGAGGATTAACTGACTAACTAACTAACTAACTAATTAACTAAATACTTTCTCTAGATTGAGAGGTTCTGACACTACCATCCCTTTCTGCCCTGCAGACAAGAGGACTGACAAATCTGCTGTGTCAGGTGCCATCCGGCTACACATCAGTGTGGAGATCAAAGGGGAGGAGAAGGTGGCCCCCTACCATGTTCAGTATACTTGTCTGCATGAGGTGAGGCCCGCTGCTCCACCCTGCCCTAAAAGCTCACTGTGATCTCCCACATTACCTCCACTTGCCACTTCGCCCGGTCCAGCTCCTCCCTCCTTCCTCCTTCCACACTCCCCTGGGCTTCTGAGACTGTCCCCCATGCCATTCTCTCCACCTGGAAAACTCTTTCCCATCCATCAAGGTCTGCTTCAGGGTCCCCTTGTCTAGGAAGCCCTTTCTGACCTCCCGGCAGACTCTCACTGCCTAGCTCCAGGTCTTCCATCTGTCCCATCCTTGAACCTCAAAGTTAGGCTGTTTGGATCTGCATCTGTCTCTTCCAGATGCCTGGGTATAATTTAATTTGTTGTATGAATAAATGATTAAATAGATGAATGAGTGATGAATGGATAAAAATGGAGGGATGAGTGGATGTGTGTGATTGAACTATTGGAAGTATAGATTAATGGATGGGTGAATTTAGGGGTAGTTGGACAGATGAAAGGATAACTAGATGGATGGACAGATAGATGATGGATGCATGTGTAAATTGATGGGGGTCAGATGATTGAATGGGTAGATGGATGAATTATTGGATGGACAGATTAAGTTGTATGTAGAAGATGGGATAGATTGTTGGATGAACTGATTAAGTTGTGAGTAAATGTGGATGGGATGGATGGATGTGTGGTTGAATTACTAGAAGAGTGAATTAGTGGATGGGGAATTTGGGGATAGTTAAGTGGATAGGTGGGTGGATGAGTGGGTAGATGAACAGGTAAACAGATGGAAGAGTGAATATATAGGTGGATAGATAGATTATTGGAAGAATGGAGGAGGGATAGGTGAAATTTTTGGTAGCTGAATGGGTGAAAGAGTAGATGAATGAGTTAATGAATAAACAAATGGATAGATAATGTACGATGCCCTACACTTGCCCCCTTGTGCCTCCTTGCATTCTGACTTCTTCTCTTGTGTTGGCAGAACCTGTTCCACTTTGTAACTGACATGCAGAACAACGGGGTGGTGAAGATCCCGGATGCCAAGGGTGACGATGCCTGGAAGGTTTACTATGATGAGACAGCTCAGGAGATTGTGGATGAATTTGCCATGCGCTATGGCGTCGAGTCCATCTACCAAGCCATGACGTGAGGCTGTAGGCTGGGGTGGGCATCAGGGTGAGGTGCAGAAAACTGAGGCAGGGGGTCACCAAGTGGATACTGGCAGATCTGGGATAGAAGGGGTTCATAGGAAAAGGAGTGGAGAGGAAGTGGGTATGGTAGGTGTAATGTAATCCCCCTGGAGGTTAGAAAAGGGCCAGTGCTGGGGACTGCAGTGACAGGGATGAGAGATGGAGCTAGAGGCTGACAGAGAGGAGACAGAAAGGACAGAATCAGGCAGAGGGAAAGGGAATGGTTGGGAGCGGGGAGGCTGGGAGGAGTCACTCAAGATGCTGTCTTGGAGGCATTCTAGGTGGAGCCCAGCCTGTCCTGGCTGAACACCAGGCCCAGTGCTTCCTATTCCCTTCCACCAGCCACTTTGCCTGCCTCTCCTCCAAGTACATGTGTCCCGGGGTGCCTGCTGTCATGAGCACCCTGCTCGCCAACATCAATGCCTACTATGCGCATACCACCGCCTCCACCAACGTGTCTGCCTCTGACCGCTTCGCAGCCTCCAACTTCGGGGTCAGTCCCAGGGCCTGGGGGATGAGGGAGAACCCACACCTGTGCTGGTGAAACCCTATCCAACTCCCCGATTTCCAATTTGGACTTTGTACATCTATCTGAGCCTCGGTTTACCCTTCTGTAGAATGGAAAACAGATGTTACAAGGGTTCAGTTCAATGGTGGATGGGATGCCCTTCCTGTAAGCCCTCAGCCAATATGGCAGCCACCTTTCACTGCCACACTTGATGCCCAGGTCCCGGCTTCCGTCTAGTCTCCTCCTCTTCTGCTTCCCCAGAAAGAGCGCTTTGTGAAGCTCCTGGACCAACTGCATAATTCCCTGCGAATTGACCTCTCCATGTACCGGGTGAGAAGCGCATGCATGATGACTTGCTTATGCCCATACACATGTGTGCCCAGGAGGGACTGCTTCTAGCAGGCGTGCACAGGGGAGGACCCCTCTCAACATGCAGAATGTGTTCCTCTAACAAGTGTACACCTATGTGAGCAGCACCTTCCCAACCTACTTGGTGCATCCAACAAGACCTCCAAGCTATGTCAAAGTGTTCTCATTGACCCCCAACTCACTTCCTGAAACTTTGGGGCTCTTGTATCTCCCCTAGAACACTCTCCTCTCCTCTCCTAACTTTCTCCCATAACCTCTCCTCTCTTCTTCCTTCCAACAGAATAACTTCCCAGCCAGCAGCCCAGAGAGACTTCAGGACCTCAAATCCACTGTGGACCTTCTCACCAGCATCACTTTCTTTCGGATGAAGGTAGGAAAGGGAACCCAGTCCCGTTAGCTCTCCAGGAAGGATTCTCTAGGACTCTCAGGTCCTAAACAAGTAGCATTTCTCTCTCTCCCTTCCTCTCTCTCAGTGACGCTCTTTTTTCATATGGCTACAATGTTTCCTTAAACCCAGGATCACTTGTAGCCACTTCCTGGGCAACTCTCATCCCAGTTTTACCCATCCATGCCCTCTCCATCCCTCTAGGTGCAAGAACTCCAGAGCCCGCCCCGAGCCAGCCAGGTTGTGAAGGACTGTGTGAAAGCCTGCCTCAACTCCACTTATGAGTACATCTTCAATAACTGTCATGAACTCTACAGCCGGGAGTACCAGACAGACCCTGTAAGGACTCCAAATGAGGCAGAAAGGAATGGTAGACACCCACCAGACCCTGGCCTAAGTCCCAGATCTGCTCCTTCCCAAGTGATTTAACTGTTCTGAGCCTCAATATTTCCCTCAGTAAAATTAGGTCATTAACCAGCATCTCAGGATTGAGGCTGAGATACAAGCTTTAGATAAAATTTAGTTACATGCTTAGTACCGGTACACAGTAAGTGTTCAATAAATTTGGTTTTAGTTAAACTTTTAAAAAATATATATTTTATTTTTACAGAGAGGAAGGGAGAAGGATAGAGAGTTAGAAACATCAATGAGAGAGAAACATCGATCAGCTGCCTCCTGCATGCCCCCCCACTGGGGATGTGCCCGAAACCAACATATGTGCCCTTGACTGGAATCAAACCTGGGACTCTTTAGTGTGCAGGCCGACGCTCTGTCCACTGAGCCAAACTGGTTAGGGTGGTTTTAGTTAAACTTACTTGAGTTTGACATAATACAGTATGCCTGGAATTGAATTGCTACTCAATAAATGTTGAGTTGGTTACATTTTTTAAATGATTTTTAATTGTTTGGGTTTTGTTTTGTTTTGTTTTGTTTTAGAGAGAGAGAGGAAGAGAAAGTGAGAGAATGAGAGAAATATCAATATGAGAGTGGAACATCGATTGGGTGCCTCCTGCATGACCCCTACTGGGGATTGAGCTTGCAACCAGGCACATGTCCTACCCAGGAATTGAACCATCAACCTTTCAGTGCATAAGATGACAACCAACTGAATCATGCTAGCCAGGGTGGGTTGAATTGATTTTTTTTCAGTAGAGTTCAGTTTTGGTCATTTCAACTTAATTTATTTGAGATCTTTCAACATGTGCTTATCTATACATATAATGTCCCAGGCTATCAGCAGGAAAAGATTTATAGATTATAAATTTAAAACCCAGGGTGATTAGCCCCAGGTGGCCCCTCCCTCAGCTTGTGTTTCTGACAGGAAGTAACCACATAAGCCGAATTCAGTTCAATTTTATTTCCATCTGCTCATTTACATTCATTTTACTCGAGTTAAAATCAAATTGCTCTCAATTGAATTGAGTTGAGGTAAAGTGGATTAAATTGAGTTTAGTTCCATCATAATCAGTTTAGTTCCATTTATTTCTATTTGGTTGACTTAAGTTAAAATTGCTCTTGGCTAATTAGTGAGCAGCACTGAATTGGATTGAGTTTAATTTCATTGAAGAAAAGTTTATTCATTTCCATTCAGTTGAACTGAGTTGAAGTTGTTCTGGACTGGGTTGAGTTGGAAACCGAATGAGCTGGTTGTTGGATTAGGTACAGTTGAGTTCAATTGAATTGGGTTCAGTTGGGCTCATTTCAGTTGAGTTACATTCATTTACATTGATGGACTCAAGTTAGATTGAGATAGCCTGAGCATGTTAGGTTGAGTTGGATTGGGTTGACTTGGGTTGGGTTGGGTTGGGTTGGATTCAGATCAATTTATGTCCATTATTTTTATGTAGGCTGGTGTTGATCTTGGAGAAATTGATTAGGCTAATTCAATTCACTTTATTGGAGTTAAATTCCATCCAGTTAAGTTTAATGTTACTCTATAAAGTGTAATTGGCCCAAGTTCAGTTCTACTGAATTAACTCTGAGAACTGCCATCTGTTAAGCTAAGTGGGTATGATTTATAGTCACTTCAGTTCCATTTGGTTTAGTGGACTTGAGTTTGTTCAACTAAATTCAGGTCCATTATGTTTTATGAGCTGAGTCTAATTAAACTTCATTAAGATGAATAGATAGAAGCTCTGCTTGAGCCAGTTTACGAGTTCAGTCCCTTCCCATGCCGATCTCCCACCTGAACCACACACATGTTAATGGGGCCCATGCATCAGCAACCTTCTGCACCTCAATAATGAACTGACTGAAGCCCCATCCCTGCACCCCCTGGAGCCAATATCTCCACTGCCCCATCCAGGCCAAGAAAGGGGAAGTTCCCCCAGAGGAACAGGGCCCCAGCATCAAGAACCTCGACTTCTGGTCCAAGCTGATCACTCTCATAGTGTCCATCATCGAAGAAGACAAGAATTCCTACACTCCCTGCCTCAACCAGTGAGTTGTGTGTCTATGTAGTTAATTATCTGGAGGTTATTGTGTATGTGTGTGCACAATTTTGTATCTAGTGCACAATCTTGTCTAATTATACATAAAATGTTGCATATGTGGGGAAAATAATAGGTGGGGTTATATCTAGATGAAATATAGCATAATTTGAAGACATAAGCATAAAATTGTGTATATGTACACAATTATTGATATAATCAGACATGTATTTTACATGTACTGATTTGTGTGAATAGCTGTGTACATATGTATATAATTTTGTATGTGTGTGTAGATTCATAAATAACAATAGATAATGTTCTAGTATTTACTGTGTGCAAAATACTCTTCTGAATTTTTTACACTTAAATTGCATTATCTCTTACATGTGTGGATGAACTTTGTGTGTAGTTGTGGTCTGTGGGTGTATGTGTGAATTGACTTCAATATACAATATTGTGTATTGTGTGTGACCGTGCAGTTTTGGTTTGTGGATTTATATATCTGTAGAATTTTCATCTCTTGTAATTTAAAGAGCTATTGTGTTTTATTTCTCCCTGAGGTGGATGCTAGAGGGAACCCAACTCTGAGGTGCCATGATCTCTTGGTTACTTAGATATGGAGTTAAGATCAGGGACATTGGATGGATGGATGAATGGATAGATGGGTGGGTGGGTGGGTGGGTGGATGGATGAGTAGGTGGATGGATGTATAGATGGATGGATGGATGGATGGATGGATGGATGGATGGATGGATATATTGGTGGAATAATGGATTGGTGGATAAAGAAATGGATATGTGAATGGATGAATAGAGAGATGGATGGATGGATGGATGGATGGATGGATGAAAAGATAGATTTAGATTGGTGGAAGGATGGGTAAGTGGATAAGGAATTGATGTATGTGTAGATGGATGGATAGATGGATGATTGGATGGAGGGATGGAAGGAGGGATGGAGGGATGGATAGATGGATGGATGGATGGATGGATGAATAGATAGGTTGATGGAAGAATGAGTGGGTGGATAAAAGGGATGGATGGATAGTGGATGGATGGATGGATGGAGAATGAAGGAAGAAATTGATGGATGGATGAATAGAGAGATGATGGGTAAATGGATGGGTATAGGGATGGATAAAGAGGTAAATTAATGATGGGGGGATATGTGGGTAGAGGCTCAGAAGAAGAAGGGCCTCAATGCAGAGTCACTCACCAAGTTGGTGACTGTGAGGGAACTTGAACACAGATCCCTCTGGCTGTACTGGACAATTCTTTGACGAGGAAGGCCTAAGAAGCCTATGCCATCTGGCTCCTACCTGTCAAGTTTTCGTACTTCTGTGACTTTTATCAGGTTTCCCCAGGAGCTGAATGTGGGTAAAATCAGTGCTGAAGTGATGTGGAACCTGTTTGCCCAGGACATGAAGTATGCCATGGAGGGTGAGTCCCCCAGGCCATGTCTCCCAACCTGGCTTGAGCAGACAGCTGTGTCTTCTCCAAGACTGTGAGTGCCCTGTACCTTCATGCCTGAGCTCAAATGCTAATGATGGCCAGTGTGGGCACTGCCAAGACAGATTGGCAGATCCTCCTGGCTGAGCCACCCCCTTATTCCCTGCTCCAGAGCATGACAAGCATCGCTTGTGCAAGAGCGCCGACTACATGAACCTCCACTTCAAGGTCAAGTGGCTCTACAATGAGTATGTGACAGAGCTTCCTGCTTTTAAGGACCGAGTGCCAGAGTACCCCGCGTAAGCCCCCGACCCAGAACCCAAATCAGAACTATAGTGCTGGCACTAGACTGAGGCCCAAAGAGGAAGGCTCAGCTATTCAAGGGTTCCTGGGCATCAAGGGCACGAGTGGGGCTCAAATCCAGGGTTCTCCATTCTTAGCCATTGGCCTATGGACTCCTGTAGCCAAACAATTAATAATCATAAGTATCAGGAACTGTGCTGAGCAGTCCCTCATGTCTTTTCTCATTTAATCCTTTCAACAATTCTATGAGATGGGAACATCATCGTTTTTATATTGTGGATGAAGAAATAGAGAGTTAAATGCTGGAGGATTTGCCCAAGGTGACATCTAGTAAGTGATGGAGTCCAGATTTGAACCTGGAATGTCTGGCTCACCAGCTGTGTTGGAGAGTGGGCTGGTAGCCACCATTTACCAACATATACTATGTTGGGATCTCAGGGAGTAAATCTACTTACCCCTGGGCAGTTTATCAATCAGGATTCACGGAAATCTGGCCTTGCACTAACAGTGGTCACTTGGTTCATTTCATGGGTGAAATAGCCAAGGCCAGGTAGAGGAGGGGAGCAGAGAGTGACCACCCAAGACCAAGGGTGAGTTCAAGCAGAGGGTTATGGAGACAAGCGATGGAAGGCCCCATCCCTACTCTCCATTCCAGGTGGTTTGAGCCCTTCGTCATCCAGTGGCTGGATGAGAATGAGGAGGTGTCCCGAGATTTCCTACATGGAGCCCTGGAGCGAGATAAGAAGGATGGGGTGAGAAGGCTAACCCACCACCAAGTTCTCAATCTCCCCACCGTGGATTTGCTCCCTCCGAGGTCCATAAATACAATCTGGGGACAAAAACTACCCTTGGAATGAGGCCAGTCTCTGAAGGGTACCCGCAACCTTTGTCCTATTTATGGTGTTTAAAGTATTTTGTTCACTCAACAGATGAATGTGAGTTTACCAAGCCTGACCCCACCCACCCACGCAGTGGCCTTGTGTCTGGCTCTAAGTCAACTTCACATACTATCCATCTCACCTAAGGCAGTTGGTCTCTGGCTCTCCTTGTGGAGAGTAGGAGGGTTGGGCTATGGAGACTGTCTGACTCTGACCACTCTCCTCTTTCCTGGCCTCCTTATCCTGCAGTTCCAGCAGACCTCAGAGCATGCCCTGTTCTCCTGCTCCGTGGTGGATGTCTTCTCCCAGCTTAACCAGAGCTTTGAGATCATCAAAAAGCTCGAGTGCCCTGACCCCCAGATCGTGGGGCACTACATGAGGCGCTTTGCCAAGGTGCAAGAGAGTGTGGGTGGGGTTGGGGTCCAGATGGGGGACAGGGTCAAGATTGGGGTGAAGTTGAGGTTGGGAATGGAGTCAGGATCAGGGTTGGGGCTGAGGTCAGGATTGAGGTCAAAGTTGGGGTTGGTGATATCCTCAACACTCCCAAATACTGTCTTCCATTCTCAGATGACCTTGTGGGACCCTATGTTTCTCCAGACCTAGACACTGAAACCATCCAGGATCCCTGGTGGTGGGGAGGGAAACTCTGGGGAGGGGTCCTGAGCCCTGACTCCCTGCTTTGTTCCCATCCGGATTGAAGTTGGGGTTGAGGTCTATGGAAAAACCAACTGCAACCACTGTGTTGGAGTAGGTCATGCCCTAGAGGTTGGAGTTGTGGTTGGGGACAGGGTTTGGGTTGAGGTTAGAGTTTGTGATGTTATTGAGATTGGAGTTGTTAGAATTTGAGGTTAGGGTTTGAGTTGAGATTGGGTTGATGATGTTATTGAGATTGGAGTTGAGGTTGGGATTAAGACTTAGGTTGAGGTTGAGGTTGATATCAGGATTGAAGTTGGGATTGAGTTGCAGGTAAAAGTTGGTATTGGTTATATCACTGGGATTGAGGTTAAGGTTGAGGCCAATATTGGGGTTAGTTCTTCCATAAAAGTTAGAGTTGTGTTGGGGACAGCATTTAAGTTGAGGTTAGGGTTGAGGGCAGGGTTGTAGTTAAAGTTGGAGTTGAATTTGGAGCTGGGATTAAGGTTGGGGATGGGGTTGAGGTTGGGGTTAGGTTTAAAATTAAGGTTAGGATTGGATTTGCTTTGGTATTATTAGAGTGTTGGGGTTTATAGAGAATTTGAGTGGAACCTGGGATGAGTTTGGAGGTTGACAACATTGGTCTGGGATTAGGTTCAATTGGATTTTCTTTAAGCTGGGTTGAAGTTGGGGTATGCAGGTAGGAACTAAGATTTGGTTTAGGATCAAGTTCATGCTTTTGGATGGGGCTGGGTATGTTAACAATCATATTAGATGGTTATTGCTCTGAAAAAGAGCTGAGTCTACATAAAATAATCACCTTCTCATGGTGGTGTCCCTCTTTATTGTGATGGTTATCCTGGGTGGAGAATTCACCCAGCCCAGTGGTCCATCTTAGGTGCTAAAGTGGGTTTGAGTTTATCCCTCATCTCATGGGTAGCTCTTGATGGGCCCACCCAACCCCAACCCCTCTTCTCAGCCACTCTCTCTGTCCTATCCAGACCATCAGTAATGTGCTCCTCCAGTATGCGGACATCATCATCAAGGACTTCGCCTCCTACTGCTCCAAGGAGAAGGAGAAAGTGGTGACCTGCGGGGACCCTTGTCCTCCTTCCTAACCCAATTCTGCACCCCAGAGTCCCATCCTTCCCTGGGTTCTGAGACCTGTGTCTGCTTATGTGTCAAGTTGTGTGTATCTGACTGTGTGTGTGTGTGTATGGGGGGATCTGGAGGTCCCCCCATACACACACACACACACACAGTCAGATACTTAGTGTGTCATTGTCTGGTTGTTGCAAATGAAGCCTTCAGGGCGTATGTATGTGAGCATGCAAAGCTTTGGTCCCATGTAGGAGAACATGAGTATGTGACAAGAACACCCCTTCCTGCTACTCTCAGAGGCCATCCCACTTACTTAGGTCCTCTTTCCCTCTGCCAATCCTCAGAGACCACCCTCCTCAACACTCCCAAATACTGTCTTCCATTCTCAGATGACCTTGTGGGACCCTATGTTTCTCCAGACCTAGACACTGAAACCATCCAGGATCCCTGGTGGTGGGGAGGGAAACTCTGGGGAGGGGTCCTGAGCCCTGACTCCCTGCTTTGTTCCCATCCGCAGCCCTGCATCCTCATGAACAACACTCAGCAGCTGCGAGTTCAGCTAGAGAAGATGTTTGAAGCCATGGGAGGCAAAGAGGTGAGGTGGGACCAAGTGGGGTGATGCCCCGTACCCCCATGGGCCCCAGAGCTCATATCTGATGAATTCCAGCTCAGCCAGGCCCTCAGGCCCAAGCAAGTGGCTTCACTGCCTGTGCCTCAGTTTCCTCCTGAGACCCTTAAGATCCCTTTCCCTGTGTTGGGTGGGGAAATGCCCCAGATTCGTGGCTGCTCTGTAAACTTGACCTGATGGGTGTCCCTTCCCCTTCCTCAGCTGGACGCGGAGGCCAGCGACATCTTGAAAGAGCTCCAGGTGAAACTCAACAACGTCTTGGATGAGCTCAGCCGGGTGTTTGCTACCAGGTGGGGGTACCTCCAAGGCTGGGAGCAGGGAGCGGGGCAGCCCCAGACCTAAGCCTGGGGCATAGAGAGACTCGGCAGGTGTAGTGGGGGAGACCTCAGGCTTGGAGTTAGATGAAGTTGAGTTCAATCATGGCTTCACTGCTCACTAGCTGGGTGGCCTTGGGTGAGTCACTTAACTTCTCTGAGCCGGAGTTTATTCATCTGCAAAGTGGGGATGATGATAACAATAGCACATGAGTAGGACTGTGTGATAAAATAAACAACACAGGTAAATGTCATAGCCTGATGCCCGATTCTGCTATTCTTAATGTTGTCCCCCCCTCAGTTATATACCATGGCTCCCTGATGCTGATGATAAAAGGTCACGGTCCACAGATCATCATTGATGGCCTCATCCAGTCCTTCCTCCACAGGCCAGGAGTCTGGTCTGAGCTTCTCCCTTTTATACCCCCAGCTTCCAGCCTCACATTGAGGAGTGTGTCAAACAGATGGGCGACATCCTTAGCCAGGTGAAGGGCACGGGCAACGTGCCAGCCAGTGCCTGCAGCAGCGTGGCCCAAGATGCTGACAACGTGCTGCAGCCCATCATGGACCTGTTGGACAGCAAGTGAGCCATGTCCGGTGGCCTCTGAGACCAGAGGCTGGCCTGGAGAGAACAAGTGGGCAGCTTGCTGGGTGGTGTTGGAATGGTTAGGAGGTATGTGGGTGGAGGCAATGAAGGGATGGAAAGATGAGTGGATACATGATTGGAAGATATGGTGAGTAAATATTTGTATAGATAAATGAATAGTGTTTGGATGGAAAGACATAAGGGTTAGGCAGGTGGGTAGATGAAAAGATAAATGCTAAAAGTCTAGATGGATGAAAGAATGGATGGATAGGCAAATGGGTAAATGAATGAAGAATGGATGGATAGTTGGGTATTTGGATGGATGAATAATTAGATGGACTGATGAGAATAAAGTTAAATGGAGGAAGTATACATGGGAAGATGGATGTAAGGAAGGAGGAAGGGAGGGAAGAAGGAAGAATAGCTGATGGATAGTTGTATGTATGAAAGGAAGGAACAGGGAGGAAAGAAGGAAGGAAGGAAGGAAGGAAGGAAAGAAGGAAGGAAGGAAGGAAAGAAGGAAGGAAGGAAGGAAGGAAGGAAGGAAGGAAGGAAGGAAGGAAGGAAGGAAGGAAGGAAAAAGAGATGGAGTAGCACTAAAAAAAGTTGGGGTAGGGATGGTTTGGTGGATGGGGGTCAGTTGCTGGATGAATAATGGTAAATTGCCCTCTCCTTCAGCCCTCAAATGTCCAATCATAAATTCTTTGTTGTTTTCCCTCCTAAGTCTATCCTCTTCCTGCCATTCCATTCTCCTTCCTATCAAGCATGGCCCCAGCCTCCTCACAGTCCTTGTTCTCCATACAGCCTTCTAATCCAGTTTATTGCCACTCTGTTCTTTCAAACAATAATGTCTCTCTCTCTCTTAAATATCCCATGGCTCCCATTGCCTTCATGCTAAGGCCCAGGCCTTTCTCCCAGACTTTGAGCCCCCTTCCTGCCTGGCCCTGCTGAGCTGTCCAGCCACCTTTGCCCTCCACACGTATCACATACTGTAGCTCCACCAGACACCCAAGGTCCTTTATAGGCTCCGTGCAAGGGATGCCTTCCCACCTTGCTCATATGTTGAAGGGAAGGGCCTGGTTCTCCAGGTCAGGGCCAGCTGGGCCCTCTCTCAGATCTACTCCTCACCCCCAGCCTGACTCTTTTTGCCAAAATCTGCGAGAAGACGGTGCTGAAGAGGGTACTGAAGGAGCTGTGGAAGCTGGTGATGAACACCATGGAGAAGACCATTGTCCTGCCACCCCTCACTGACCAGACGGTGAGGCCCACAAGGGTCAGAAGGGATGCCTGGGCCACCTTCTCTCTTGGGAGCCCAGAGAGCTTGGTGCCAAAAGATTGAGGTTCAGAGGTTGTCCAGGGACAAATGTCATCCAAGGGTTGTAGAAGCCACCAGAGGTAAATGAGGCCAAAGATCAGAGAGGTTACACAGGGGCCAAAGGTCATAAAAGGGTCAAAGAGGTCAAGTAGAGTCAAATGACATCTAAGGGACTTAGAGGTCACATGGATCAAGAGGTCGTTCAGAAGTCAGAGATCACCCAGAAAACAGGTCACCTTGGGGCTCAAGGCCACCCATGGGACACAAAGGTCATAGGGGTCAGTGAGCTTATCAGAGGCCTTTGGGGGGTTCAATCAAGAGACAAGGAAGGGAGACACCATGGAGTTCAAAAATCAGAGAGGACCAGAACAGAGGCTCTCCCAGAGGTTAGATAGAGGTCACCAAGAGCATTGAGGTCAGAGATGTCAAGCAGAGGACTGTGCCTCTGGGCCTGTTTGGGGACCAGCTCAGAGACAGGGATCAGGCTGTCGGGTGGGAGTGGGAGAATCATGATGTCTGTGGAGGGTGTGGCTGGGCATGGGTCCTTCTGGGGAGGCATTGAGGGCCTGGATAGTCTTAATACATGTATCGATGGCTCAACACAGAGTGGGAGGGCACTCCTGGGTGAACGTGGACAGCTTAGGGAGGGTGGAGGGGCCCCTCAAGAGGCAACGATGGTGTCGGCGGCTCAGACCTACCTCAGCCAGCCCCGCCTCCTTCAGGCTGGGCTGGGGCATGGGTGCCCTCTCTGCCCTCTCCCTGGGCTTCAGGGAGACTCATGGTGACTTATTCCCCCCTCCCTACCACCTGGCCCCCATCATGGCTGACAGATGATCGTAAGTAGAGGCCCTTCTGTCCGTCTGTCTGTCCGTCCGCTCTGTGTCTGGACTCGGCCCACTGCGTGGCTGCAGCCCCCCCTCTCCCCCCCAGTGCTCCCTCCTCCCCCACTGCCTGTCCCCCACTGTCCCACCTCTTGCCTAGTTGTGCCTGTGTCTGTCTGGGTCCGGGTATGGGGAGGAGGCGGGGCCTGGAGGGAGGGAGGCCACGCCCACCACCTTGCCCCATTATAAATATGGAGGCAGTGCCTTCAAGTTTCCCAAACCCCAAACCTTCATGTCTACCCTAGTCCTTTAGTTGTGACACCCCCCCCCCCCAATTCCATGATCAGATGCCAGTAAGGTATCTGAGTATCTCCTAGACACTAGGAGGTTCAAAGTCAACACAGCCCCTCCAACCTCCCCTTTGGGCTCACCACTCAGGACCCTACTCAGCTACTCAGGGAGGCCCTCCACCACTCCTTCCCAGCCCCTCCTGCACACACAGACACACACCATCCCAGACACACACCCAAGCACCTTGGTGTCAGACAGACTTAGTGTCAAATCCCAGCCCAGCTCCTCTCCTCTCTCTCTCTCTCTCTCTCTCTCTCTCTCTCTCTGACCTTGGAAAGTCACTTCACCTCCCAACCTCCATTTCTGTAACTGAAAAATCAGTTAATTGTAGCAACTGTCGGAGTGTTTTTGTCAGAACCAAATGGGATGATGCGGTAAAGTGATCATCTCGCCTGGCAGGTGTTGCTCGGTGGTTGAGCATCTGTCCATGAACCAGGAGGTCACGGTTTGATTCCTGGTCAGGGCACCTGTCCAGGTTGGGGGCTCCATTTCCAGTGGGGGACATACAGGAGGCAGCCCATCAATGATTCTCTTTCATCATGGATGTTTCTATCTTCTCTCCGTCTTCCTCTCTTTGAAATCACTAAACACATATTTAAAAAAATAAATAAAGTGCTCATCTCCATGTCTAGTGGGGGCAGTGCTCACTGAATTAGACCTTATATTGTTTTTATGGAGAGGGTAGTATTGGACACATACCAGGGCAAAAATCAGTAAAACCACTTCAGATTCCCCCCCTTGGTGAGAAAGACCAGGCTGTTACAGTATTTAATCTCATCAGAAGTTCACCAAGAGCTTGTCTTATTTCTTTTTTAAAAAATACATATTTTAGCTTCCTCCCCTCTCCCCTCTCTCTTCTCCCTTCTCCCTTCTCCCCTCTACTCTCCTTCCTCCTCCCTTCTCCCTCCCCCCCTCTCTCCCCCTCCACTCTCTCTCTCTCTCCCCTTTCCTTCCCCCTTTGCTTCCTTTCTTCTAAATTAAATAAAAATAAAAAACAAAACAAAAAATATGTATATATTTCATTTATTTTTTACAGAGAATAAGGGAGAGGGATAGCGAGTTAGAAACATCCATCAGCTGCCTCCTGCACACCTCCTACTGGGGATGTGCCTGCAACCAAGGTACATGCCCTTGACCGGAATCGAACCTGGGACCCTCCAGTCTGAAGGCTGACACTCTATCCACTGAGCCAAACTGGTTAGAGCTCATCTTATTTCTTGCCAGCTTCAGCATGTGTCTTTGGCTGTAACCACAGATCATGCCCTTGTGGGGAGGGAGCAAAGGGAATTCCCGTATGCCAGACCTCAGCTCACCTTCACGACAACCTTTTGAGCAAGGTGGATGCTATGATTCCCATTCTGCAGATGAGAAAAGCTGAGACTTAGGAGGAGTCACTTACTCAAGGCTGCAGAGTAAACAGATGCCAGAGTCAGGATTGAAGTTCAGGTCTGTCTGAATAGGAAGCCCTTTTGCTTTCCTGTTAACCCAGGAACCAAAGCCTCATCTATACAGTACATGTAAATGGATTGTATTCCGGCAGCAGCTTCTCTCCTTTCTCTCTGGCTCTGTGTTTCTATTTCTCCCTCTCTCTTTCCTGTCTTTCTTGCTCTCTCACACATTTGAAGAATTGGTCATTAAGACACACACACACACACACACACACACACTTGCAATCCAGTCAGCAGCCCCCAGGGCAGTGCATATGGCCCGCCCCCCTCCCCCACCCCCATAGCTACCTGTGTGATCGTCCTGGGCTCCCGCCCCCTACAGCTTGCCAGGTTGATCACCCTGTGGCATTGTCTCTGCAGGGCACCCTCTTGAGAAAACATGGCAAGGGATTAGAAAAGGTAATGAGGGCCTCGCTCGTGCTGAGGTCCTGAGCCGTGGTGTCTGGGCATGTGTGTGTGCATGTCTGTGTCTCTGTGCCTGGGCAGGACGGTCCCCTGGGGGTCACGAGTTGAGGAGATGAGGGTCCCAGCCACGTCCCACAAAACCAGAATTCAGAAAGGAGGCATTTCACCTCCCGGGACATGGCTTGCAGTGTGTGGGTACGTGTGAGCTAAGGTGTACACGTGCAGTTCCCACCCGAAGGGTTTCTCCCAGCCCCAGGCTCAGCTGAAATTCTGAGGTTTCAAGCAGAGCCCAGGCACTGACCCACTGCCATGGACTGAGACGTTTCTGTTTTTTTCGTGTAGATGTTTTTGTTCTAGTTGTTGTTTATTGTAAAGAGATGGGAGCTGTAGCAAGACATGAACCGTTGCCCTTGCTGTGCACCTGTCACCTGTGTGCACACAACGGGGTCTCCACTTTATGGACATGGATGGGAGGGCTTCCCCACTCACTCATGCAGCCCTTTAGAGGACACATTCAATGTGCCAGGCAATGTACACTCTCGGGGGGCGTGGGTTTGTGAGTGTGATTGTGTGCACACGGGCAAGTGTTTAGGCGTGGACTTGTATATCTTAGCCTGTGAGTTCTGCATGTGTATGTCTTTGTATGTCAGTCTGGAGGTGTGTGTACATAAGCTCTCTACACGCCCATGGCTGTGCCTGGATGTGTGTCTGTGTGTTGCGTGAACTTGTGATACCTGTCAGCACTTTCCCTGTAGAGTCAGGCCTGCCCAGGTAAGGTCTTGGAAGTTGGGGAACAATAGACCTGGAGCTCTGTCTCTTTTCTTCCCCTTCCCAAGGCGCCCCACCTGGGCAGGCTGACGTGGGATGGGGCACCTGTCCCAGGTGATGGGCTGGTTCCAGGCTCCTGGCTTGGCAGTCTGGGAGCCTGGCCCCAAGCCCGCACTGGGGGCAGGGAAAGCACCTAGCTGGGGAGGGGGCTCAGCATCAGACCCAGGACCCGGGGGGGGGGGAATGTGTGGGCTGGAGGGCGGACTGTGCTTTGAGAGGGCAGGGAAGTCCCACTGACTATCCTCCCAGCCGACACCTGAACTCTGACCTCCGCCTGATTCTCTTCACAGGGCAGGGTGAAACTGCCAAGCCACTCAGATGTAAGACCGACCTCTCACTGTCTGTCTGGCTCCCTCTCCCCCACCCTCCCCGTGCCATCCAGTGGCATTCTGTGAACCTGTCTGTCGGTCTCTTCTTCCTCTGTCTGTCTGGCTTGCTTGTGAGGGGTGGGGGTGGGGGTGAGGGCGGGCAGCAGGCAGGGCGGAGGGGGTATCCAGGGAAGCTGAGGCCCAAGCAGCTGGGCTCGGGGAGTCACAGCCCAGGCACAGGAAGAGTAGGGACAGCCAGGATGATGACAACACTGGTAGTGCCAGGATAGCCGGCTTCCATGGGTCAGCTGGTGGATTGTCCATGTAATGCCAAATGTCCCAGCGATAAATGGCTGCTTCCCTGCCCAACCCCATCTGTGGCCCCCCGACCACCCCAGGACTCCCTATTTCATTGATACTCAGCCCCACACTGTCACCCAAGAGGGTGCCCCTATTAGCCAGTGGAGGAAACTGAGGCCCAGAAAGCATCTGGGACACAACTCAAGTCACCCGGCACGGTGACAGAGGCGCCAGGACCTGGACTTCCAGGCCTGGACCCTGTCTTCCCCAGCACTGCCCCTGACCTTGAAACCGAGTGCTAGTGACAGTAAAACCTGGACAAAGACGCTCAGTTCCAGCTAAACCTTGAAGTGGATATGATTTCCTTCGTCCAGATGGCAAAACTGAGACTCAGAGAGGTTAAGTGACTTGCCCAGAGCCACACAGCCGAGCTGGGATTTGAATCCAGGCCCGCTCAGCTTGTTGGAGCTATAACCAGGACACCATCTTGCTTGAGAGGGGAGAAGTGGGGAGGTTATATTGAGATGTGTGTTGGGAGGATTCTTTCTTTAAAAGGTCAGACTAAAGTCTCCCCCGCAGGTTACTGGGGAACTCCTCCCCCCGAGGGAATGGTCCTGCAGGGAGTGAGGGTTCGATAGAGCCCATCCCACGGTTTCCTCCAGACCCTCTGACTTTGGGCTGGCAAGGCCCACCCAGACCCACAAACATCATCCAGGTCCCCACCCCCACCCCTCCACCCACTGCCCCTTGCAGCCCACTCTCTCATCCTTTCCCTTCTCTGACCCACAAACCCAGGGTCATGATGGAGGTGGAGGTGGGGGGTGGTGATAACATCCCCACAAGACTGGGATTTCTGGGGACAATCACAACCACCCCTTAGCACTTCATGGCGGGGCGGTGATGCGGGGAGGTCCAGACCTCTGTCTCTGCGACACAACCATTGCCCTGCCCAGGGCCTTTGGACAAGAACTAAGAAGACTCCAGGGCTAGGGTGTCATCAGGGGCTTGGGGACTGGGCTGGGGGACTCCCACGCTGACGTGGCCGTGTCTCTTGTCATCTGCAGGGAACCCAGATGATCTTCAATGCGGCCAAGGAGCTGGGTCAACTGTCTAAACTCAAGGTGCGGCCAGGAGTGAGGGGAGGTCAGGGTCGGGGGATTGCTTGGGAGGAGTCCCGGAATAGTGACCGCTTTTTAGGTTCAAGGGACAGGAGGATCCCTGCTCGGACGGGCTTACGCACAAATTTTTTGCTCCGGTGTATTGGAAAGGTACAGCTTGGTCAAGAGTATAAACCGTTTACTCAACACATACTTACGGCGCGCCTGCTGTGGGTGCGGGCATATGCTGGCACCGGGCACACAAGGATGAAGAGCAGACCCGCTATCCGACTCCTCACTGATTTACAGGGATGAGTACCTTAGCCAGGCAGATCCCTAACGAGGGCCTGCTCTGCCCACCTGGCCCCTCTCTCTCTCCATCCAGGACCACATGGTACGAGAGGAAGCCAAGAGCTTGACCCCAAAACAGTGTGCAGTTGTTGAGCTGGCCCTGGACACCATCAAGGTGAGAGGCCCCACCCCTGCCCACCGGGGAGGCAGGCAGAGGGTGTGGGGGTGTGGACAGGAACCTTCATTCATCCCATTTCTGAACACTCCCTGCTGACCCTCTGGCAAGGCCCTGAGAGGCCCCAGCCAGGGGGCTGGGGGGCAGACCGTTGGATACAGACATCTTTAGGCCTGTGGTCAGGGTGCTGTAGAGGGAAGAATGGAAGCTGGGGTAGCCTAGGGCAGTGGTCAGCAAACTCATTAGTCAACAGAGCGGCAAACCACTGCTCGAAAGCTGCAAGCCACAGTTTGCCGACCACTGGCGTAGGGAGAGAGCAGCAAGGACTTTCTAGAAGAAAACATGTGGGAGGTGGGTTTTGAGAGATGCGTAGGAGTTCACAAGGCAAAGCAAACAGCGTTCCAGGCAGGGGCCCAGCCCATGCAAGAGCATGGAGTCACGAAAGAGGCTGTGGTCTGCATGGAATGAAAACTACTCTGAAAAACATGTTTTGCTAAAATGGAGCTGGCAGCATATTAAAGAGGAAACCTTAATCAAAGAAAGACAAGGAGCCAGATAAGATCAGGGCCAGAGGACCTCACCCCCAGTGATCATAGGAAGTGCAAAGGCCCTGAGGCAGGCATGGTCTAGGGAAGACAATGGAGAAAAGTCAAGGAGGTTGTAGGGTTGAAGCCCATGGGCCTGGGAAGGGCGCGGAGGCATGAGTGCTATTCTGAGGGTGCTGGGAGCCCACTGGCAGGGTGGGGGCAGGAGTGGAGGTGGGGGAGCAGCGGCACCAGACTTGAGTGGAGGCCCTGGGCTCATCCAGTGCATTGTTGCAGAGGGCAGAGGGATGGCGGAGGACAGGGCGGGAGGGCCCGCTAGGAGGAGCCCGTAGGGCTGCCTCTGCCCTCACTTCCCCACCCTGTGCCCACAGCAATACTTCCACGCCGGCGGCGTGGGCCTCAAGAAGACCTTCCTGGAGAAGAGCCCGGACCTGCAGTCCCTGCGCTATGCCCTGTCCCTCTACACGCAGGCCACCGACCTGCTCATTAAGACCTTCGTGCAGACGCAGGCCGCCCAGGGTAAGGGGCGGCAGCGTGGCCCCAGGCCAACACTCACCACGAGCATTGGCTCGTCTGTGGCACCAGGAGCGCGTTAACAGATCCCTGGCGCTTGTGAACCGCTTGGTCCTGGGCCAATGAGTAATTCACCGTTTGTGGGGAAATCCATGGGCCTCCTAGAGCCAGAAGTGATTGAAAGCTCTGGGGCGGGGCCTCTTTGACAGCTGCTAGGACCAAGGTGATGGACAGATGCTAGGGGCGCGCGACCTGAGGCGTGGTGGGCCGCTGTGGCGGGCCGGCCTCTGGGACTGGGGGACGGGGAGGGAAGGGGAGGAACTAAGGAGTGATTGACAGCTTTGGCATGGGCGGGACTTGTGCCCTCCTGTGGCCAATGAGCGGTTGGCAGCTCCAGGGGAATGACATCTGGAGGAAAGGTTGAAGGCTCTTAGGCTAAGGAATGATTGACAATCCCAGGGATGGGAGGAACCCCAACCTAGAGGGGGTGTGGGGAGAGGAAGTTCCCATTTCTCAGATTCTTTCCAACCCCGCTCAGTCTCCTGTCCCTCTCTGAGCTCACACACCCCAGCTCAGGTTGGGGGACAGGACTCCGGGGTCCTAGTCCCCTCACCAGGGACCCTCCCCTTTTCAAAATTGTCTCTGAGAGTACAAACAAGGGTGAGATGTTCGGTCACTGACCTGGCAGTGGGGAGCGGGTGTTGGGGGGCGGGGGGAGGCTGGGGCGGGGGAGCAGGCCCTGCGCCCACCGAGAGGGGCCCCTTTCCCCACCGCAGGGCGCTCCCTGGGCGTCAGGACTCTGCCCTCCTCTTCGTGCCCGGTCCACCTGCTGCTTCTAGTGTCCCCGGTGTCCCCCGGAGCGGGAGGCTGTCTGTCTGTCCACCTGCAGCTGACGTTTCTCTCTCTCTTGTCTCTCCTCCCCGCCACTCGCCGCCCCTCCGCGCCTCCCCTGCTCCCCCCACGCACACTCGCCCTCCATCCTCGCCCCCGGATTGCTCGTCTCTGTCCCCGCTTCCCTCCCTTCTCCCCCTCCCCCGCGATTAGTCCATGGTGGAAAAGGGACTAGGTTTACCCTTAGTGAAGACATTTATCCTGAGAAGGGTACGTGCCTCCGCCGCCCGCCCGCCCCTCCCCGCGCCCGGTGCCCGGTGCCTGGTGCCTGCGCCCCCCCAGCCGCGGCTAGTAAAAGGCCGTCCTTCCGCCTCAGCCCCGGGCTGGGCCGGCCGCCCGCGGGGCCCCGCGGACAAGGAGGAAGGATGGCTTGCTGGTTCCACGTGGGGAAGGGGAGGGAATTCCAGTCGGCATCCTAAGTGCAGCTCTTAAGCCGGATCCCAGCTCTGCCAGCCCTGGCTGGGCACCCGGGGCACAGCTCGGGCCCCTGAGCTCCGTTTTCTCATCGCTAAGCTGGAGGAAGTCAAGGACCTTCATTCATGGGATGCGATGGATTAAATCTAGAGCAGGTTCTGGCCTTGAATAGCACCTAGCAATTTTTAGTTACTGCTGCTGCTGCTGCTGTTGTTACTGTTATGTTTGATATCACTTTTCCGAATGTAGAAAACTACCCTTTTTTCAAACTCTAACTGTGAGTCAGCCCTTGCACTAAGAACTTCTCAAGGACTCTTACAAAGATTCCTTCTGAACGCCACACAAAGGGGGTTTATCATTCCATAAATGGGGAAACCGTGCCTCAAAAGAGAAGCCACTTGCCCAGGGATCCTTACCCTGCAGGGGAGCTGGGCCTTGGAGGGGGGGGGGGGGGGGAGAGAAGCACAGACAGGCCCTCCCAGGAAAGACCCTTCCTCTTGGAGCCAGCAAACCACGGGATGGGGGCTTCCAACACTGCCCCCCTCCCCCTTCTTACTAGCTTTGGCCTTGGTCTGACCCCTCACCTGTCCCAACCACTGTCCGGTTCCCTCCTGGCACCCTCAGTCTGGCCCTGATTGAGCTTGCAATGAAGCATCAGCCTGGGGTGGGGGTGGGGGAGGTGAGGCTGAGCATGTGATTGGGGGAGGGGGTGGGGGCAAGAGCCTGAGATGATAAGGAAAGCGGCCTGGGGTAGCAGCAAAGATGGGGGTGCACTCCCCAATACTGGGGTGCTGGGGGGTGGGCAGGTTTTCATGCCCTTGAGCCTCTAACTTCCTGCCCCTCGCAAGTGACCCGGATCAACCTTGGACTGACCCATTCCCCTTCCCACCCCCACCCCCACATTCCTCCTGTTCCTCCCCCGTGCATGGGGTGCACCACGCCTGGAGAGCTTCCTGGGGGGCTTGGGAGGGGCCTGGCCGATGAGCTGGCAGCCACAGGCCCCCAGGCCCCACAGGGGGCAGAAGCTTTTCCCAGTAGCTAACCTCCAAGGATCCTCAGCACAACCAGTCAGGATGCGTGTGCTGGCCGGAAACAGAAGTGCACCTCACCCTGACTCAGTAGACAAGCGAGCTGGTTGGCTCTGGAACTGAAAAACTAGAGGTTGGGTTGGCATCAGGAATGGCTGGATCCAGAGTCTTCAGCAACGCCACTGGTCACCGATCGCTGCAGACACCGCTTCGGGGTGGCCTCTCCCCGCATTAGGCAGAGACAGCCTTGCTAGTTTAGCACCAGAGAGACAGACTCTTTCCTAATAGTGACAGCCAGAGTCCCAGGGCCAACGCCTACTGGCCCAGCTTGAGTCACATGACCATCCCTCTGCCTATGGTTGCAGCCAGGGGCAGGGGACGCTCTCACTGGACAGCCATGGTTCCTTTGGCCGCCCCTGAAGTGGGGGATGGAGCCACAAGGTCTTAGGGGAGGGTGGAGGCATTTCCAAATAGAAACGTGAGATTGTCTATTAGAAGAGGAAAGGTGAGGAGGCAGGGAAAATGAAAGAGGAAGTCCACGTGGCTGGAGCAGAGTTAGCAAAGGTGAGAGTGGAGGGAGGTGAGGCAGCAGAAGTAACAGTGAGGCATATCTGGAGGGACCCTGCAGGTCACAAAAGGACTCCATTACTTCAGAGTGAGATGGGAGGGTTTTGAGCGGAGGAGGGATGTGATCTGACTTAATAGGGTTTCTCCGGCTGGTGTACTGAGAGAAGCTCAGAGGAGGATGCAAGGAGACAGGGAGGAGTCTGCTGTAGCAGCCCAGGAGTGGGACGATGGGGGCTGGGCCAGGATGGAGGTCAGGGAGGTGGGGGAGATCCTGGATGTACAATATTTTGAAGGTAGAGCTGGTAGGCTCTTCGAATGTACAAATGCTTAGGGAGGAAGTAAAGGGGATCGAGGAGTGAGGTATTGGGTGCCCCAACAGCTTGAGGATTGACAGAAAAGGAGGAAGTGACAAAAAAAGGTGAGAGTGACTAGTGTGTAGGATGAGAAATTGGAGAGTGTGGTATTATTGTAGCCAAGAGGAGAAACTGAGGCACCGAAGCCAGATTCTGCCAAGATGGTGTGTAAGATGAAGACTGAGTTTTGACCTTATGATAGTAAAAAAAAAAGGGGGGTGGGGTGGGGTGCAGAAACATTAGGCTGAGAGAAGTTATGAGATCTACTTGAGATCACAGAGCAAGGCAGTGAAAGGCCAGAGGCCCGGGTTCCCGGCCTCCCCAAGATTCCCTACCACTCCAGCCAACCCTCCGTGCCCCCCTGTCAGGGCTGTTGACCTGGTGCTGCCAGCACATCGTGGGCAGGGGGCAGTCCGGGTCCCTCCTGGTGGGTGGGAAGGAATGGAGCTGACGCCAGCCTTCTGCCCTGCCCCCCCCCCCCAGGCTCCAACGTGGAAGACCCTGTGGGCGAGGTCTCCGTCCACGTGGAGCTCTTCACTCACCCGGGAACCGGCGAACACAAGGTCACAGTGAAAGGTGAGCAGCCTGGGGTGGGAAGGGGAGTGCCCCAGCCAGGATGCACTAGGTTCTAACACAGAAACCACACTGTTGGCTTCAGCAAAAAACTTTCTCAATAAGAAGACGTTTCATTCCAGCCCTGGCCAGTGGGCATCATCCCACGCACTGAAAGGATGTTGATTCAATTCCTGGCCCGGGCACATGACTGGGTTGCAATCTTGATCCCCGGTAGGAGGCATGCAGCAGGCAGCTGATTGACGTTTTGCTCTCACATAGATGTTTCTCACTTTCTCTCCCTCTCCCTTTCTCTTTCTCTAAAAATCAATTAAAAATCTTTAAAAACAAAAACGAAAAATTCCAGAAGTATACCACCTTCAGGCATGGTTGAATCCAGGGGTGTAAACAGTATTAACAGGACTGAGTTTCACTTTCTCCATCTCTCAGCTCCTCTATCCTTTTGTTTGCTTTTATTTTGTTAATTAAAATACACGTCTATGTTAGCCCTGGCCTAGAATGACAGTGGCTTGAACAAGATAGAATACACTTTTCTCTGAGTTGACTCCAAGAACAATGAGAGCTGACTCTGAGGCATCACAGTGTTGGGGATGCAGGCCCCTGACATCTTTTGTTGTACTTCTATCCCTGATATGTTTTCCTCCTCTATGGAGTCCCAGATAACTCAGCCCTCACCACTATCCAAGCCTTCAGCTAGAGCAGTGGTCGGCAAACTCATTAGTCAACAGAGCCGCAGTTTGCCGACCACTGAGCTAGAGGAAAGAGAAGTTTAGGGCATTTTCCCTTTTAAGCCATAACCTTGGCTACACTTAGCTACAGTAGCATGCTGGGAAATGTAGTCTTTCAGACAGGCTTTGAAAACCATGGCCCCAAATTGAGGAAACCTGACCAATCTTCTCCTCTACTTCCTCCAATAGTGGTGGCTGCCAATGACCTCAAGTGGCAGACTTCTGGCATTTTCCGGCCGTTCATTGAAGTCAACATCATTGGGCCCCATCTCAGCGACAAGAAACGCAAGTTTGCAACCAAATCCAAGAACAACAGCTGGGCCCCCAAGTACAATGAGAGCTTCCAGTTGTGAGTCTGGGGTGCTCTGGGGAGGGGGTATTTGCCGGTTACCCTCAGCCCACTAGGCAGGAGGGGTGTCCGATGGGCACAGGGGTGTGAGAGGTCACGTCCTAGGTACAGTTAGTGGGAACGGAGGCACTTTTGTGCAGAACTGACATCGGTGTGGGAACACTGAGATGGAGTTGACCACCTTGGGGGGCAGGCAGGTGTGTGTTTGGAGTGATATAACACCATGATGAAAGCTTGTAAAGTGGAGGGGAAATCTGAGCAGAGGGGTGTGCTGGTTAGGGCCAAAGTCTGGAGACTCTGGTGGTTGTATAGTGTAGGTGGCCATGGTGGGGGGGTTGGGGACTCATGGAGTCAGCTGTGAGCCTTGTCGGGGCCGTTGGGGCAGGTTATCTGGAGGAGTCTGCTGTGGGGACGGGAGTGGATTGTGGTTTGGTTTAGGAAATGGGGATGTGTATCATGTGAGGTGGGGGGGGTGTCACTCTGGATAGGGTTTCCTGGTGGGCAGCTGTGAGCTTGGTCAAGGCATCAGGTGTCTAGACAGGACCGACCCTGGGGAACGCACATAACTCTGACCAGGGTGCACAGGGGGGTTACCTGGGTGGGTGAAGTCACTGGGTGGATTTCTGGATGAGGTGTGAACCTCACTGGAGCAGGGTAACTCTGGGGGCTGTTCTTGAGGGACAGAAGTACAGAGGGCATCAGAGCTGGGAGAGTTGAGGGGCCCTGAGGGACAACAGCGGCCAGTTATGTTAGAGAGCGAGGGGCCGGAGGACGTGGGAGTAATTGGTCACCTGACACAACGCTTGGGAGCAAGAACACGGCCTCGTGGGGGTAGATGCCTCCTGGGGTGGGCTAGGAGTGCGGCCTGAGAGCAACATGGAGTGGGGGGAGGCTCATCATCTGCTAGCATCAAGGCCAGTCACCTGAGGGGCAGAAGCCCGGCTTCACTAGAGATGCAGCCTGGGGGCATGGAGAGTCACGCTGAGACTTCAGGGCTGGGTCTCATGGGAGGGCATCTTGAGGATCTAGGTACCATGGGGGAGAGGCCTGCATCCAGGTGAGGACTGGAGTTCTGGTGGGAGCCTGGTAATGGGGCTTCTGGGTGCAATATCTGAAGCAGCAGGATGGTGAGGTCAACTGCTCAGCCGATTAAGGGTTTGGACGCTGGGTACCACAGAGTGGTAGGAACATGGCCAAGCCAGGGAGGGTCTGGGGGAAGATCACTGGAGTAGGGACATGATTTGACCAGGCTGATGGGATGTCGTTGCGTGGGGAGCAGAATGGAGGGAAGAGAGACATGGCACAGACATTTCTTAGTGGATATGGTGGGGGAAAGGAGGTCAGCAGGTGTGGACATGGCCTAGCGAAAGGCTGAAGATCACTGGGGCAGGGACTGATGGCCTGAAGGGGGAAGTCATGAAAATGGGAGGATTGCGCGTGGCGTGTGTGGTCTAGCGCGGGGGGCGGAGCCGCCTGGGTGGCCGAGGGGGAGGGGTCTGGCGTGGGGCGTGGCCATCGGTGGGGTGGAGCTGGCCGGTGGGCGGGGCCCGGCCTGACGCCCCGCCCTCCGCAGCACGCTGAGCGCGGAAGCGGGCCCGGAGTGCTACGAGCTGCAGGTGTGCGTCAAAGACTACTGCTTTGCGCGCGAGGACCGCACCGTGGGGCTGGCCGTGCTGCAGCTGCGTGAGCTGGCCCAGCGCGGGAGCGCCGCCTGCTGGCTGCCCCTCGGCCGCCGCATCCACATGGACGACACGGGCCTCACGGTGCTGCGCATCCTGTCGCAACGCAGCAACGACGAGGTAGCCAAGGAGTTCGTCAAGCTCAAGTCGGACACGCGCTCCGCCGAGGAGGGCGGTGCCACGCCCGCATCCTAGGCGGGACGCGCGGGCGCGCGGCGTTGCGCGGGCGCAAAGGGGCGGGGCGGCGCCTGCGCGCTGGGACCTCCCTGAGGGCGTGTCTGCGGGCTTGGCTCCGAGGACCGTGTGCGCTTGCGCCCTCGACTTAGCTTCCCACCGAGGAATTCGGAATGGACGGTGCCCCGCCCCCTCGGGAGGCCACGCCCCAGGGCGCGGGTAGGGCGGGGGGGAGAGGAGGAAAAAGCCACATTCCCTCCCTGCGGCCACGCCTGCAGCGCCTCCGGGGCCTTCGGAGCTGGGATGGGAGACCCCCGTCCCTAACTGAGGAGGCCTGGTCCCCGGGCTCTGGTCCCCTGTCTCCTGTCCCAAGGAAAAGCCATAAGACGGGTCCCCAACCCCTGGGCCCAAGACCAATTGCCAAGTATGGAACTTTCGGTCCCTCGAGGGGCGGGCCCGAGGCAAGGGGCAGGGCTTCCCGGAGCACCCCCTGGTGGTCTGGGGGCTGGAGGGACTAGGATGGTAGTTGGAGGGCCTTGGTGGACCCCAGTCCCTTTTTATGTTTGTGCAAAATAAGAGGAGGATGAAATTTCAAAAGCACATGCGCCCTCCGGCGCCCAAACCCTGGGGGCCCAGGGAAGGGCTCTGGGGCACCCGCATTGCCCTATGGGCTTTTTCTCCTCTTTACCCCCCACATGCCCATAGAGTTCAACTCACTCGTTTGACAGATGGCAAAAAGCCGCAAAGAGTTGCTGAGGGACCCAGTGCCAGCCTTGTCCGCACTCCCCTTGGCCTGTGTGCCCCATCCAAGGGTGGACTGAGATGACCCCACCGAGCTCCCCATTGCTGCTAACCCCCCTCAGGGGACCTCCCCCAACCCTTACAAGGAATGGGGGTCTGGGCCAAGCCTACTACTGCCCCCTCCCACCTCTGGTTGCCAAGAAAAACTCCCCGCCCCCAGCCCTTTCCGCTAGGACCCCTGGGAGATGCCCGAGAACTCTTGACCTCCTGCCAACAAAAAAGTGAGGATTTGGGATTTTCTGGACCCAGCCCCCTGCTCGCTCCTTCTCCCAGAATTCTCCAGACAGGAAAGAATGGAAAGAGACTAGAACTCAGCACAAACATCTCATCTAGGAAATCATCACTGTTCCCCCTCAGGACGCCCCCACCCTTGGCCCTGGAAGCAGTGGGACTGGGGGTGCTTGTGGGGGACTCTGTTCTCTCCAGACTGGGGTCTGAGGCCTCTCAAGGCCCACACAGGCTGTGGGGCACGGGGTGACAACGAGGCATGCCTAGTGGAATTATGTCCCGGGGAACCTCAGTGTGTGCCCACGCATCCACATGTGTGTCTGCCCACGGCCATCCCCATTACCAACCTCCCCCTCCAGCACAGGTCTGGGCACACAGGGTATTTGAGCCAGACTGCGGCTTGATCACAGACAGAATGACGAGGGGACATGGGAGGGACGGGAGAGGAATCCAGGGAGTGGGGAGGGTTTGAAATCAGGAGCAACAGGGCTCAGAGAGGAGCAGGACTTGCCCCAGGGCCACCCAGCACGTGTATGTAGTGCCCAAGCGTGGGTGATGTCTAGGCTTTTGCCGCCTCATCTGGGGTGATCCGGGTTCTTAACCCTGATGGGATCTCAGGGTCACATGGACCTTGCTTCATGCCAAGACATGGCCCAAGTTTTCGGGGCGCAGGCAGGATCAGGAAAAAGATGAAGTGGGGTGGGCCTCTGATGAGGCAGAGAGGGGGACAGTGAGGGGCATCTTGGACAGCCAATCCCGTCCCCAAGAGGGACAGGCGCAGAGTAAGGATACAGGCCCAGAGAAGGAGGGAGAGAGGAGGTAAATCAGGAAAGTGAGATCACATCGCAGTGGGGACAGAGAGAGACCTTGAATGGAGAGAGACTGAGAGATGGGGAGCTACAGAGACAGAGAGGGGAAAAGACAAAACTGGTGACCTAGAAGGAGAAGAGACCTGTCTCACCTAGAAGGGTTTCCCTAAAAGGAGGAGTTACCTGGCTGTGTCCCCCAAACTCTGACTCGGGCACCAGAGCCTGACACCTCACCATACCCCCATCAGAGATGCAAAAAATAACTTCACACCCAACTAGGAATCCTTGGGACCTCTGCTGGGACCTCAGAGACCTTTTCGTCCCCAACGTCCAGCCCCCGCACTGTCCATCTCGCAGATGGGGACACTGAGGGGCGGGACAGCAGGACTATCCTAGAGTCACCCCGCACCCTGCTGTCTGGGTGCAGAGCAAGGGGAGCCCTCGGGGGACTTGGTTTGTATCACGACCCTGAACGTCCCCTGAACACGCTTTCCTAAAAACTGTCAAGGACCAAAGTCGTCTTCGCTGACACGTGTTGCTTTTCTCTTTGCCTTTTATTTTTTTAAAAGAGAGAAATCCAGTTGATGATGTTGAGTGAGACCTCCTCCCCCACCCCCTGCACCCCCCCCCCATCCCCTCACCCCTGCCCAGCCACCGGTGTAGGATTCCCCGAGCGTCCGGGTTGGTCGCACAGGCGGGTGGAGGGGGTTCGACCCACCCCGGCCCCGCCCCTCGGACCCTGAAACCTGCCCAGGGGTTCTCCCTCTACACGTCTCCTCTTAGCATGTGACTGCAAATGTGAAAGCAAAACACTTTTAACTCCACCCTGTCGGTCTAGCATCGTCCCCGATGCCCCCACTTCTCTGTAAATACGTGACTTGGAACAAACGTTTAAAACCCATGAAAAGTGGTCATGAATGCATGATGTGGAGATGTTTTGCACTACTCTGGTTTTTTGGTCTCTGTAAAAATATTTTATTAACAGCAGATATTAAAAAAAAGAAAAGGCTCCCAGACTCCGGCACATGCTGACGGCGCTGCTTCCCCACAGACACAGAAACGCTCACATCCGTGTTCCATGCGCAGATGCTGTGGGACCTGCTTCCTGTCCGGGAGGCAAGGCCCACGCCTGGCCCCGCCCGCCTCACGGAGCGGGGAAACGGGTGGAGTCAGGATGCGAATCCAGGACACTGGCAGCTGTTGCTCTGAGCGCAAGCAAGTTAGAACACAAAAGCCAGGGATCCCCCTCCCCCAACCCAGTTCAACACAGAGCCCCATGTTTGGGATTTTTTTAAAAATATCTATTTTATTGGTTTGTTGTTTTTTTACAGAGAGGAAGGGAGAGGGACACAGAGTCAGAAACTCCGATCAGCTGCCTTCTGCACTCCCCGCCCCCCCCTGGGGATGTGCCCACAACCAAGGTACATGCCCTTGACCGGAATCACCAGCACCCTTCAGTCCACAGGCCGAAACTCTATCCACTGAGCCAAACAGGTTTCAGCTGTGATTTTGTTTTGTTTTGCTGTAGCAGGTGATAATCTCATTTTATTTAATCACTCTTATTTAATCTCAAAGAACGGAAACTTCCTTTTGCTACAATTAAACTTAATTTCTTCTCTGAGTCTTCATCTCATCAGGGAGCAGAAACTGAGTCTCATTCAGCTCAGATTCCCTTGGTAAATTCAGGGGCTCCCCTCCCAAGATCTGGGCTGCTTCTGTATTTGAGTGGCCAGAGCCAGGCCATGGGATTCACCGTCAGGAATGGGCTTCATGAATGCTTTTAGTTGCAAATAAAATAAAGGGCTTGCCCTAGCTGGTTTGGCTCAGTGGATAGAGCGTTTGCCTGTGGGAGTAAAGAGTCCCGGGTACAATTCCGGTCAAGGGCATGTACCTCATTTGCAATCCCCCCCCCCCCCAGGCCCTGGTGGGGGTGCATGCAGGAGGCAACCCATCGATGTGTTTCTCTCACATCAATATTTCTCCCTGTCTTTCCCTCTCTCTTGCACTCTCTAAAAATCAATGGGAAAATATCCTCAGCTGAAGATTAAAAAAAAAAAAAAAGTGGGGGGGGGGAGGCTAAAAGTGGAATAAAGAGTGGCTACACACAGGGCTTACCCATAATCCAGCTGTTCCACCCTCAAGGCGTGCACGTGGGCAAAAAGTCGAAAAGCAGCCTCAGCATGGTCTTTTCACACGGGAAAACATACAACCATAAACGTAGATTAGCCACAGCTGTCTGCCTGATGCCGAAAGGGGCAGCCCACCAGGGGCCCCGCGTGTCCCACACATTCTTGGTGACGCTGCCAGACAGAAGACCTTATCGCTTCCCCGAGACCCGGCAGTATCCATAGCAACCCAGGTGGGCCGTGCAGCCGTAGGTGACTGCTCCCGCCCTGATGGGGGAGGGCACAGTTAGCAAGGATGAGCAGAAATTGGAACCCTGCTGCTTGCTACAAACCACTCTCAGCCTCTGGCCCTGTGTCCCCCAAGGAGGTGGGGTCCATCATGTCACCCACGGGGTTGAAGACAGAGGAACGTGCTGCGTGCTGTGCTGTGAGAAACGTTTATTTGCAACTACAAGCATCTTGCTCTGAGTCTCAGAGTTAACGCCCATGGACCAGGAACAGGTGTACTTCTGCCATTTCCCACGAATAAGGTTTTCCTCTGGACAGATGAGTCTTAGAAATGTGATGTTGAGGGGGAAAGTAGGTCCCAGTGGGCATCAGGAAACAAACATGACACCACCCTTGTAAAGCTCAAAGACTAGCTCTACATGTTTCTACCCACAAGATACACCCACAGATATAACCTAATGATGCATAAATGTGATCAATAAAAAATAATAAGCATGGAACTAAGGATTAAAAAATTGAGGATTCCACTTCAGACCCATCAGAATAGGGACTATATTTTAAAAAGCGTTAACAAGGCCCAAACATTTGGCTCAATGGTTGAGCATCGACTTAAGAACCAGGAGGTCATGGTTGGATCCCCAGTAGGGGGCGTGCAGGAGACAGCCAATGGATGATTCTTATCATTGATGTTTATATCTCTCCCTCTGCCTTCCTTGCTCTGAAATCAATAAAAACATATTAAAAAAAAATAAGTTAGCAAGGATGTGAAAAAATGGAACCCTTGTGACTGTAAAATGGTGCAGCTGCTGTGGAAAACAGTAAACAGTATGGAGGTTCCTCAAAAAATTAAAAAAAGAATTACCATGTGACCCAGCAATTCTACTTCTGGATATAGGTATCTGAAAAAACAACAACAACAAAAAAAACGAAAGCAGAGTCTCAAAAACATGCTTGCACACCCATGCGCATAGCAGCATCAGTCACAACAGCCAAAGATGGAAGCAACCCGAGTGTCCACTGGTGAACGGATAAACAAAACACAGTCCATTCATACAATGAGATATGAATCCGCCTTAAAAGGAAGGACGTCCTGACATGCTACTGTGTGGTGAGCACTGAGGACACAAAGGGTCAGGTACTGTGCGATCCCACTTACCTAAGGCCCCAGAGGAGTCAAGTTCATAGGGATAGAGAGTGGAAGGGGTGGGTGTCGGGGCCGGGGGGAGGGGGACGGGAAGTTAGTGGTGAACGGGGACAGAGCTTCGGTTTGGGAAGGTGAACAGCTCTGGAAACAGACAGTGCCAATGGTGGGACAACAAGGTAAATGTACTAAATGCCATGAGGTCGTACCCTTGCATGCGGCTCATTTTATCTGAATTTCACTTCAATTTAAAAAACAACAGCAAACATAGGTGGCTGGCCAGATTTGGTTCGTGGACGGTAGTTTGCCAACTCCTTGACCGAATCAATTCTTCTTCAACTTCTCCTCCTCGCTTTCCCCAGCCTTAGGCTACCTCTGGACCACCCTCATGCTCACTCCACCCTCCACTCACACCGGACCCTCAGCCTCGGGTGCAGCCTCAGCGCAGCCTATCCTCGCCCTCATCCCCTCCGTCTCCCCTGTTCCCTCCCCCGTCTGCGCCTTGCCTTTTCATCACCTCGCCTGCCCGCATAGCAGCGTCATGCAGGCAATGCCCACAAGACGTACATTCCGTTTCCTGGAGGGTTCAACACAATTATGTGGTTCATGATCTCTGTAAAATTACACTTCATTCCATAATTTATCTCATCGCATATAATTACTCTGCTCCTAATCCTGCGCTTACCTGTAAGAGTTTCTATGGCTGTGCATCCTGCAATTACACAATCATTCTCACCATCCCCACGCGTGCGGTAATTAACGAGGAGGAAGTTGTGGGTACACAGCGGCACCCGCCCCACCCAACCCCGTTCCTGCAGCGGCTGCACAGCTGCCTCCATGCCCTCAGGTCCCCCATGTGGCTGAGCACCTGTTTGGGTCCAGCAGGTGAAGGCACCCGTGGGATTTAATTTCATTTTAAATATTGATATATATGTTTTATTGCTGAAACCGGTTTGGCTCAGTGGATAGAGCGTCGGCCTGTGAATTGAAAGGTCCTGGGTTCGATTCTGGTCAAGGGCATGTACCTTGGTTGTGGGCACATCCCCAATGGGGGATGTGCAAGAGGCAGAGGGAGAGAGTTTGAAACATTGATGACAGAGAAACATCGATCAGCTGCCTCCTGCACACTCGTACATGCCCTCGACCAGAATCAAACCTGGGACCCTTCAGCCCACAGGCCGAAGCTCTATCCACTGAGCCAAACCAGTCAGGGCTATCAGTGGGACTTAAGATGAAAGACGGAACTGCTATCCTGGTTTTTCCTTCTCTTCACTCGGTCCGCAGCCAATGTTGGTCGGCACTGAAAAGCAGGTGTGCTGGCCAGTGTGGCTCAATGCCTGAACATCAGCCTATGAACCAGGTCACAGGTGGATTTCCTGGTCAAGGCATATGCCCGTTACGGGCTCAGTACCCAGGAGGGGGCGTTTGGGAGGCAGCCAATCAATGAGATAATCGAACTGGCAACCCTTCGGTACACTGGGCCAGTGCAGCTGGGCAATGTGTATTAAGTCACTAAATCTGTGGACATTTGTTATTGCGACCACAGCAAGCTAAGACAACGAGCTGATGGACCAATGGGAGGTGTTTTCCATAAACATGAATCACTTTTCAATTAAAAGTTACATTAAGCCGAAACCGGTTTGGCTCAGTGGTAGAGAGTCGGTCTGCGGACTGAAAGGTCCCGGGTTCGATTCCAGTCAAGGGCATGTACCTTGGTTGTGGGCATATCCCCGGTAGCGGGTGTGCAGGAGGCAGCTGGTTGATATTTCTCTCTCATTGACGTTTCAAGCTCTCTATCCCTCTCTCTTCCTCTCTGTAAAAAATCAATAAAAATATATTTTTTTAAAAAGTTACATTAAAACACTACACACACACACACACAAACATACACACACACACACACACACACACACACACACACACACACACTACATCCTGGCCGATGTGGCTTTGTTGGTTGGGCATCATCCGGTGCACCGAAAGGTTACTGGTTCGACTCCTAGTCAGGCATATGCTCGTGTTGTGAGCTCATTGACGCTTCTCTCCTCTCCCTCTCCTTCTCTCTAAAAAGCAATAAAAACATTTAAAGCACTATCAATAGGAAACATTACCCTGGAGGGTAAGAGCAAAGGAAAGCTCTAAGTTAGATAATTGGATGTGAGGGTGGGGCATTCAAAATGAAATTCAGGTTCCCAGGCACTGCCAACAAGCTTCTAACCCCTTCAATCTGGAGGCAGAGCCTGAGAATCTGTTTTAATTGGAGAGATTTTGCAGCAAAACAAACAAACAAACAAAAACACTGCGAGCCACCAAGACCCTCTAGGCTCATGCCCCCGAGATCAAATGTACACGGGGCTGTGGGAGCCCCCTCATTCTTTGTTCTGGGGCTGCTTTGTGCTCTCTAGGATGCTTATTTTAAATATTTTTAAAAATCTATTTTATTGATTTTTTACAGAGAGGAAGAGAGAGATATATAGAGTTAGAAACATCAATGAGAGAGAATCATCAATCAGCTGCCTCCTGCACACTCCCCACCGGGGATGTGCCCACAACCAAGGTACACGCCCTTGCCCGGAATCGAACCCGGGACCTTTCAGTCCGCAGGCCGACGCTCTATCCACTGAGCCAAACCGGTCCCGGCTATTTTAAATATTTTTTATTGATTTTTTACAGAGAGGGATAGAGAGAAACATAGATCAACTGCCTCCTGCATACACCCCACCAGGGATGTGCCTGCAATCAAGGTACATGCCCTTGACCAGAATCGAACCCAAGACCCTTCAGTTCACTGAGCCAAACCGGTTTCGGCTCTCTAGGATGTTTAGCTGCCTCTCTAGCTCCTGCCCACTCGATACCAATCGCATGGTCACCAGGAATGCCTCCAACACCAGCCCACGCCCCCGAGGGACCATATCCCGATTGAGATCCACTGGATTAAAATTCGATTTGAAAACATGTAACTGCCACAGCTGAGCAGTGTCTCCAGTGTCCCCTAAGAGGGGGCTGGTTCCTCACCTCAGGTCAGCCACCTGGATGAAGGGTGCAGCGTTAACAAGGAGAGCACTACGCTGGCCTCTGCGGAAACCCCAAGCGCAGCGTTAACCCAGGGGCTCGGCTGTTACCAGCTTACCCAGCCGAGTGCAGACTCCAGCAGCAAAGGTGGATCCCATGATCCTGCTCACTGCGAGCTGTGATGTTCTCCAGCCAGAACGGCCCAAGCCGGGCGGCCCGCCCACCACAGAACCGTGGGCGTGATAACCCAGAGAGAACCGGCAGAACCACCGCAAAGATTAGGTCCACAAGAGGTTGTGAAACTTTGGAAGGATATTGATCCCATGTTTAGGAAGTAAATATGTGTTGGATGAAGGGGGGGAGGGGGAGAAAGCAGGTTGCAGTAGTTTATGTAACATGATCCTCTTTCTTAAAATGTGTTTATTGATTTCAGAGAGAGAGAAAGGGAAAGGGAGAGACGGAAACATCAATGATGAGAGAACCATGGATAGATCGGTGGCCCTCCATACGCCCCACACGGGATTGAGTGTGGAACCCGAGGCATGTGCCCTGACCAGCAGTCAAACCGACACCTCCTGGTTCATGGGTTGATGCTCAACCACTGAGCCACACCAGCCCAGCACAAGACTCTCTTTTTAAAAATATGTATGGATATGCTCCAGGCAAGTGGATAAGGCTAGGTGTTTTTTTATTTTTTTACCAAAATGTTCTCCGAGGACGACTTAATTTTGCTCTTTTTCGTTTGATTAGTTGCACCCTAAGGACTTAAGGATCTTGAGAACCCTTAACTATTTGACACAGAAAATCCAAATCCCTGAGGTGGGACCTCTGAGGCCTCTGCTGGAGGCCATGTCCCCGAGATGCCCAGGTACCCAACTGCCTGCAGGTGCCTCCCCAGCTCCTCCTCCTCCTCTGTCCCTCCATCGGGGCTTCCCGCGGTGACCCGAGTCTGTTTTCCGGGGACTCCCCACCACGGAAGACCCCCTCCACATTCTGTCACCCGAAACAAGCCTGCAGCTGGCCCCACAGGGCAGAGTGAGCTGGACCACCTGTCCCTGGACTATTTTAGGGACATTTTATGGGACAGGCTGGGCCATAGGCTCTCACTGCCCCTCACCCGCACTGACTGACTCCCCCTCAGCCTCTCCAGCACTGGCTCCATCCCACACCTTGGCCAGCAACGATCTGTTCTTTCTCTCCCTCCCTTCCTCTCTTTCGCAAAATCACTACATGTGTCCTCAGGTGAGGATTGAAAAAGAGAGAGATCACAGACTCCCGTGAAAACCATCCAGGGCCATTTAATAAAAAAATAAGCAAGTTTTCCAGGATCCGGGCCCAACGGGCAGTGTCCATCCGAAGAGGGAAGGCACGGCGGGCCGGCTCCGACATTCACTTCTGTCCTCCAGCCCGGGCAGGGGGATGCCCTGCCCCCACTGCAGACAGCACCCCAGGGCAGCGGAGCCCCCGAAGGCTTAGGCAGAGAAACCCCACTGAGCAGGCGGACACCACACCTGAGACGCAGGCCAGGGAGGCGGAGCACGCAGGACGGGGCGCAGGCAGGGGGGACCCAGCCCTACCTCACCCCTCCCCCTCCAGGGGGGCTGGGCACAGGAGCCTGCGAGCAGCCACGTAGTCAGTGGGGCCAGCAGAGGCCCCCGGCGAGAGAAGAGTCACTCTCCTTCCGGGGTGGCGGTCTGCAGAGCTCAGGTGACTGGGAGGCGAATAAGGACAACCTCAACCATTCGCTGATCCCACTGGGAGTCCCCAAGGTCCGTACACAGCAGGCACTCAATAAATGCCTAATGCACGAAACAAAAGGATTCTTCTTGTTCCTGTGGCCCAGCACGCATGTGGGAAATCAAATGTAGGGACTGAACAACTGTTCTGTTGTTTCCTATCACTCACGTCTAGCGCACACAGTAGGCGCTCTTCAGGGGAGGGGGGAAGAAGCCAATTGAAGAGTAAAAAGCACCTTGTTTACCTCCATGCTTAGCACCCAGCTCGGCTTCTGGCACCCAGCAGGCATTCAATAAAAGCACGGAATTTATAAGAATTTCTGTTTCTCAAGTCCCAGGCACACACAGAGTAGGTGCCTGATGTGTGTTTGAATAAATGAAAGCGTCTCCTTTACCTCAATATTCCCAGATCCTGAAATGGTGCCCACTGTTCAGCAGGCAACTCAATAAATACTTAAGTTAGTTTTTAAACGATGAATGTGGATCGTTAGTGCCTGATTCTTGGGGAGAGGTGCGTGTGTGTCAATACATGCGTGATGGCTGAATCGTCACCAAGGAGATGGTTACGCCTCATTCCCCGCCATCACCCACGAGCCTGGCGCACAGCCGACGCTTACAAAACGCCAGGCACGCGGCGATGAAGGATGGCTTGTTCCCACCCGACCTCCCCGTGCAAAACACCGCGCCTGGCATACAGCAGGCACTCCATTAATGCTGCCTGTGAGTACACGACTGCTGAGCAGGAGCCTGCCGGCCGCAGCCCCGCACGCAGAGCCCTCCGCCTGCCGGGGCCGCGCCGCCCCACCCTCGGCGAGCACGGGAGGCTGCTCCGCCGCCCTCAGAGCTCGTCGCGGGCGGCGCTGTCCAGCGGGGACTGCAGCACGTCCGAGTTCTTGGCCTCGCGGCTCAGCGCCTGCTGCTCCCGCATCTTCTGGGACTTGGCGCGGTCCCAGTCCGTCTTCACGCGCTCGTCGTCCCACACCACCGAGGTCTCCGTGTCGCTCACGTAGCCGTCGTCCCCCGTGTAGTGCGTGGGGAACACCAGCAGGGGCTCCACGGAGAAGGCCCGCAGGTTGCGGGGGGAGAAGTGGGCCTTGTACTTGGACCTGGGGGGGCGGCAGGGAAGAAGGGGCGGCCGTGGGTGGAGGGGAAGGGATCGATGGAGGGAGAAGTGAAAAGGGACAGACTGAGCCCAAACCGGTTTGGTTCAGTGGATAGAGCATCAGCCTGCGGATCGAAGGGTCCCGGGTTCGATTCTGGTCAAGGGCATGCACTTGGCCGAAACCGGTTTGGCTCAGTGGATAGAGCATCGGCCTGCAGACTGAAAGGACCCAGGTTCGATTCCGGTCAAGGGCATGCACCTGGGTTGCCGGCACATCCCCAGTGGGGGGTGTGCAAGAGGCAGCTAATCGATGATTCTCTCTCATCGACGTTTCTAACTCTCTATCCCTCTCCTTTCCTCTCTGTAAAAAATCATACAGTATATTTTTTAAAAAAGGGACAGACTGAGACAGAAGGGGATTGGGGGGGGGAGGGGTTCCAAACGGAGCCAGACACGGAGGGGACACCCAGAGGAAGTGGGCAGCGAAGACGGCACTTCCTGGGGGCCCGAGCTCCTCCCGCCCACCCCTCCAGGGCTGCCCCCCGAGACCCCACCGGGCGCCCGAGCAGCTGCTGCTCACACTGGGTGCTTGTCGAACATGACGGGCAGGAACTCATCCACGGGCAGCATCTTGGAGAGGGGCTGGGCGGCCAGCAGCTTGCGGGCGCCTTGCAGGGAGATGACGTAGGCCAGCGTCCAATAGGAGTAGTCGGCCTCCACCAGGTTCCTCACGCGGGGCACGGCCTTCTCGGGGTGCTCCACCTGCATCCGCTTCCGGCCCACGTAGCTGGGGGGTGGAATGGAGACGTCACCTCCTCCCGGCACGGCAGGGACCTCCTGAGCCCCGGCCAGGCCCCGGGAGGGAGCAGGTTGGTGTGTCTGGGGCATAACAAGGAGGCCAACGTGGCAGCACTGGCAGAACCACAAGGGTCTGTGGCCCTCAGGGAGGAGGGTGGGGTTTTCCCTAGGGCACTGGGGAGCCATGGAGGGATCTGGAGCCGGGAGATGGGATTTCTGGGACATGCTCTGCGGCTGAGCTACGGGGAGGAAGAGGGGCTGAGAAGGAAGCTGCCCCGGGTTCGGGGGTGGTGCGGCAGTGGAGGAGGAGGGTGCAAGAATCTGTGAGCAGTCAGGAATGAGGGGGTGCCGTTACTGTCAGGGCCCTGCACACTGCAGGAGGAGAGGGAGGAAGGGAGAGAGGAGGAACCAATCCCCCCACCCCCCATATGAGATCCCAAAGAGCCGTCCCTGACCTAGTGCTGGCCAAGACCCAGGCCCCCTGGCTACTTCCCACCCTGGGCCAGCTCTGAGCTCCCAGCTGGCCACCAAGGCCTGACCACACCCGCCCAGGCCGCACCCAGCCCCTTAGCCCGCACACAGACTCCCTGGGCAAACCTTCGCCACCCTCACCCACCCCAGGACACCTCACGTCTCCAAGCCCCGAGGAGCCCTCCTGACACAGGCAGGGCCCTAGACTCCCAGGTCATCCTCCACCTTCTGCCCTAACTACTCTCAGGTCCGCCCTCACGCAGGCCACACACACACAGGGCACTCCTTCCGCCACACACTCTAGGAGTGGCCCAGCTGGTGCCCTGCGATACCTTCAGGCCCGGAAGCTCTTCTGAGCTCCGGCCCCACCTCTAGGCTCCAGTTCCACCCACTCCAGACCACGCCCCTGAGCCCAGACCCCAACCTCAGCCCCAACCCACTCCACACCAGGCCCCAGAGCCCTCTCCCCGGACGACACCTCTGAACTCTGGCCCTGCCCCAGGCCCCCAATCCACCCCACCCCACACGTCACCCCTAGGCTCTGGCCAGGCGCCAGTTCTGCCTCTGCCCCAGGCCGCACCTCCCGGCAGGGCCCCACCCCCGGGCCCCACACTCACATGAGGTCCCAGTCCAGATCCTCCCTCTCCACGTCCCGCATGAGGTTCATCAGGCGCCTCTTGAAGAAGATCTCGAAGCGCAGGTCATCCTCGAAGACCAGCGATTTCTTCAGTCCCTTGTCCACGACCTGAGCGAGAACAGGGCCAGGCCTAACGCTGAAGCCAGTTCAGCGTACAGGCTCCGGGGCAGCAGGAGAGAAGAGAACGCAGCCCTCCTGTCTGGATTGACTTCTAAAGACGACCACTTCCTAGGACACGCAACAGATGCCCGGGCCTGTCTCACACAGCCCTCTCCCTCATGCAACAGCAGGCAGACTACCTCTCGCCCTGCAGGCTTCAGCTCCAGTGTTGCCCACCTAGGAGGTCCCTCCTGACCACCATCCAAAGCTGCAAGCTGAGGACAATTCATACCCCTAGGACCCTTCTCCAGATGTCTCTCACTTACTTCACTAGACTTTGTTTCTTTGTGGTTTACCAGCACCCACCTACTTCCCCCAGGGCTGTGAGCCCCTGGCAGGGGGCTGGGCCTGTCCCGCTGGCTATCATGTCCCCGGCACCAGGCCAGGCGCACAGGAGGTGCTTGGCAAATGTTCTCCGAATCTTCATGACTGCCCTGAGGCCAGGACTGTCACACGGGGAAACGGAAGCACAGGCTGCAGAGCCTTCTTGCTCACAGAACTCACCCCTCCAGGAGGCAGGGCTGGACCTAAACCCAGAAGTGTCCTGGCTTCGGGGCAGTGTGGGCACCACAGCCTCTGCCCCATGCCATCCACAATGAATCTCAGAAAAAGAGGGCAACCTAAGCAAGCACTCATGGACTCCAAAGCCTGCACACCCCCTCCGGAGCACCCTCCCCCTGCATCTGGATGCCATGTCCGGCTTCCTGCCTGGTAGTGCCGGTTCGAATCCCAGCCCGGCCTCCTCACCTCCCACAGCCTCTCTCCGCGTGCGGCCGATGAGCCCCGGGCTAATGCGCTAGCCTCTGTGCCAGTTAATGCCAGCACAGCTGCCACCTCTATTAGGAAACGGCAAGACCAGAGTCCAGGCTCCAGACATCTGGAAGCAGCGAGGGGTGAGGGGCCAAACTGGGCTCGCCCCTCCCCCTTGCCCAGTCTCAGTCTCCACATCTACACGGTGGAAGGACACCCCCCAACGAGGGGCTGGTCCTGCGGCAGCCGCGGGGTCCGCCCCGGGGAAGCACTGCCCCCCGGAGCTTCGCGAAGACTGAGGAGGACCCTGCCCACTCTCCTCGCCAGACACTCTGCCGGCCGGACTCACCTCCTTCCAGATGTTGTAGTGGCTGAGGAAGCAGCCCAGCTCTCCCTTGGTGAGGGGCCGCCCGTGGTAGGGGTCCTGGTAGCCGGGCAGCATCTGGATGCCCAGGGCCTCCACCTGGCTGGTGTTCATGGCTCTGGAAGGGGGGACAGGAAGGGGTCAGTGGAAAACCCATGCGGCCTGCTAGTCCACCGTCAGTTAGTGCCGCCTCCTGCCGAGCAGCTGCTCCCCGCCCCTCCTGGACCCGTGGCCAGGTCTGCAGGGGGTGGGCCACCCCAGTGTGGCTCTGCCAACCCTCTCCTAGGGTCAGACTCACTTCCCCTCCACCACGGACCCAGCAGCGTCCTATACGGTCCACACCCCGCACGGCCCCCGTCCCGCACGGCCCACGGCGCGCAGGGTTCCCATCCCGCATCAGGGCAGGGCTCCTTGCACCCGTGGCCCCGCCCCCTGCATGGCCTACACCCCTGCGCTCAGAGTTGACTCACTTGCCGTCCACAGCCTCCACCAGCCGGAACGTGATCTCCTGCGCCCTCAGTGCCCAGAGCATGCGCTCCCGCCGGTCCTGCCGCCGCTTCAGGTTGATCATGAAGACCTGTGCACAGAGCCTCTGCTGACTCTCAGCCCTCAGCTCCCCACCTTCCCCCTCCCCACCCGGAAGGCCCGGCCCACCTCGTCAAAGCCCATCTTGTCAGGCGTCTTGGCCGGCACCGAGACGAACCTGGAGGGCTCTGCTGGGGGGTGCTTCACTGCGGGGCAGAGAGAAGCCAGGGGGTGCCTGGGTCACGGGGTGCGGGAGCATTCCAACCTCTTTCCATTGCTCCCTCCGCATCCCCTCCACGGCCCCATATCGCCCTGAGCTCCCCAGGCTGAGGTTGGAGACCTGCCTGGCCTGTCCCCAACCATATTACTGGTGCTAGTCTCTCCCTCTCCTCCTACTCACTCTGGCCGTTAGCACCAAACGCATCCATTCCTACCTCAGGACCTTTGCACATGCTGGGTCTCGGCCTGGAACACCCTTCCTTCCTCCTCCCCCTACCCCAGTTCTCAGCTAAGATGCCATGCCTTCAGGTGGAATCAGGTACCTCCTCCCGCTCCCCTCAGCACCGGGGCTCCATCACCAAACCTCCACCCGGCCATCCGAACGCACCGTCTGTCTACTGTGAGCCCCGTGGAATGAACACCCAGTCTGTCCACCCACACTGGGTCTCCCGTGCTCAACATAGGGCTCGGCACACAGAAGGCACCAATCACTGCTCAGAGAATGAACCAAGGATTAATGACCTTGACCTACCTGGGCCTCAGACTCCTCATCTACAAAATGGGCTGATAACACCTCAGAGGTGATGCATGAAATGACGCCATGAAAGTACACCTGCGTGGGGTGAACGGCATCCTCCCACAAAGAGTTAAGCTGGTGCGCGAACCCCCGGGACCCCAGGATGTGCTCTGGTTTGGAAACAGGGTCTTCACAGAGGTGTGTTCAAGGCAGAATGGGTCCTACTCACTATGATTGGGATCCGGATGAAAATGGAAAATCTGACTGGCCGGATGGCTCAGTAGGTGGAGCATCGTCCCAACCACCAAAAGGTTGTAGGTTTGATTCCCAGTCAGGGCACATATAGGAGGCAACTGATTGATATTTTGATGCTTCTCCTATCGATGTTTTTCTCTCTCCCCCCTCCTCTCTAAACATTCATAAAAACATCCTCAGGTGAGGATTTAAAAAAATATATTTTATTAATATTTTACAGAGAGAGAGAGAGAGAGAGAGAGAGATGGATGGAGAGTTAGAAACATTGATGAGAGAGAAACATCCATCAGCTGCCTCCTTCACACTCCCTACTGGGGATGTACCTGTAACCAAGATACATGCCCTTGACCCGAAATGAACCAGGGACCCTTGAGTCTGCAGACTGATGCTCTATCCACCGAGCCAAACCAGCTAGGGCTGGATTTTTATTTTATTTTATTTTTTAATGGAAAATTTGGACACTGAGACACACAGAGGGAAGACAGGGGAAGAAGACAGCCATCTGACTGAGTGACGCATCTCCAGGCCAAGGCGTGCCCAGAGTTTCAGAGCAGCCGCGACTGCCCCCTTCAGCTGCTATGGGCAATGCTCAGACCACACCCCACAGCGATCTGGGCACACGCCCGTGGTTCCCCGGAGCAGGTCAGACTGCCAGGTGCGCATGCGCCTGCAGAGGCCCCTGCCCGCCCCCAGGCCGCCCCGAAAAGCCCAGCGTGATCCCAAGTGTGGTGTCTGCTTCTCCGAGAACCAAGGCCCCCTGTGAGCTCCAGGGACACACACACAGGCCTCTCTGTCTGGACGAGGCCTGGCCGAGGCCCAGAACTAACCCAGAACCGTCCCCCCCACAGCCTGGGCCTCCTCCAAGGCCAACAGGTCCCAGGCTTCCTCCCACCCGGAGTCCTTCAGCTCCCGGCTGCCCCACGCTCCGTGGGGAGGCCGAGACCAAGGCAAGACTTTGGGATCCCTGGACACAGGCTCCAATCCCAGGTGCCCCTTCCCTTCTCTTCCTGAACCTCCGCTCAACCCCCCTATGGGGGCGGGAGGAGGGGGGAGAGAACCGGCCAGCGGGGAGGCGGGATCTTGTCACCTGGAGCCTTCCTGCAAGTCCGAACCTTCACTGTGAGAGACCTCTGAACGCGTGAGAAACCGTGCGCACAGCCCGGGTCCCGGTGCCCACACGCGGACGGAGAGAAAGGATTTACACACTAATCTGAACCCCCCGGGCCCTCCTTCCGTCTGTTCTGTGTGCTCAGCTCGGGCCCTCCAGAAAGAAACAGGGAGGCATTCATGCCACTGTCACGGTGGAGTTTACAGTAGCAGTGTTAGTGGTTTCTTGACCAGAAATAGTAACAGAAAGAGAGGTGGAATTTTTGAATTAGGAAAACTACGGCAGCCACGCTTCCAGGGCCCGTCGCAGGTGGGAGCTGGCGACAAGCAGAGGCCTGTCATCCCACCTTCAGCCACCAGGGAGACCACACACACACACACACACACACACACACACACACTGAAAACCTTCTGGAAGCAGGTAAGAGTTGGGTAACGGAGACCAACAGTGGGAGCCTGGATCCCCCCATCTGTACAGTGGGAGTTGGAGGGGCTGCTGTGGAGGCCTTCTCTGAGATTTGTGACCAGGGAAGGCAAAGCCCCCACGGAAGCCGGCACTGTCCCTCTGTCCCCCTGCTCTGGAGTCACCCCCGTCCACCAGGAGGCCGCGCCTCAGCAACCGGACGGCAGCTCGGCCCTGGGGGCTCAACCCGTCTCGGGGGAGCCCCCCAGGGGCAGGGCTGCTGGTGTAATAATTTATAGATTTATTTATCTGTTAGTTAGACATGCGCTTGCAACTATGGTAAAAGTATGTAATTCCCTTTTCAAAATAAACGTATGCAAGTAAAACAAAAGTATACACATAAGGTATTTATGAAACAAGCAATGGGTCTGAGGTTTGGAAACGGCCCAAAAGGCTGTGGCCCAGATACTGCCTCGCACATAAAGGTTCACCAGTGAGAACCTCTGTCCTCCCTGCTCCTGACCGCCCCTGAGGAAAGCCAGTGCCTACGGCCACTGCCCTGGCCCGCCCGCTCCGCCCGCTCATCAGCCCTTCTGCCCGCCGGCCTTGCCTGCTCCCTGAGCGTGTGTCCCCTCTAGCCTCCCAGTCTCTGCAGAATGCTCCCTCTGGCTGCAGTCCCCTTCCAGGTGACTACTACTCACCCTGCCTCATAATGCCGCCTCCTCCTGGAAGCCCACCCTGACTGCCATGCATAGCTGCTGCAAGCCAGGGCTCCCAGAGAGCAGGGACAACTGTCCCCCTTGTTCATGCCAGGTTCCCAGGGCCCGGCACAGGCACCAGCACCCAGCAGGTGCCCAGTCAGTGTTCAGGGTATGGGTGTGTGAGGACCGGGAAAGGGCCGTGTGGGCGGACTCACCCATCACCTCCAGCTGCACGTGCAGGAAGCTCTCGGCCTCGTCCTGGAGGGTGCTGTGCGAGCGCAGAGGCACCGGCAGGAAGCCGTACATCTCCTTGTTGCACACGTACATCTGGACCTCTGGGCCAAGACAACAATCCAAACTGAAAACTGAGCAACAAGGCGGCAGGGGCCTCTTCTGACCACAGCATCAGCCTCACGGCCCAGGGTGGGGCTGGAAAGAAAAGGAGTCCCGCCCACTTTTCCCAGAAACCCCTCAGGTCTCCATCCGGGACTCAGACTCGGAGTCAGAACAGGGGTTCCTGCTGGAAGCGAGGCACTGACAACCAGAACTGTTAAAAAGCACCTTATGCCCGGCAGGTGTGGGCAGTGGCTGAGTGTCGACCTAAGAACAAGGAGGTTATGGTTCCATTCCCGGTCAGGGCACACACCCATGTATCAGGTTTGCAGGTACAGAAGGCAACTTGGTCAATGTTTCTTGCTCGTGTCTCTGTCTGTCTCTGTCTCTGTCTCTGTCTCTCTCTCTCCATGTCCTCTGATGAGGATTAAAAATAAAAAAGATGCACATTTCTTTTTTTTCTTTTTAAATTCTCACCCAAGGATACTTTTCCATTGATTTTTAGAGAGAAGGAAAGACAGAGAGAAATATCAACGTGAGAGAAACACATCGATTGGTTGCCTCCTGCACACTCCCTGACCCGGGAGGATCCGGCAACTGAGGTATGTGCCCTTGATTAGAATCGAACCCAGGACCCTTCGGTCTACAGGCCAACGCTCCATCCACTGAGCCAAACTGGCTGATGCACATTTCTGCCCACAAATGGGACGCGGTTGGATAAAATGTTGGCAAGGTGACCTCCATCCGCGTGTGTCCTTTTCTGGATGGTGAAAATTTTTATATCGAGTGTGAACTTTAAAAACTTGGTAAGCCAATGAAAATAATTTTCATTTTAACTGGCTAACTTTTTATACAAAGAGCTAGATGGTCTAAATCTTTTAGGCTGCTGGCCTGACAGTTTCTGTCTTAACAACTCAATCCCACCCTTGGAAAGAAGCAATCAAAGACAACACTTAAATACGTGGGTGAGGCAGCGAGCCAATGCCACTTTCTCTATAGGCACTGCAACTTGAACTTCATGCAATTTCAGATGTCACAAAATATTACTATTCTTTTCATGTGTTTTTTTTCCCCCCAACCGTTTGAAAATATAAAAACCATACTTAGCTTGCACCCATACAGAAACAGACGGTGGGTCAGATCTGGCCTGCTGGCCAGTTTGCTAACCCTTGATTTAAAGTAAACGGCAGGTCAGCATATGGCTGTGTTCTCGGGCTTTTTTACTAATTAAACAATTAGGGGGCAATTATGTTCAACTACAGGAAACTGGGAGCATGTGAGAAAATATTAAGCTGGAAATAACTTTCACTAAGTACCCTGTTTCCCCGAAAATAAGACAGTGTCTTATATTAATTTTTTCTCCCAAAGTTGCGCTAGGTCTTATTTTCGGAGGATGTCTTATCTTTCCATGCGCTAGGTCTTATTTTCGGAGGATGTCTTATTTTCGGGGGAACACGGTAGGTCCTCTTCAGACCTGGGAGGCGAAGACCCTCCGCAAAGCCAGGGCTGGAGAAAGATAGGGTGTGTGGCCCGCGTCTGATTGAACGCCTGCACACAGCCCCGCCTGAGCCGCCCTGGGCCCTGTGTGCGTTCTGGTTCTGTGGACCCTCTGTGGCCGCTGCCGGGACACGCTCAGCTCAGATTCCAGAGAACCAACCGGCTGCATCCCTGTGCCAGCAACCCCCGCAGCTCACCTGCCTGCTTGCAGGAGAAAGCGAACACGATGATGTCATCGAAGGACCAGGTGTAGTCGCTGTGCGGCGGGTAGAAGGCCAGGCTCCTGGACGCCGCCTTCCGCAGGTCGATCAGGAAGGTGGAGTGCACCATGGGCACCGCGAAGCAGCCCCGGCGGTCCCGCTTCCGGATGGGGATGTAGGCGGGGGTGCGCTTGTAGTAGCCCTGCAGGGAGGGGCGGGGTTCTCACGGGGGTCCCCTGAGGGGGGCTGGAGACCCAGGACCACGAGAGGCATGGAACCTCCAGAGAGCACGGCCCCGCTGCCAGCTCCTGGCCAGGATGGGCATTCCCTGAGCGCAGTGCTCGGGGCGTGGCCAGTGACAGGCTCCACCCCCCACACCGGGGCAGATAAAAGAAAAACGGCTGGCCTCTTGCAGACCGGGCCCCACAGTGCAGATCAGAAAGGCGGCACGTGAAGGAGAACATCTAAAAGCGGAAAAGGGCCGAAACCAGTTTGGCTCAATGGATAGAGCATCGGCTTGCGGACTGAAGGGTCCCGGGTTCGATTCCTGTCAAGGGCATGTACCTTAGTTGCGGGCATATACCCAGTAGGGGGTGTGCAAGAGGCAGCTGATCGATGACTCTCTCTCATAGATGTTTCTGACTCTATCTCTCTCCCTTCCTCTCTGTATAAAATCAATAAAATATTTTAAAAATAAATAAATAAAATAAAAAAATAAAAGCGGAAAAGGGGTTTTACAATAAACTGGACTGCAACTGAAAACAAAAATAAACAGGTAACATCCGATGTTGGTAGAATGCTAATTGCTTCATTCTTTGAGAATATTGCAAAAATTGTTAAAATTTAACTACTATGACTTGTGCCCCAGGAAAAACCACTTTGAGATTTATCCCATAGAAATAAAATGTGCACTACGTTCGGCTTTAGTGGCATAAACCTAGTTCAATGCCTATCAATGGAACTATGAAACGTTATGTGACTATTAATATTTAAAAAATGTGTTTGCCCTAACCGGTTTGGCTCAGTGGATAGAGCGTCAGCCTGAGGACTGAGAGTCCCAGGTTCGAGTCCGGTGAAGGGCATGTACCTTGGTTGCGGGCACATTCCCAGTAGGGGGTGCGCAGGAGACAGCTGATCGATGTTTCTCTCTCATTGATGTTTCTAACTCTCTATCCCCCTCCCTTCCTCTCCGTAAAAATCAAAATCTATTAAAAAAATAAATAAAAACAGCCGAGACCGGTTTGACTCAGTGGATAGAGCGTTGGCTTGGGGACTGAAGGGTCCCAGGTTCGATTCCAGTCGAGGGCATGTACGTTGGTTGCGGGCACATTCCCAGTAGGGGGTGTGCAAGAGGCAGCTGATCGATGATTCTCTCTCATCGATGTTTCTAACTCTCTATCCCTCTCTCTTCCTCTCTGTATAAAATCAATAAAAAATATTAAATAAATAAATAAAAACAAAAAATGTGTTTGAGCTGTCTGCTATTCTGGTGGAATGCACAGTTGCATTGTTCAATGGAAAAATCAAATTATAAATTAAAGCATATAACTCAGTTTTTACATGCAGTAAATCCTACATGTGTTCATGTTTCTAGGGACATGAATAAAGGTGTGGGAAGACGAATTTCTTAAAAAGCTGAAAAAGGGACTGGACATTTGACATCCTTTGATTTACATATAAATTGAACGTCAGCTTAATTTGGAAGTTTTAAAAGCTTCTGGAACAACCCCGAATTGCCCTCTCTTTTCCTTGGGCCCTTTCCACATCAGAATTACTGGCACAGAGCATTAGATTCCTCCTTCTTGTCCGCTTTTCTCCTCCATCGCCCCGTTCCTCCCCGCTCCGCCCGCCCCATAACATTTCCATTTCTGACACACTTCAAGACGGAAACCACTGAATTAGTCGCTTTAAAATGGTTTGATGCTTTCTGAACTGCGTGTCAGATAAAAACAAAAAGGAGGAGGCAGGATAGGTCAGCTTCTGGCTCCATCCTCACAGACCACCCTCCCCCCCCACCCCGACCCTCACCCCCGGTCCCTCTGTCACTCCCCCTGGCTTGGCCTCAACCCTGGGAGGGATGGCACAGGCCTGGCCAGCCAGAGCCTGGCATGTTCTTGGCTTTGGTAACTGGTCCAGGGGTGAGAGACGGACGAGGCCAGTCTGAGGGGACTTCAGCTGAATGCTGTGGGGGCCATCCCCCAGGGTCTGAGAACTAAGCCAACCCCCCAAGCGAGGGAGGAAGACAGGAATGCTGTCTGAACGTCTGAATCGAGCTGTGCCCGCTGTCCCGTCCTGGCACCTCTACTTCCTAGCCGGGCGCTTAGCAGTCACTTCCCCTCTCAATACAGGGAAGAGATGGGGAAAGGACCCGGTCCCGGACCCTGCCATGGGGACCGCCTAAGGACGATCAGGAAGGGGTGAAACGCTCACCATGAGCTGGCGTGATACTCAGTCAGGCCCCCACGTGGCTGGCCCAGCCTCCCAGCCCCCTGCGCCACCCAGGCTGCCGCCTGACCTGCGAGGTCATCCCGCACCAGAAGTTGGAGTACGCGGCCCGGGAGTCCAGCATGGGCGCCACCACCGTCTTGTTCTCGGCCATGAGCAGCGTCAGCGTGTCGGGGTTCAGGATCAGGTTGTCTGCGTCCACAAACTGCAAAACACCCAGCAGGACGTCACTGGGCCGCCCGGGCTGGGCCACGGCTCGGGATGAGGGGGCAGAGGCGGAGTCCCGGGGCCTGGAGAGCCCAGGGCAGCGCGGACGCCATCCAGTTCCCAGCCCAGCTCCACCTTAGCAACCAGGCGAGTGACAGCCACACAGGAAACAGGCCACTGGGGAAGGGGCAGGCAGGCCCACAGGGCACACAGAAACACGAGTGGGCCCCAGACACGGCGCTGTCGAGGCACCAGACATGACAGGGGTGTGCCATGTGGCGCCATAACGGGAACTTTACCACAGGCAGCGCTGGTCAGTGAGGAGGGTGGGAGGGCCAGAGGTCACCTCGAAGAGAAACACACTATTTACTTTTTTTTTTTTTTTTAATATATTTTATTGATTTTTTTACAGAGAGGAGGAGAGGGATAGAGAGCTAGAAACATCGATGAGAGAGAAACATCGGCCAGCTGCCTCTTGCACACCCCCTACCGGGGATGTGCCAGCAACCAAGGCACATGCCCTAGACCGGAATCGAACCTGGGACCTTTCAGTCCGCAGACCGATGCTCTACCACTGAGCCAAATCGGTTTCGGGTTTTTTTTTGTGTGTGTGTGGTTTTTTTTTTTAAAGAGATGATGAGTCTGCAAAAATTTTTCTTTTTCTTTTTCTTAATATATTTTATTGATTTTTTTTTTTTTTTTTTTTTTTTACAGAGAGGAAGAGGGATAGAGAATTAGAAACATCGATGAGAGAGAATCATCAATCAGCTGCCTCTTGCACACCCCTTACTGGGGATGCACCCACAACCAATCCAGTACATGCCCTTGACTGGATTCGAACCTGGGACCTTTCAGTCCGCAGACCGACGCTCTATCCACTGAGCCAAACCGGTTTCGGCAAGAACACACTTTTTTCTCCAGGAGTTAGATGCCAATAAGAAGTTCATCAAAATAGATACTTTGTTTTTTTTTTAACACCTCGAATGTGAGGGTAAAAAAAAAATGGTAACTTGTTCGTTACAAAGAAAAAAAGTTTGGAACAATCAGGTAAGGATGTTTCTGTCCTGCAGGTGCCGTACATAACTATTAGGAGGTGATGTTTTTAAAAAAATGCATCTGGCCCTAGCTGGTTTGGCTCAGTGGATAGAGCGTCGGCCTGTGGACTGAAGGGTCCCGGGTTCGATTCCAGTCAAAGGCACACGCCTGGGTTGTGGGCTCGATCCCCAATGTGGGGAGTGCAGGAGGCAGCTGATGAATGATTCTCAGTCATCATTGATGTTTCTATCTCTCTCTTTCTCTCTTCCTTCTTCTTTGAAATCAATTTTAAAAACAAAACAAAACATGCATCTGGCCAGGCCAGTGTGACTCAGTGGTTTAGCATCAATCTATGAACCAGGAGGTCACTGTTCGATTTCCAATCATGGCAATACCTGGGTTGCAGGCTTGATCCCCAGTAGGGGACATGCAGGAGGCAGCCAATTGATTATTTTTTTCTCACCATTGTTCTTCCTATCTCTTTCTCCCTTCCTCTCTGAAATCAGTAAAAATATATATATTTTAAAAATGCATCTGGTCCACAGATATGCTTCCCATCACTCACAAGGGCTTTTTAGAGTGTCTGAATCATCTGAGGTAAACAACAGCAAGAGGAGGCATTCCAGGCTCCTCTGGCACCATGGCCGGCATGCCGCCTGGGCCCTCAGTGGGAGACAGGAGGCCGGCTGTGCAGGTGTGAATGTTCCCCACCCAGCCCCTCTAGGACATTTAAATTTCTGACCTCAGAATATATGTACAGCCAAAACCGGTTTGGCTCAGTGGATAGAGCATCGGCCTGTGGACTGAAGGGTCCCGGGTTCAATTCCGGTCAAGGGCGTGTGTCTTGGTTGCGGGCACATCCCCAGTAGGGGGTGTGCAGGAGGCAGCTGATCGATGTTTCTAGCTCTCTATCCCTCTCCCTCTCTGTAAAAAATTAATAAAATACGTATTTTTTTAAAAAGAGTGATGGGGGGATAGTTAAAAAAAAAAAAAATATATATATATATATATATATATATATATACACGCGCAGTAAAAACAGCTAGAACAGTTCAGAAGGTCCTCAGAAGTTAAGAACATAGTTATCATGTGACCCAGCAATTCTATCCCTGAGGACAGATCAAGAGTTCTGAAAACAGGGATTCCAACAGATACGTGAGCACCTGTGTTCACACCAGCACGATTCACAGTGGCCAAAGGGGGAAACAAGGTGAGTGGCCGACCACAGACGAACGGATAAACAAGCGGGGTCCAGCCCTCAGTGGAATATCACAGCCATAAAGAGGAGGAAAGCACTTCCGCCATGACACGAATGAACCCCGAAAACCTCCTGCCGAGTGCGAGAAGCCAGACCCTAAAGGCCGGGTGTTGTGTGACTCCATGGGCACAAAATGCCCTGAACTGGCAAGTGCAGAGGCAGAAAGCAGATCAGTGGCTGCCAGGATGGGAGGGAGGGGGGCGGGGGTGACTGTTTTGGGATGACGGATTGTTCTGGAACTAAACAGAGATGATGGGTGTACAACACTGTGAATGAGCCAGAAACCACTCAATTCCATACTTTAAAAGGCTAATTTTATGTTATGTAAATTGCACCTCAATTTTAAAAAGCCAGAAGGCAGGTCTCTCTGAAAGATAAGATTACAAGGTTTGTTTCTTTCTTTCCTAAACTCCTTATTTTCCCTTCTAGATTTTCTTACAAACAACACTGGCAGTGTTTGTAAAAACTGGGGGGGGGGGAGGCCCTTTTTACAATAATTTTAAAACACTGGACAAGCGATTCCACATTCCAATATGGACTTGCAAAGTTCCCAATGTCAAACATAACATGGTGTGTCAAAAGCTGCTTTGCGTTTTGAACCCACACCTGGAGTTCTACCCAGGTTTGCTGAGGGGAAGATCAACCTCAAACCATGAAAACGAAACAGGGCCAGCCCCACCTCTGTGCCAGCCCAGCCAGCGGAGACCTCCCTCCCCAAGCCTCTACTTTCCCATCTGTAAAATGGACTCGGGGAGTATCTTCCCAGGAGACAGCTCCCTCCTCCCCAAAGGGCTCAGGCACCCTCACATCTAGTCCCCACGCAGCGCCTGAACCCGCCTGCCTTTCTCCACAGCCCCGTCCCTCAGGCCTCCACCCCGCCTCCTGCTGTCCCCACTCCTGCCCCAAACGATGGGGATCCCACAGCAGCCACAGGGGCCCTGAGAATCTTACATTGGAACACAGCCCTCCCCTGCTCATAGCATCAGAGTGAAAACCAAGTCTTTCCCTCAACCGGCACAGGCCAGCCCCCACTCACCACCTCGGTATCAGGCTCCGTCATCATGCCGTTCCAGCCACACGCGCCTCCTCTCAGTCCTTGAACACCCAAAGCTTGCTGCCTGCTGTTCCCTCTGCCTCAGATACTGTCCTCTGGCCTCCCCTAAGGCTGGCTTCTCTGCTCCTTCAGGTCTTCCCCCCCTGACCCCCGCCTCAACCCTGCTCACTCGTCGCCCACCCTGGCTACGCCATCCGTTGTAGGGTGAATGTTGGAAGTCTAACCCCTGGTATCTGTGGCTCTGGCCTTATTTGGAAATACGGCTTTTGCAGATGTAAGTCGGGGTCTTGCTGGATGAGGGGGGCCCTAAATGCAATGACCCGTGTCCTCAGAAGAAGAGAAGAGACACACAGGAGAGCCGACCATGTGACCACAAAGGCAGAGACTGGAGTGATGCCACCACAAGCCAAGGACACCCGGGCCTCCTGACGCTGGAAGAGGCAGAAAGGATTCCCCCCTGGGAGCTTTTTGGGGGAGCACAGCCCTGCTGACACCTGGGCTTCGACTTCCAGCCTCCAGAAGCAAGATATTACACTTCCCGGAGCACAGTCCCCCCAGCGTGTGTGACAGAGTTCCGGGACACGGGGTCACCACCAAATGCCCGTCTACGACTTCCCAGCTCGGGCTGCCTCCGATGGTGCCTCTCTCACTTTGGTTTTCCTGGCCACATCCACCTTTCCCGGGACACCAGCAAGGGGGGGGCTCAGCCTGTGTCCCCAGGCTGGGCAGGAGGGCACTGGCAGGGGCTCACGAGTGTGCTGATTGGTAAATAAAAAAGGCACAGACTTCGACTCCGGGTTGGGCACATACACAAAACCAGCCCCACGGACATCCCTGCATTCGACCTCCCTGGTGGCCCTGCCATCAACTCCCCCCCCATCTGCCCAGGGGAGGGGGTCCCGCCAGGTCAGGTGGAGGAGACGGGAAGGCCCGGGACCTGTGGGCACTTACCCAACAATATTTCGTTTTGCCCCCTCCTTCCCAGAGGCAAAACGGGCCCAGGAGGAGGAGGAAGTGAAAATCTGGCCTCAGCAGCTCCGGGTCACCAAGTTCCCCCGTCCCCAGCCCCCCTTCCTGCTTCTCGAAGGGACCCAGGCAGGGTCACTGCGGGTGTGTAGGATCTGGTGTCACTCGTGATGGCGATAAACATGGAGACCAACCGAGTGTCCAACCACAGAGGACCGCTGGCGATCCATCTGGCGGGTGGGAGTCCGGGGTCCCCAGGTTGAACCCCAACTCCTCCACCTAACCGGCCGGATGGCCTCTGACAGCTCACACCCCCGCTGTGCCTCCGTTTCCCCCTCTGTAAAACGGAGATAAGGAGGGCGTCCGCCCGCACTGCTCTGCCTTCCCTTCGGACGCCCGGACGCCACCGGTGACCCCGGGCAGGGAACTCACCAAGATGTAGTCGGCCCACATGTCCCGGGCGGACTTCAGGGCCGCCTGGCGCAGCTTCATGACGTGCTCGTAGCGGGCGTCGGACCAGTGCTTGGGGCCCTCCTCGTCTTGGTAGGACCTGAGGAGAGGCAGCTGTGATGGGGGGGGCGAAGGGGGGCAGGCGGCAGAGCGGTCAGAGGGGGGTTCCTGGCGGAGGGATGGCTAAGCTGGATCTGCAGGCTGGGAAGAAGCAAGCAAGGGGAGACCAGGAGGAGGGAGGTGTGTCTGCAGCAGGGGGCCGGGCAACGTCCAAGGCCCGGAGAGGAGGAAGTCCAGGCAATGGCAGAGAAGGAAGAAAGCTCAGCAGGAGGGGGAGCCGCTGGGAGAGAGCCCAGAGCAAAAGAAAAGTGGAGCCCTGACCCGTTCGGCTCAGTGGATAGAACGTCGGCCTGCGGACTGAGGGGTCCCGGGTTCAATTCCAGTCAGGGGCATGTGCAGGAGGCAGCTGATGGATATTTCTCTCTTATCAATGTTTCTAACTCTCCGTCCCTCTCCCTTCCTCTCTGTAAAAAATCAATAAAATAGATATAAAAAAGAAAATAAAAGTGGAACCTGTCCACGCAGACTCAGAACCTGGAAGGCTGGAAGGCTGAGGGCAGGTGGGAGGAGTCAGAGGAGCCAGGGCTGGAGGGCCAGGGGTGCAGGGGTGAGGGTGTGTGGGCAGGGGTGCAGCTGAGTCCGGCCGGGAGGCCTCACTCCGGGCAGGGCCTGGCACTCACCGGGGCTCCTCCGCCGGCCGCCACTCCACCGAGTGGTACAAGTTCTTCACGGCCACCAGCCATTCCCGCAGCACTGCCGTCGTGTTGTCTGCGTTGTGGTCTGTGGCCACCCTGCGGGCGGAGGGGGACCATCAGGAAGGTTGGGGAGCCCAAACCAGGGCAGCTCCGCACCCTGGCTCAGCCTGTGGGGCCAGGCGATCCCCACTCCATGCCTCAGTCTCCTCTTAGCACTTCCCTGGCTGCAGAGAAGATTAAACAAGCTACTTTTAGAAAACCACAGGAGACGCTGCTAGTACTGTGGAGCCTCTAGGATCCTATCAGAAGCTTGGGTACTAAGTATGTGAGACTTAATAAACATACAACTACATCAGACAGCCCCATCCACCTTCCTCCCGCCTCTCCTACGACCACCACCCCCGCCACAGCCGTCTCTGAGACATCAGCAGCGCTCGGGCCATCCAGGCCAGGGAGTCTGGAGTAGAGGAGAAGAGAGACATCTGGGAATCCAGTTTGGGCCTGGAGCCCAGAGCTATCTTCCCAAATGAAGCGTTACTAAGTTGACAACAAGGACAGCAGTGATAAGAGTCACAATCAGGGCAGTTCCTGGCGGTATCCCATTGCCCTTCCAGGAAGGGCCATGCCCCGCCCACGCGCTCCGGTTAGAAGGCCCGATTCAGGCAGGAGTGGAAAGACATACAGCGGGTGACGTGCACTGTGGGCCACCGCCGCGCCCTGGCTGGGGTCCCGGGCTCCGTTTCCCCGGAGCCTGCGCGTGTTCCTAGCGGTTCGGAGGGTTGGGCAGGGCGGCCTGCCTGGGTGTGGTCCCCGATCTGCCCTAAGGGGGGAGCAGCAGGCAGAACGAGGGTCTTGCCCATCCTTATGCGGGACAGGGAGGGCGCGGGGAGGCGGGGCCGCAGGACAAGGCACGCGTGGGTCTGGCCCCCAGATGTGGGGGGGGGGGCAAGAAGCAGAGAGCGCGCGTGGGTCTGGCCCGCCACGCCCGGGGCCGGGACAGCGCGCGGGGCGCGGCGCGGACCGGCCGTCGGGGCAGCGGGCCGGCCTCCCTGCGGCGCCGCACTCACCACAGCGCCGTGCGCTCGCGCGGGTGGCGCAGCCGCTCCAGCGCGCCCAGCGTGGCCGGCAGCGCGTGGGCCGCGTTGCGCGCCAGCAGCGCGATGAGCACGCGCGGCGCCTGCAGCGGCGACTCGGGGCTCCAGCGCTCCTCCGGGAAGTAGGCGGCGGCGCCCGGCGGGCCCCCCGGGGGCGGCAGCGCCAGCAGCAGCAGCAGCAGCAGCTCCGGGAGCGGCCGCCCGCCCCGCCGGCACGCGCGTGGGGCCGCCGCCATCGCGCCACGCGTCTCCTTTAAGCCTCTTTTCTGCCGGCGGACGAGGGCCGCGCCTTAAAGGGGCCTTCGGAGTCCCGCCGCGGCCGCGCCTTAAAGGGGAGGAGAGCGCCCGCCTTAGTCTGGCCTCCGGGCCCGCCTTCCAGGCCCCGCCTCCCGACACCTTAAAGGCACAGAGTTCAGGTCTGTCTGACGTGCGAGCCACTGCCCCGTCCAACACGATTTTATTAAATCCTCATCGAGGATGCTTTTGCCAATGATTTCTAGAGAAAGAGAGGGAGGAGGGGGGGAGAGAAACATCCACGTGAGAGAGGCACCCCCCCTACCGGGGCTGCGGAGCCTGCAACGGAACTGCAGGCCTTGACCAGGAATCGAACTGGTGACCACCCTTCAGTCCGCAGGCTGGGGCTCTAACCACTGAGCAAACTTGTCAGGGCCCATCCAACTTTTATTTGTACAATCCCTGGGTTGTACCAGGCAGACCTGGATAATTAGGCCTGAAAGATCTGAGCATCAGTTTTCATGGCAGCAACGCGGGTTTTATCATCCTGGGTCCCCACCTCGCTGGGGTGCCCTGGAGGCTTATTGGGTATTAAGCGCGTGGACCCTGGTGTCCCCAGACACCCCGCATGGGCTGCTGTGTGAGCCTTCACGTGTCCGTGAAACAGGGTTATACTGACCCCGCAGGGCTGGCATGCAGAGGAGCCACGTGACGCTTTAACGTGCTGAGCACGTGCCCTGGAGGCAGGATGGGCTATTCCATGGGAATGTTACCAGGAGACTGTTTTCCAATACTGGGCTGTATTTCCTTTCTTTCTTTCTTCTTCCTTCCTTTCTTCTTCCTTCCTTTCTTTCTTTCTTTCTTTCTTCCTTCCTTTCTTTCTTTCTTTCTTTCTTTCTTTCTTTCTTTCTTTCTTTCTTTTTTTTTAACATTGTATTGATTTTTTACAGAGAGGAAGAGAGAGGGATAGAAAGTTAGAAACATCCATCAGCTGCCTCCTGCACACCCCCCACTGGGGATGTGCCCAAAATCAAGGTACATGCCCTTGACCGGAGTCAACTCAGGACCCTTCAGTCCACAGGCCGTAGCTCTATCCACTGAGCCAAACCGTTTCCGCTGGGTTGTATTTTCTAATTGGCCGTGTTGGGGTCATTCCTAAAAATTAAATTTCAAGAAAGATGCTCAGATGTATATTTATTAATGTGCATGGCAGCGGGTTAAGGTTGCTAGGTACAACTCAGAAATGGGCTTGTACGTCCTGGTGGGCACACAAGATGGGGCAGTGAGCTTGGGGGGGGGGGGAGCCCCAAATCTCCCAGCAGATCTATGGAGTCACGTGATACTCGCCCCTCCTGCTCTTCAGGCTCTTCCCCTTGCCCAAGCCCTTCCTCTGATTACTTTTCTCTACTTGGGGGAGAACACACACACACACACACACACACACACACACACACACACACACGCATTTAGGAAACTTGTGCTTGAGTTCATGGCGAGAACCATCGCAGATGCGGCAGAGGAATCTCGGCGTTAACTCCGGGAAATGTCACTTTATCTTGCAGCGCCAGTTCTTCCCGCCGCTGCGCCCGTGGTTTGGCCTTCTGCACCGGAGAGGGCGAGATTACTAAATCCCTCAAAACCGTTTTCTTGGCCCATCGTCCTGGTTCTCTTTTTTTTTTTTTTTTCTTTTTTTTTTTTACTTTAGAATATTTTCTCTGATTCTATTATATTCAACAGTTAATATTGTTCATCAGATTTTTTTTTAATTTCCTTGGTTTTTAGATTCACTTGTTGATATTTATGTATTTGTTGTTCATAGTTTTTATCTTTATTTACTTTCTCTTCTGAAAGAACCCCCTTCAGCAATTCATATAATTCTGGTTTGGCGGTGATGAACTCCTTTAGCTTTTTTTTATTAGTGAAGCTCTGTATCTGGCCTTCGACTCTGAGTGATAGCTTTGCTGGGTAGATTATCTTTGGCTGTAGGTTCTTACTATTCATCACCTTGAATATTTCTTGCCATTCCTGTCTGGCCTGCATGGTTTCTGTTGAGAAATCAGCTGACAATCGTATAGGTGCTCCTTTATAGGTAACTACCTGCTTTGCTCTTGCTGCTTTTAATATTCTCTTTTTGTCTTTTGCTCTTGGAATTTTAATTATGATGTGTCTTGGTGTGGTCCTCTTTGGATTCCTTTTGTTTGGAGTTCTGTGCGCTTCCTGGACTTGTAAGTCTAATTCTTTCACCAGGTGGGGGAAGTTTTCTGTCACTATTTCTTTCAGTATGTTTTTGATATCTTGCTGTCTCTCATCTTCTGGGACCCCCATAATTCTGATGTTGGTTCACTTGAAGTTTTCCCAGAGGTTTCTTACATTATCTTCAATTTTCTGGATTCTCTTGTCTTCTTGCTTCTGTGGAGGAGTGTCTTCTGGCTCTTTATATTCCAAATCTTTGACTTGATTCTTGTGGTCTTCCATTCTGTTTTTAGGACTCTGTATAATATTTTTTATTTCAGACAATGTATTCTTTATTTCTTGTTGATCCTTTATCATTTCTCGTTGATTCCTTATTAATTCTAGTTGATCCCTATTCATATCCTCATGTCTTATCGACCTTTTCTAGGAAATTCTTGGAAAACCTTATAAGCGTAGATTTGAACTCTATATCCAGTCGCTTTTTGTCCTCCATTTCTTTCGTTTGTGATCTATTTAGTTGTTGCATTTTCACAGCTTCCCTGATGGGGCGGGGTTTCAGGGTGGAACCTACAGCCTTGGCTTCCTATGCGGCTCCTGAGACTCAGGGTCCTCAGTACTCGCTGCAAGCGCCTCTGAGAGAAAGGTGCCCTCTATTTTCGCCTGCTACCAAACAGTCTAGGCTCTTCCCCATGAGCCCGGTATTGGGGTTCAGTTCAGTTGGAAGTGGAGTTGGAGGTGGCGTTCACAGCAGTCTGGAGCCCCAGTCTCCTTCCCGTCAGGGCAATCCCAAGGCACAGCCGACCGTCCCTTCTCTGCACGCAATGTGCTCGCCTCCGGGACCTCCTTTCGCCGCTCCCCCAGGGTTCTGCCTTACAGCCCAGCTCCCTATGGATGAGCCTGGGTCCCCGGGGTCTGGCCTAGAACTGGGGTTCAGAGCAGTCGGGGGCCCAGCACAGTCGGAGCTTTTATCTCCTTCCCACTAGGGAACGCCCGTCAGGCACTCAGTCTCCCTCCTCTCCGGCTCCATCCTCTCGGTGCGCGCCGCATGTCTCTGTACCTTAGGCTTCTACAGCTCCTCTGGGCTTCCTTCTGGTTTTCTCTTTCCTTCTCATTGTAGAATTTCCAGTCAGTCACCTTTCCTGTAGTTCTGGGTAATGTCCATTTTATATTTTAGTTGTATTTTATTGAAATTGTTGTGCGGCTAGGTATTTACCTGTGCAGCCATCTTGGATTCTCCTCTGTTATCCTCTGTTTCCCGATATTTTTTCAATTGTCTGCACAGGTTAAGTTTGGGGCTGAATATTTTATTTTTTTATTTTTATCTTTTAAACTGTTTTATTGATTTCAGAGAGGAAGGGAGAGGGAGAGAGAGATAGAAATGATGAGAATCATTGCTCAGCTGCCTCCTGTATGTCCCCTACTGGAGATCGAGCCCACAATCTGGGCATGTGCCCCTGACCGGAATTGAACCTTGGACCCTTCAGTCTGCAGGCCAACACTTTATCCACCAAGCCAAACCAGCCAGGGCTGGGGCTGAATGTTTTAGAAATGCAGCCCAGGCTTTTCTGGTTCCGTGATTTGACTCAGAGCGGAGGAAAGGAGGCCTGGCGACAAAAGATCTTGCATATTAAGCAAGAAAAACAGGGTGACAAGTGTCTCTGGTTCTGACACTCTGAGAAAAGAGAAAAGACCGGAAGGAGTTAGACCCCAGGGCAAGCAGTGGTTTTCTCAGAGTGGGCAGGATGACAGATTCTTGTTGCTGCAATTGCCCCAGAATAACTGTGGACATCCTGTGTAAAGAGAAGCCAGCTGGACAGGGCTGTGGAGCACAAACGTATCTCAGAAGATGGTGGTGGAGGGAGGCAATCCGGAAGCGCGAGGGAAACCTTATTCTCTCCGGGAAGGCTCAAATCTCCAGGACAGGATGGGAGGAAACCATCTCTGGGGGGTGTCGGTCCCCGCTGAGAGCTGAAAGGAGAAGAACATTGGGGAAGTCCCGCAGGAACCTGCTCCGGAAGCAGCTGGAAGGCTTGTGACCTGGGGAAGCTGCCAACTCGAGTCCACAGATGACTTTTCTGGCAAGCAGAGCGCAGTCCCCATACGTTCTCTCCTCTCCGCTGAGAAACTTGTTACCGAGTTAAATTTGGGAGCTGTGTAAGCAAACCCAAAAGGCCCACAGCAAGCTGAGAAAAAAAATCTGTAATCTGGATACAAAGTGTTAATACCATTACTATATACAGAGTTACCAGGGATCAATACCAGGAAATCCATGAACAGACAATTCAATGATAACCCACAAACATATAAATGGCCAATAAACATTTTTATTTTTTCTTAAATATATATTTTTATTGATTTTAGAGAGGAAGGGAGAGGGATAGAGAGATAGAAACATCAAAGATGAGAGAGAATCATTGATCAGCTGCCTCCTGCATGCCCCCTACTGGGGATTGAGCCTGCAACACAGGTCTGTGTCCTTGACTGCAATTGAACCCTGAACCCTTCCATCCGCAGGCTGATGCTCTATCCACTGAGCCAAACTGGCTAGGGTCAATAAACATTTTTAGATTCATTTTAGTCAGCAAACAAATTCAAAATTTAAAAAATGAAGTGTGTGTGCCCATCAAGTTGACTTTTTTTTTCTTTTATGAAAGTTCCTAATATTTGGAAAGGATGTGGAGAATATGCACAAATTCTCCTAGTAGAAATGTGAGAAGGCACAGCCCTTCAGGAAAGGAGTGAGGTGGAGGTGAGTTGGTTGTGAAAGCCTTGAAATGGCTCATCTGACTCAGAAATTCCATCAGTAGACACTCATCTGCTGGTCATGGAGATGGCTGCAGGCAGATTCAGCTCCGGAACGTCCTTGGAGGCAGCAGCGGGCAGAGCGGCTGGACCTCAGTGCAGGAGCCTGGCTGCTTGGCACAAGTCCCTCTCTGAGCCTCAGTTTCCTCATCTGTAAAATGGAACGTGTCACAAGGATGCCACAAAAAAATTGGACACATCAAATGCCTGGCACATAATAAATGCTCGTAGTAAATGGGATATTAGCAATAAAAATTTAATTTGTAAGCACCTCGAACCTAAGTGAGCCTAGGAGAGGAACAGAGCTCCACAGGAGAGCTACAAACTGTTCTAAAATGCATGAAAAGATGTTTATTTTCATCTCTAAGAAGATGTGTCCATTCAAATGAAAAGCCAAGGCACCATTTTCCACCCAGAAGGTCTGAGAAATCTCACGTCAGCTGACAGCCTGTGGAGTGTGGGGCCACCTGCACACAGGTGAGGGGCAGCGACCAGATGGGACCACCCTGGCGGACAGAGCATGGAAGACCACTACTGGAATGACAAGCACACATGCTCTGAACCACGAGGTGCCACATCGAGGGATTTTCCTACCAACACCTGCACTCGCCTGAAAAGTACACAGGAGGCCATCCCCTGTGATGTTATCTGTGTGAGGGAAAGACTTAGAAGCAAAACCCATCATCACTTTCAGGCGTCTTCAAACTACGGCCCGCGGGCCACATGCGGCCCGCAGAGGAGTCTGATCCGGCCCGCCAGGTTTTTTGGGCAGTGAGCGCAGCTGAGGTGTTACAGTAGGAATTAGTAGTTCATATAGTCCGGCCCTCCAGCTCTCTGAGGGACCGTGATCTGGCCCCCACTTTAAAAAGTTTGAGGACCCCTGATTAGATCCTGGTTAAACAGGTTAAGGAGCTTCCCTACAAACTCTCATTGCCAATTGCAGATCGCAAAATAGTCTGAAGTCTTGGTAAGAAGTCTTTGTTTAATCTTCTGTGCATCCCAATGTGTGTGGCTATCCATCAGTTTATCTGCAGCGACCGGCTAAGGCAGTGGCCGGCAAACTCATTCGTCAACAGAGCCAAATATCAACAGCACACGATTGAAATTTCTTTGGAGAGCCAAAAAATGTAAACTTAAACTTCTTCTAACACCACTTCTTCAAAATAGACTCGCCCGGGCCGTGGTATTTTGTGGAAGAGCCACACTCAAGGAACCAAAGGGCCTCGTGTGGCTCGAGAGCCGCAGTTTGCCCACCACAGGGCTAAGGGATACTGCCCTAGACCCGTGTTAGTTAGCAATAGCTGCATAACAAATGGTCCCTAAAATTCGCAGCTGAAAACAACACACATCTATGATCTCAGAGTTCCCATGGGTGAAGAACATGGATGCAGGTAGCTGGGTCCAGAGCTCTCACAACAGCAGTTCCCAAGGAGCTGTGAGCCACTCTCAAATCCCTGCTCCCCCTCACAGGGCCCTTGCTCAGGGTGAACCCAGCTCCCACTGCCACAACCTCTCCTTTCAGTGCTAGGAACTCGTAGCTGCTGGGGAGTCTCCACCGAGTTTTGGCCAGATGAGATGGGACAGGGATTCACGGCAGAGCCTGGGCTAAGAGGGTCCCTCTGTGACTCCAACACACTCCGTGTCTCTCCCCTGCTCTTGTTCACCATGAGCTTGGCCAGACCAGCCACACCAGGAGACAGGTGGACGCTATTCCATCAGGGACCTACACTGTCCATGATCCCATACACCCTGTAAAGACCCCCCCTACCCCCCATCAATTCACTGGCGTGGCCCAAGAACCAGAGAGGGCCTCACCTGCTCCCGCCTGGCCCCATGCGGCCTCCGAGCAGCCATCCCGAGTGCAGGACACGTCGCTGGCACCGAGGGCCTTTTTCAGTTCTGAAACAACAGATAACTCCCTGGACCCACCTGGGGAAGCCCGGGCATCGGAGAGCCTCCATCATTCTCCCAAAGGAGCCACCAAAGGGCAAAGGATGGAGGAGAGGGCTCGACCGAGAACTTCCAACAAGTGGCTTATTTGAGCCTCCTCTCTCCATGCCTGTGCCCAAGACAGACATTGCTAGCCGATCCCCGACATCTTCACTGAGCCAGATGCTTCCAGATCCACTTCAAAACACTGCACTCCAAGCAAATGTCAAAAATCCCTTTAGGATGAAACCCCTCAAGGACATGGAGAACCTCTGGGAATGGAGGTGTTACCTGTTTTGAGATTTTTTCCCCCAATCATAGAATAGCCTTTTTTTTTTTTTTTTTTTTTTTTTTTTTTCATTTAAAGTAGGGGTGTCGAACTCAATCAGAGAAGGGGCCAAAATCTAAAATCCAGCCTAAATTGCGGGCCGAATGGTTTACTGAACAGTCATAAACTGTCATTGTGATGGAAACGCAGCGGAGTGCAGTGATGACAGCGCGGTGCGGGCCACATTGCAAGGCCTGGCGGGACGGATTTGGCCCGCGGGCCTTGTGTTTGACACATGTGATTTAAAGTGTCCCCTAGTCAACTACCCACAGATGGAGCCCACATCCTCACCCTTCCTTCCTGGCTCCCAAAACACTGCTGTCCCCTATCCAACGGCCCTGTCCCTGCTTCCTCTTTCTGTCCTTCAAACACAGGCTCTCCTGGATGCCTCCCCGTTCCCTACGCTCCATTCGCAGGAGGCGGGCTCTCCTGTGTCCTCGGTGACCCCCGGGCCGGCAATGCTGGCATCTCTGCCCCCGCCTCAGCCCCATCACTGGACTCCGTCCTCTGGGCAGCTGCCCCTGCTCCGGCCCATCATTTGTTCCCAGGCCACGCCCTGGGCCTCCTCCCTCATTTGCCATCTGGCCACTGTCATCCTCTGCTCACACACCCTCTGCTCACACACCCTCTGCTCACACACCCTCCATGACTCCCGCTGCCTGTCATTCAAGCCCCTGCATGTCTGCCTCGGCAGCCTCCAGCCTCCCCCCCTGAGGGCCACGTGGATGCCGTGACATGCCCAGAGTCACAATTACATGCTGCTCAGCCCTGAGTTACTGCACCCGTCTCAGCGGTCACAGACATTGGGTCCTGAGTGAACAGACAGGGCAGGAGGGAGAAGAGACAGTTCCGGAGCCTTTTCCCAGGCAGGAGACCCTGGGAGGCCTAGCCCAAGTCCAAGCACTCTTGAGGCCTCACTGCCGGCCAGCGATAAACACAGGCGGTGACTGCTGATGACTAAATGTGAATGTCCAGCTGCGGGCTTTTAATTTTGCCTCCTTCCCCTCATTCTGAGAAGTCCTACAGACCCCCGAGAGCCTTGTTCCAGGGTCCTCACTCAGGGCGCTGCTGTCCTGCCCCTCCCTGCTTGTCCACCTCTGTCCTGGGCCGGACCCGCAGTCAGAAGGCTGGTGTTCACCGGAAGTGAGGCCACAGGGCTCAGCATCCACGGCCAGGGGTCCCCAAGCTCCCCCGAGCCACAGGGGGAGGCTCACCTCCATCGATCCTCTGAAGCAGGGCCCCCCGTATGACATCCTCGTAGACGCCCTCGATGGTCAGGGCAGGGCTGCCCACAGCAAGAACATCCCCTTCGAACTCGCGCAGCTCCTGGAATGGAGGGGGGTGAGGGCCTGGGCTGGAGGGGTGGGCCCTTGGCAGGTGCCAGCTCCCGCTGTGACCCAGGTCTAGGTACCTGGGTGGCCCTGACCCTCATTTTCCTCGCCTTTAACATGGGTCTCCATGACCTGCACGCCCTCGGGTTGCCCTGCAGGTGGATGCAAGAGCATATCTCACCTCAACAGGAATAGCACCGATGTCTCTTCTAGAACCCCCCTGCGCCCCCCCTCCCCGCCCCCGCCTCAGCCACCTCCTCTAGAGGAGCCGGTTGGCACCTGAGACCAACCATGGCCTGGTGCCTGCAAGCCCTGTGTGGCCAGGCCCCTGGGACCTCTCCCCTCATCTCTTTCCCTCCACCTCACTGTTCCCTCAGCACGCCAGCCCCGGCCTGCCCCAGGCCAGCCCATGCTGTGCCCTCTACCTGGAATGCCCTTCCCTGGACACAGCTCACTCCGTCAGCTCCCTGCCTCTCCGTGTCACCTTCTCAGGGAGACCCTCCATGACCACAGCACCCCCCTCCCCAACACACACTCCTCCTCTGCTCCCCCTCCTCTGAAACCGCGTCACCTGTGCCCTCACCCCAGCCCTCAAGTGCCAGACATCAAGTACCGTCATGGGAGGAGCAGGGGGCATTGTGGGCGCCCAGAGCTAGGGAACAGGAGTCTCTGACTGTCACAGGCTCTGTGCGGGAGCGAGCACTGTGCGGGAGCGAGCACTGCGCGGAGAGGCCCCCCTGCGCTCACCGCTCTGCAGCGCGGCTCCAGCTGGCTCCTCACGAAGGGCAGGAAGACGCAGAGCTGCCACCCGCGGACGAACCTCCTCAGGGCGGAGCCGCTGTCGGACCAGAACTTCTGCAAGGCACACCCCGCGGCCGGTCCAGCGGCCATTGGGGCCCAGGCCCACGTCCGTGCCCTCCCCGCGGGCCTCACCTTCAGCACGCGCCCCCGGACTTTCTCCAGCTGCTGGGCGGCCTGGTGGCAGTCCAGGGCGCTGGTCAGACACTGGTCGGCCAGCTGCAGGAAGGTGGCCACGGCGTCGGCCATGAGCTGTGGAGGGAGGGGCTGGGATGACTCTCGGGTAACCCACTCTCTGGCCTCATCAGCCTCGTTCCTGCCCAACGACACCTTCTCAGCATCCAGTCCATCCCTGCCACCCTACCAGCCACTTCCCTCAGCCTCCTCCTTGTCTCAAGAAACAACACCTCTTGCCTGGCCAGTGTGGCTCAGTGGTTGAGCGTCGACCTATGAACCAGGAGGTCACGGTTCAACTCCCAGTCAGGGCACATGCCTGGGCTCCATCCGCAATAGGGGACATGCAGGAGGCATCGGTCAATGATTCTCTCATCACTGATTTTTCTATCTCTCTCTCTCTCTCTCCTGTCTTCTCTCTAAAGTCAATAAAAACAATTTTTTAAAAAATATATTTTATTGATTTTTTTACAGAGAGGAAGGGAGAGAGATAGAGAGTTAGAAACATCGATGAGAGAGAGACATCGATCAGCTGCCTCTTGCACGCCCCCTTCCTGGGATGTGCCCGCAACCAAGGTACATGCCCTTGACCGGAATCGAACCCGGGACCCTTCAGTCAGCAGGCTGACGCTCTATCCACTGAGCCAAACCGGTTTTGGCAAAAAACAATTTTTTTTTTAAAGTGGCACCTCCTCTCAGGAGCCAGGGAGCCAGGGACCACCCAATCAGTGGGGTCCTATGTCCAAACTGGTAGGAAGCAGCCTCCCCACTGGAGAGTGGTCCCGGGGTGCCCAGCCTGGGGAGCAGAGAGCCGGCTGGAGTTTGGCCTCCGGGGCCGAGTGCTCCTGGGAAGTATGCAACTTGAACAACTGTGCGGGGCACCACGCTGTCTCCTTCCCTTCCCGTGTCCATGGGCAGGTCCCATGCCCTGGCCTTCAAAACACCCCTGCTTCTCTCACCCATAGCACTCAACTAGGGGAGGCCTCTGCCATGCCTGCCCTCCCCCACACACACACGCAGCCCGTGCTTCCCAAGGCAGCCGTGGCTTCTTCACTTTATATGTGCTCAAACCTTCCCTGCCGTGGATCCCCATTGCCCTTGGGCCAGAGCCCAGCCTCTGGGCCCCATACAGAGGGCCCTGACCCGTCTGACCACCCACCTCCCTGGCACGTCTCCCACCCTTCTGCCCTCCCTTTGAAACCTACAACCCAGTGTCTCCAAATTGTTTAATTTCCCCAAAGGCAGACAAGCTTTCTCACTTCCCAGCACTTACTGATCCCTATGCCCAGGACATGCCCCACCTCCATTTCTCCCACTGCTGCCCCAGCTTGGAAGTCCCCCCCCTGGAAGTCCTCCCAACCCCGAGACTGATCAAGCACGTCCTTGAGGCTCACATAGCACCGTGTGCATCCACACCACAGCCCTGCCCATCACATGCTCACTGCCTGGTCATGGCTCATGTCTACATGACCCTGGGAGCCCAGAGGGCGAGCCCAGGTCTGTCTCGGTCATCCCGCTCTCCCCAACACACGACGGAGTGAAGGCAGTTGCCTTTGCCTCACCTGTTGTGCGAGATCCTGGGCCCCAAACACCAGACTGCGTGCTCCCAGGAAGCCAAACGGTACCGCCAGCTGCTCCAGGCGGCCCTGGCTCCGCTCGGCCTCGCGGAAGCAAGTCTGCATCAGCTCTGGATCCCACGGCATCTCGCCAAACGAGTGAACCTGCGCTCCAACGGCAGTCAGTGAGAAACACCATCAGCCGATGGAAGGGCAGGACCAACAGACTCAGAGCCGGTGCAGCGAAGGAAAAGCACAAGTGGGAACGTATCTTACCTTAGCTATCACCACAAAAATGCACAAGAAAAGTAACAGTGAAGCCCTAGCTGGTGTGGCTCAGTGGATAAAGCGTCGGCCTGGGGACTGAAGGGTCTCCCAGGTTCGATTCCAGTCAAGGGCACATGCCTGGGTTGTGGGCTCGGTCCCCAGTAGGGAGTGTACAAGAGGCAGCCGATCCATGATTCTCTCTCATCATTGATGTTTCCCTCTCTCTCTCTCTCCCACTTCCTCTCTGAAATCAATAAAAAAAAAAAGTATATATTTTTAAAAAGTAACAGTGAGGTATAGACAGACATAAAATGGTAAAGCCTGGAGAAATGGCGATACGCGGTGCTGGCAGGACTGAGGGAAATGGGCACACCCGGTCCTAGTGGGACCTTTGCCCACCATCTGATGGTCTCTTGGGGCTGAGCCTCAGGCCCACATGAGTGGAGTAACCCAACACCTCAGGGAGCTCAAGGAAAGTCCGGGGAGATAGACTGGAGACAATCAACCACAATGGTGTGTAAATGCCCTCATGATGAGGGGAGCTCAGGCAGCTGCAGATGCAGAGAGGGGCCAGGGACAGTTCCTCATGGAGGTGATTAGGCAGCGGATGTGTAATGAGTTAAAGGTGCATAATAGGTGCTCATTTAACACCAAAAGAACTGAGCTGACCTGCGTGGAGCAGAATTCTCTGGGGACAGGATGGGCTCTGGCTAAACAGAGGCATGGCAGGAGGGAGAGTTTGTGGGGAAGGTGACTCCAAACTGATATTATTAAGTGCTACTCTCAACATCTTACTCCTTTTCCCTACATTTTAAACAGTGTCCTGATAACCATAGCATCGTTGTCCATTATAAGTAAAAGAAACAAACAGCCTAGAAAAAAAGGTGTTTCGAGGTTTTTAACAAGAAAAGGTGTCAAACAAGAAAGATGCAAGGTCCTGCAGCTCACCTCTCTCCGCAGCCGCGCGCCGGAGGGATTGGCACGCAGGTGGCGGCACAGGCGGTCCATTCCCTGGGCTAGGAGGGTCTGCACCGCGGCCAGCGCCGCTTCCACGATGCTGAGCAGGGTCTGCGAGACCCGGGGCAGCTGCGCGTCCACCTTCCCGCGCAGGCAGGACTCCAGCGGGCCCTGGACTGCGGCTGAGGGTGGAAAGCACGGCCTGGGTCTCCTTCGCCAGGGGCTCCGCTAGTGGGGTCGTGGGAGACCCTAGGCTCCGCAGGGTGGGGTGGGCGGGACGCAGACGCTGAGCACCCGCTCCGCCCATTTTTCTGGGGTTTCGGAGGCTTCGAATGCGGCGGGGCGGCTCAGAAGCGCACGCCGGGAAGGCAGAGTCCGGATGCCATCCCGGTCCGCTTTCTAACGGAGCCGAGTGGGGGCGCCCTCCGCCGTCTGACTGAACAACCGGTCAGACGCGCCTCCCGTCCTCTCCAGAGCCGCCTCTCCCGCTCCATCGCTGGCCAGACCCCTTTCCACGTCCCCGCCCCCTCCTAGGTCCTGCCCCGCCCAGTCACAGCCCGGGGCCACGCCCACTCTCCCGCCTGTCACGCCACGCCACGCCCTTTTGTTCTCCAGCCCCGACCCTGCCGCGTCTGCAGTTCCCGGACTTTCGGCCCCGCCCCTTACGCCCACCTCGGTCCCCTTCTTTCTCTCAGGTTCCCGCCCCGCCCCGCCCCGCCAGGCCCCACCCCTTCCCCAGGCCCCACCCCGTCCCCAGGCTCCCGCCCCCTCTTCCAGGCCCCGCCCCTCCTGGCCCCAGCCTCACTCCGCAGCTTCCCCGCCACGCGCCCCCGCAGCCTCATCATCTGGTCCACGTCAGGGCGGATGGTCCTCTCCAGGGCCGAGAGCAGCTCGTCTTTCTCGGGCTGAAAGGCGCGGAGCCCGGCAGAGGCCCCGGCCAGGACAGCGGCGTGAACCGCATCCAGGAGCTGCGGGGATCAGCCCGGGGAATCCCACGGGCCGGAGCGCAGGATGGAGAGGCGGACAGAGGCGGATGGAGAGAGAGGGAGCGTGTAGGCGACAGTCAGAGGAGGCGAGGCTGGGTGCCCGGCTCCCACTCCCTCCGCCGGCTCCCTCCACCCCGTGTCCCGCGGCACCTCCGCGCCCCCGCGCGCACCTCGGTCCAGGCCCAGGCCCTGGCTCGGCCGGCCCCGCGCAGGCCCGGCTGGGTCTGGGCCCGCAACTCCGGCAGCAGGTCCCGCATCAGCACCGCGGTCAGCACCTGCGGGAGAGGAGGGGCCGTGGGCTCCGCTGAGCGCCGAGAGGCTCCAGGGTCCGGATGGGGCACTGACCTCCGCGTCCGAGCCTAGCGTCAGGTCGTCGTGGCCGAAGTGGCCTCGGTGCTGCCGGTAGAGCCGCACGGCCTCCAGGAAGGCGTGGGCGGCGGGGGCCTGGCTTCGCTGTAGGACTGGGAGTGGGGAGGCTCCTCAGTGTCCGCGCACCCCTCCTCTGCTCCCCAAGAGGAAGGAAGCCCTCGAACTCCCTGCCCGGTCCCGACATCCAGGTCTCACCCACCTCCGCAGGTGAAAACGCTCCCCAAGACCTCGCCAGCCCCCCAGGAGCCCCTACACAGTGTAGGACAGGCCCCCCCTGCGGGCAGCCAGGGCCAGGCTGCCCTGGGGCCGGTCTCCCTGCCTCCCCGTTTAGGTGCGTTCGTTCAGCCAGCAGCCTGCCCCTGTGTGTGTTGGTCCTGTTCCCTTTATCTCACCTTTTTTTTGGGGCCCCAGCTTCCACATCCCCTCCTCTTAGAAGCCCTCCCTGACCCCCCAGGGCAAGCTCCCACAAGGCAGTGTCCCCGTCACAGCCCTCCCGTCTGTCTCCCCCACAACCCATTGAATAAATAAGGAAACTGAGGCTGGGAGCGGGTCCCACAGCCAGCAGGGGCAGAATTGCCCACCCCCAGACCCGGGGCCCCATCCCTGCCTGACCCCCCCGGGGGCCCACCTGTGCCGCGGAGCCGGATGCCACCCTGCAGGGCCAGCCTCCACGCGCGCTGTGCCTCCGCTGTGGCCGCGGAGAGGCAGAGGTGCCTTCGGAAGGGGTGCTGCAGGAACAGGGGGAAGCTCACGGGCATTTCCAGGAGGGGGTCGGGCTCCTCCTGCGTGTGATCTCCTGAAAGCAGACAGAGGCGGCCACAGCTGCATCCATTCCTTTGCTCTACGATCGCTCCTTCACCAGGAGAGGGACCATGAAATACTTAGGGACCCTCGCATGGGCAGTTGCTCAGTATGCGTAACCCATGCAGCATCCGTATTTCTCCAGGCAGGATGTGCCCAGGCCTGAGCAATGCATCCCAGCACTGTCTCCCAGCCCCTGCACCCTGCTCAGCGCAGTGGCTTGGGCAGCCGCCAACTATCCTGGTTGGCATGTGAGCTGAGCCCTGCTTGCAGGGGGGTTCTGGAGCCAGCCATGCCCAGATTCAAACTTGACCAAACCATTTTCCCTGCATAGGGCACAGTTTTTCATCTCTGTGATCCTGTAAAATGGGTTCGAACCTGTTATCAATGACCTAGAATGGTTGGGAGGACACAATGGGTGGATTTCATTCTGCTTAATCTATTTGAGGCCTTCTAAATTCCTCAGTGTTTTGTGTGTGTTTTTTTAAATATATTTTATTGATTTTTTACAGAGAGGAAGGGAGAGGGATAGAGTCAGAAACATCGATGAGAGAGAAACACCCATCAACTGCCTCCTGCTCACCTCCTACTGGGGATGTGCCCACAACCAAGGCACATGTCCTCGACTGGAATTGAACCTGGGACCCTTCAGTCTGCAGGCTGACGCTCTATCCACTGAGCCAGACCCCTTAGGGTGAAAATCCTCAGTGTTTTGTTCTGATCTCAAGAACAGGATACACAGACTGGAGTAAAATACACTCATTTTGCTGGGAGAGAGGTTGGTCACTGGGCAGAAGCAAAGTAGCAAAGGGTGAACCAAAGGGACATGTGGGTGGATCCCAATGTTTGCAACATCCCCAACATTTCTGTAGACTGTCCTTGTTGCTGCATTTGCATTGTTTGGTGGCAAGATAGCTCCTCAGTGAAGTCAATGATGCAATTCTAGCTCTGAGCCTTACTAATCGTACGACAGGCCTTGGCCTTAGTGCATGCATCCGTGGAATGAGGTAACTAGCGGTGGGGCTGCCTGCTGGGCAGGTTCAATGAGATAACGCAAGCACTAACCGGTTTGGCTCATGGATAGAGCATAGGCCTGTGGACTGAATGGTCCCAGGTTTGATTCTGGTCAAGGGCATGTACCTTGGTTACAGGCACATCTCCAGAAGAAGGTGTACAGGAGGCAGCTGATCGATGTTTCTAAGTCTCTATCCCTCTCTCTAAAAAATCAATAAAATATATATATTTTAAAAAGAGATAACACAAGCCAAGCCCTCATCAGATGCATCCAGCCCAGCTATGCTGTGCCTCCCCCTGTTCCTGCAGAGTGTGTCCTGGGAGGAAGGCAGAGAGGAAGGTAAGGAGGGAGAGGGTGAGAAAGAGAGGACAGTGGAGGGAGCAGAGGAGCAGCGGCAATGGGAGGAGAAAGGGAGGGAGGGGAAGAGGGAGGAAATTAGAGAAAAAGAGAGAGAGAAAGGTGGGGAGGAAGAGGAGAGAGAATGGAAGAAGGGGTGAGGAAGGGAGAAGCCCCTGGAAATACTAGATTGAACAATACACTCAGCACCCAGATTGTGGAGGACCCCCCCGCCACCAGTGCCCATCTCCCCACAGATGTTCGTTTTGGCTGCTTTGGTTCCGGTCCGGGGCCCGGCCTCTCTCACTGATGAGAAGGGGTGTTTCTCTCTGTGGAGCTGGGCTGCTTCTCCAGCAACGAGGCTGCCCCCGGGACACGTGGTGAAGAGTAGACACGTTTTGTTGTTGCACTTGGGGTGGGGCTGCTGCTGGCATCTAGTGGGTTCGACACTCTGCATTGCTCAGGGCAGCCCCACTGACGGGACAAAAGCACTGAAGAAGAGACACCTGCTTTTGGGGTCCCCAGGAGCCTTACCTGAAGCGTCTGGGCAGAGAGTGTCCAACAGGCGGAGATATTCCCGCTGGCAAGTCAGGACTGTGTACCCTGTCAGCGCTGTGGAGCCCAGAGGACGGCCCCCATTTTCAAATTCCTACGAAAAGCGTCCAAAGAACCGCTCTGGGACAGGTCTAAACGGGGGCCCCCACGTCTCCATGTAGGATCCGGGGAAGGTTTGGGGTTAGCTGGGGAAATCCTCCTCCTCCTCCCTCTCTGCCTCCACCTCGTTCCCCCTCCTCCACAGAAGATCTGCTGCCCCCACTGTGCGCGGGGCCAGGGCGGGGTTGTCTCATTGAGTCCGACATCATCACCCATCTCACGAGGTGGAAACGGCATCCCAGGGCATCGGGGGACCCGGAGTTGTTCCCTGGCCGGGAAGCAGGCCTGACATGGCTTCAACCTTGACTTTGCTGGCGACTGTGAGTGAGCCCCCAGCCCTGTCCCGGGCCTTGGTCCAGCCACCTGCACAACAGGAGATGGTGGCCCAGCCCAGGCCAGCGACTCAGGGGCCCTCGATTAGGGCCAGATGACGGAAGAAAGGAGAGGGGCTAAGCTGGTAGCCCACAGGTGTCAAACACAAGGCCCGCGGGCCAAATCCGTCCCGCCAGGCCTTGCAATGTGGCCCGCACCGCACTGTCATCACTGCACTCCGCTGCGTTTCCATCACAATGACAGTTTATGACTGTTCAGTAAACCATTCGGCCCGCAATTTAGGCTGGATTTTAGATTTTGGCCCCTTCTCTGATTGAGTTCGACACCCCTGTGGTAGCCGGCCCCTACACCTGCTCTGCGGAGGGCAGGATGGAAAACCCGGAGGCCGAAGGGACACGAGCCCCTCACTCACCTCCCTGCGGCTGAACCACTCCAGGTGGCCATTCCCGCGCAGGACACAGAAGGTCGGCTGCCACTGGGGAGGGTGGCCCCGCAGCTGGGTCAGGGGCCCTCGGTGCTCACGGACTCGGGGAAGCTTCTGTGGAGGAGGGGCTCTCAGAGGCCAGGGGCACTGGCCAGGGTTCCGGTGTCCAGACCGTCGGGACAGCTCCCACAGGTGCCACGAAGCACAGGGCCGCTCCTGTTCCTGACCAGGCACTCAGAGCAAGCACTTACTTGTGGCCCTTCCAAATAAGAACTGTATACAGGGAGTGGCCAGATTATCATGACCTCTGAACGCATAATAATCTGGCCAATCAGTGTACATCTTATTTAATAAAAGGCTCATATGCAAATTTCCCCCCTAGACCAGGAGTTCAACCAGCAGGCAGGCTGGCCAACAGCCCACGTCCCCTCCCCCTGGCCAGGCTGGCCGGACCCCACCCATGCACGAATCCATGCACCGGGCCTTTAATAAGCATTTATACTTAGTGGCCAGATTATTATGCGTTCAGAGATCACAATAATCTGGCCACTCAGTGTATCTTCCACCGCCCTTACCATTCTTACCATCGCCACTTCATCTGGGGGAGGACCCTCCCTCACGTGAGCCTCAGAGGAGACCCCAGCCCTGGCCAATACCTCGCTCTAAGTCTGTGAGGGACCCTGAAAGGAAGGGCTCAGAGAAGCTGCCTCTAGAGTCCCAGCTCACAGCCACGGTGAGATAAGTGTGTGTCGCTTTAAGCTACTGGTTGGCAGTATATCGTCACACAGCCTTAACCATGGGGCAGGGGTGGTGTAACTATGAGAAATGGCTGGACCTCTGCCCTCAGGGGGACACTTTCTCCATCCTCTGTTTCACTTCCTTTGTCACTCTCCCTAGACCTGACACCTGCATTGTGTGTTTTGTGTCGTCCCTGTGTCCCAGGGCAGTGTCTGGTGTGTGGTTCGTGCTCAATAAATACTCGATGAATCAATGAACTGCAAGTGTGATGTTCTGATTCTTTGCTGGGGTGGTGGGATCTCTGTGTGCTTTTAATGATTCTCCAAACTTTTTCCCAGGCCTAAAAATTTCCATAAAATATTGTTAAAATGCTATTATAGAAATCCTGTATAATAAAAGGCTAATATAGAAATCAACTGAACAATGGAACGATTGGTCGCTATGATGCCCACTGACCACCAGGGGGCAGATGCTCAACCAGGAGCTGCTTCCTGGTTATCAGTGCACTCCCACAGGGGCGGCGCAGCCAGAAGCCGGGCTCATGGCTGGCAGAGGAGCCGGCAGTCGGACATCCCCCTGAGGGCTCCCAGATTGCAAGAGGGTGCAGGCCAGGCTAATGGACCCCTCCGCCCCCATGCGCAAGAGGCAACCAATTAATGTGTTTCTCTCACATTGATGTTTCTCTCTGTCTTTCCCTCTCTCTTCCACTCTCTAAAAATCAATGGAGCCGAAACCGGTTTGGCTCAGTGGATAAAGTGTTGGCCTGCAGACTGAGAGGTCCCAGGTTCCATTCTGGTCAAGGGCATGTACTGGAGTTGTGGGCACATCCCCAGTAAGGGGTGTGCAGGAGGCAGCTGATCGATGTTCCTCTCTCATCGATGTTTCTAGCTCTCTATCCTTCTCCCTTCTTCTCTGTAAAAAATCAATAAAATATATTAAAAAAAATAAAAATCAATGGAAAATATCATTGGGTGAGGATTAAAATAATAAGTAAATAAATAAATATATAAAATGTTCAAACTGAAGCCAGGGGAAGTCCCTCCACACTGCTCGAAAACTAATGTCAGCTGTGCTCTGGCCGCGTGACTGAAACCAGCAGGTGGTGTGGGGTGCAGGTGGGAGTGACACTCAGGCCCCATGAGGCCCCAAGAGGCACAGGGAGAGGGCTGGTTGGGAGGGTGCTCTGTGTCCACAGCATCAGGGAGCCCCCACCCCCGGGCAGGCACCACTGGGGGAAGAGGCACCTGAGTGAGGTGGGCAAACTCAGTGCCCTCTGGGGGCAGGGGACCCAATGCCAGGAAGGGATACGAGCTCCGAGTTCAAACGATGCCTCTGCCAATTGCCGGTGGAATGACCTCAGGCAGATCGCTTTGCCTTTCTGTGCCTTGGTTTCCTTGCTGGTCAGAGACCCACCTCTGGGGCCAGTAAGGTTGAGCATGTTGTGTCAGGCACACGGGAGTCCTGGGTGCCATTGCCAGTTCTGCAGGCGTGTGGAGCTGGGACCAGACAGCTCCAGGCTCCTTTGCTCCATCCACATATTATTCCTGTGCCCCTACTAAATGCAGGCACCATGTGGGTGTGAGGGGTGGGTGTGAGGGAAAGAGGAGACGAGGCCAGGCTTCTCTCTTGCAGAGCAGACCCATGGAGGTGACTGATGTGTGACCTGGGGCTTTGCTGGGATGGGGGTCTCAGGGGAGGCGCCTGACTGAGGTGGGGGCAATGACAATCCAGGAAGGCTTCCTGGAAGAGGTGGCAACTGAAGTACAAGGAGGAATGGAAAGTGCATGAGACAGAGGCCACCTCACATGCAAAGACTTGGGCATCCAGTGGTTGTGCTGCGTCCTTGCGTGTGGCACTCAGGGCAAGCCTTTTCCAACTTCAGGGCTTTTGCCCTACCTGTGCCTTCTGCCTACAATGCCCCTCCCATTCTGGGCTCCAGATCTGGCTTCTCATCCTTTATATCTCAGCTCAAAGGGTCCCCCTGCACCTCGACTCCCCACCCCTAACTGTGCCCTTCCGCTTGATTTCCTAGCACCTATCTGAAGTTGCCCTGCATCATGATATGTTAATTTCCCCCAATCAGACTGTGAGCTCCAGAGAACAGAACGGGGTATGTCTCGGTCTCTGCTGTGTCCCCAGCGTCTAGCCCAGGACATGCTAGTGAATATGCTAGTGAATGTTTATAGCCACCCTGGGTTGTGACACCAGCAAGGACAAAGATGCGAGAAGCCCCCCCCACCCCGCTGTGCTGAGCCAATGGCCTCCTGTTTGCTCAGCAGCCCTCCACCCTCACGTGTGGCACCCACTTTGCTGGGCAGCAGTTGGCTTCCGGCCAGCTCCTGGGGCACCAGCTCCCGGGAAATCTGCTGCAGGACCGAGGCCGCCAGCTGCAGGCGGTACTGAGGCAGGAAGCTCCTTAGCAGCACCTCCACCTGGTCTGCAGGGACAAGGGAACAGGGAGGCGGCTGAATCCGGCCACCGACGGGGGGGAAGAAGGCAAGACAGGATGGAAGAGGCTGGTGGGCTTCTACTGTCACCCCAAACCCCGAAGTTCCCCCACGAGACATACTCCAAGTTCCTTTCACCCTTAACCATCACTGTCCGTTTCCATCCTTGGGGGACGGGAGGGAGTAAGGCACTCCAGCTTAATTTCTTTTTCATATTTAAAAATATGCATTGTACAATATGCAAACATTTGTTGTATGTTTATTAGTCACTGCCGGTAATGGAGTATTTTTAACATTTTTTTTTTCACTAAACTATTGTACAATCAGACATTAATTGTTCTTTTTTTTGGCCTTTTTTTTTCTTTATTGATTAAGATATTACATATGTGTTCTTGTTCCCCCATTACTCCCCACCTCCCATTCATGCTCCACCCACCTATTGCCTGTGTTCATAGATTAGGCTTCTATGCATGCATACAAGTCCTTTGGTTGATCTCTCCCCCTTACCCCTACTGTCTGACTCCAGCCTAATTTATAACGGATGCACAACGACCTTGAACAAAGCATAGAATTTAATGGTCTTTCCCACATGTCCATACCCAGACACCACGATCAGGATAATGAACAGTTCCCTTGCACCTGAAAGTTTTCTCACGCCCCTTACCTAGAGAATTTTTTCCAAATCTTTCCAGAGCCTCCCCCCCAGAACAGAGGAACTTGCTGGAGTGGTGGAAGTGTTCCGTATCGTGATCTAAGAGGTGGCCACCCAGGTGTTAATGCTCTTCAAGCTGTTTCCCTAAGATGCACTCACTTGACTGTATGGAAAACACCCCGTCCATCTTTGCTGCCTGGAATGTGGACCCAATGGCTGGAGCTTCGGCAGTCTTTGTGTGCCGTGAGGTGGCCTCAGACACGGAAGCCGTGCATGGTAGAACCATGAGATGGAAGAAGCTGGGTTGTCTAACTTTCACCTGCCTGCCTGTCACAGTACCCCTCTGTAGGAGAGAGTAATGAGTCTTTGCCTTAAGCCGCTATAGAAAATGCCTGACATTGTAGAATAGCTTATGGGATCCATATATAACGGCGAGTTGGCCTTTCCTGCTCTAGATCATGAATCCATCGCATCCCCAGTGCCCTGCACACAGTAAGCACTCAACCATGTGTGTGGGGGATGAAGGGCACTGACCCTTCTTTGTCTCAAATCGGAACTGTGACTCAGCCCCCGGGGCCACACAGAGGGATCTGTTGATCCCTGCCCACCTGGAAGATGATCCCCCAAGATCCAGCGGGGCCCAGGGCAGCTCCCACCTGGCCGGTGCCCCACACCCCAAACCCATGCCCTGAGTCAGGTTGCCAGATTTACCCCCAAAATGTACATGACACCAGTTAAATTTGAATTTCAGGTAAATAAGGAATTATTATTATTTTTTTTAGCATAACTATGCCCTTATGCAAAATTTGGGGCATACTTATACTAAAAAAAAAGTTTATTTATTGCTTATCTGGGATTCACATTAATAGGCATCCTATTATACATATCTGATCCTTCCTCTCCATCCCCAACCCTCTCCAGCCTCACTCACCCCTCAGGTGCTGCTGCTGCCGCTTGTCCAGGGGGCTTGAAGGCCGCCCGCCCATCCTGCCGCTCTGTCCCGGATCCCCTAGAGAGGGAAGCAGACACCCCTCTCCCCCGCCCGGCTCCCCAGGTTCCTCTGGGAGCAGGCAGCCTGTGAGGATCCTGGGTGCTATGGCGACCAGTGTCTGGGGTCAAAAGCCAGAGCTCGGCCCTCCCGTTGTGTGTGTTGGGGGTGAGGCTGCCTGCCCCCTGCCCCGCCCCATCCTGCACCTGCGTCCTCCCAACTCCCCTGGGGCCAGGGCCCCCGGACCTGCTGGTTTCTGTAGGGGCTGCCCCAGCAGCCCAAGAGTGGGCACAGGGGTGGGAGACAAAATTCTGCCGGCTTCGGGGGAGGGATGTAGGGCAGCTATGTGGCAGGATCAGGCAGCCAGCTGTTGGTGTGAGAGGGAAGGAAGGGAGGGTGAGCAGGGATGGGGTGTCTATCCCCATCTGATGCCCACCCTCTGGTCCTCACCCCTCCCTGTGCTTGCCCCATGCTGGGCAATGCTGAGAGGATTCAACCCTGGCCCAGGCCCTAGAATCCCGAGGCTGGGGAGAGAGCTGGCCCACACCCCCAGTCCCTGGAGTCAGTGAGGGAGCAAGCGGTGGGGTCCCAGGTGAGGGGGGATGGGAGGTGTGGAGACTTAAGGGGGTTACTGCTTACTTCCTGATCTCCGGCACGATCCCCAGCCCCACCAAGCAATCACCTCATCTCCATCTAATTCTTCTTTTTCTTTTTTTTTTTTTTTTAATATATTTTATTGATTTTTTACAGAGAGGAAGGGAGAGGGATAGAGAGCTAGAAACATCAATGAGAGAGAATCATCGATCAGCTGCCTCTTGCACACCCCCTACTGGGGATGTGCCCGCAACCAAGGTACATGCCCTTGACTGGAAAGGAACCTGGGAGGTCCTTTGAGTCCGCAGGCCGACTCTCTATCCACTGAGCCAAACCGGTTTAGGCTCCATTGAATTCTTTGACTATAAACGTACCCTCACCCTCAGGCCCTGGCCCCCATCTCAGCACACTCCAAATTCCATGCCCTCAGGTACCCCCCACCAGGCCTTGCAGAGCCCCAGTTTCCTCTCTCAGCGGCCCCCTCCAGCCCACGCAGTGCCCTGCAGCTGCCTCAGCTGTCCCCATGGACGTCACAGGCACGCTGACAACACGGCCAGAGAACGAATGGTGAGAGGAAGGAAGGAGCACGGGGCCGGGCCGCAGGGAGAGGACGCGCAGGGGCAGGGAGGAGAGGTCGCACCAGGCCCCGAAGGAAGAGTGAACGCTGGGGGACAGAATCGGCAGGGGCACGGCAGGGGCACAGCGCGGGCAAAGGGCCTGAGGTGGACAGGAAAGGGAGGGTGAGGGGCAGATGTTATCAGAGGAGGTTGGGGGTTGCAGGGACCACGCGGGGGCTTATGGGCCAATAGGGAGGGCTTCACTCCAGGTGGAAGGGAGCCACAGGCAGGCCGGGTGCAGGGGCAGCTGCTGTCATGGGGAGGGGCACAGGAGAGGTGCTATGCCTCAGGAAGGCCCCCCCACCGCCCGCAGTGGGGTCCCCATGTCTTTCTCAGCATTTCCCTCTGCTCTAGCGCCCCCTGCCCCGCCCTCTGCTCCAGGGCCCACGGCCACCTGAGCTTGCTCAGGCCCACAGCTGGGCAACCTTCCTTGCGGCTGCCTCCTCTGCTTTCTCAACCCGTTTCCTTCCGATCAGGCCCCGGCCCACTTCCTCACTCTCACATCTGAGAGACTGGCCCCCGGACGTTGAAGGAAACTTCTCTTTCTGTGGTTTCGGCTTGGAGGTTTCAATTCCCATGTCCCCTTCAGGTGCGTCTGCGGGACGCCCCCAGGCACCGTGCCTCCCGCTCTGCCGAAGTCCCAGGAGCCAGGGAAGCTGGCGGGCCGAGCAGAGGGAAACGCTGCGGTCCTGGCAGTGGAGATGAGACACTTGGACACATTCAGGCTCTGAGAGGCCTGCAGCGGGTCTGGGAGGAGGTTAAGGCCGGCCTGGCCCTGGCTGAAGTGGCTCAGTTGGCGGAGCGTTGTCCCATGCACCAAAAGGTCTTCGGTTAGGGCACGTGTGGGAAGCAGCCGATTGCTGTTCCTCTCGCATTGATGTTTCTCTCCCCTTTTCTCTCTCTCTCCCTCTTCCTCTCTCTAAAATCAATAAAATCATATAAATAAGTAAAAACACTTGCTGTGTGTGTGCAGTGGGCACTCTGCCAGAGTGTGTAGAGGGTTGAATTTTGTACTCCTGGACAGAAATACCCACAGGTCACTATAAAGAAAACAAAAAATAACCAATGGTGATGATGTGAAGAAACTGGAACCCTCGTGCACTGTTAGTGGGAATGCAAAATGCTGTGAAAATAGTATGGAGGCTTCTCCACAAATTAAAAACAGCCCCTAGCCAGTTTGGCCTACGGACGGAAGGGTCCCAGGTTTGATTCCTGGACAAAGACACATGCCCAGGTTGCAGGCTCAAACCCCAGTAGGGGGCATGCAGGAGGCAGCCAATCAATGATTCTCTCTCATCATTGATGTTTCTCTCTCTTTCTCTCCCTTCCTCTCTGGAATCACTGGAAAAAAATATTAAAAAAAAAAAAGAGAAACAGAATTACCATCTGACCTAGCATTTCTTTTTTTTTCTTTTTCTTTTTTTTAAATCAATCTTTATTGTTCATATTATTACAAAGGTTTCTCACCTCTTCCCCCCTCCACCAGGTTCCCACCCCACCCTCCGCCCCCTCCCCACTCCCCATTGTCCTCATCCATAGGTGCACAGTTTATGTTCAGTCTCTCCCTCCCTCCCTTTCCCCGAGAACACTGACCTAGCATTTCTACTTTTGGGTATATCCCCAAAAGAATTGAAAGTCGGGTCTCAGAAAGTTTTCATCAAGGTTTATAGCAATATTATTCACAAGAGCAAAACCAAGCATCTATAGAGATGGAGAAGCAAAATGTGGCCATCCACATAGTAGAATATTATTCAGCCATAAAAAGGAAGGAAATTGTAACACTTGTGACAACATAGCTTAATCTGAGGACATTATGTTGAGCAAAAGAAGCAGACATAAAGGACACTCTATGATCCCATTTACACTATTTACAATAGTCAAATTCAGAGACAGGAGTAGAGTGGTGGGCTAGTGGAGGGGAGAAGGAGTTACTGATTAATAGGGACAGAGCTTCAATTTGGGAAGATGGCAAGTTTTGGAGATAGGTGGTGGGGATGGTTGTACAACAGTGTGAACGTACCATTTCTGGATACCTAGAAATGGTTAAGATGGTGAACTTTACATTATGTGTATTTTAACACACACATACACATAGGCACACATTCATACACAGGCACACATATATACACACAGACACACACATACAGGCACATATACACACATATATTCACACAGACACACATATACACACAGGCACACATATACACACAGACACACATATACACACACAGGCACATATACACATATATATTCACACATATACACACAGGCACACATATGTATACACAGAGATATACACACATACACACGGGCACACATACATATACATGGCATGTCCATGTATAACCCCAGGAATCTCAGGATGTGACCTCATTTGGAATAGGGTCTTTGCAGATATAATTAGCTAAGGATCTTGAGAGGAGTTCATCTTGGATTTAGGGTTGTCCTATATCTCATGTCAGTGTCCCGAATAGGACACAGACACTCACATAAGCCACGTGAGGCCAGAGGCAGGCTGGAGTGACGCTGTCACAAGCCAAGGCTGCTGGCAGCCCCAGAAGCCAGAGGAAGAGCCTGGCAACTTTCCCTCAGAGCCTCCGGAAGGAACCACCCGTCACCCCGACTCCACACCACACGACTGAGAGTCAGTAACTTCTCTGGTGCTTTGCTCCGAGGCCCCCGGAAACCGAGCGAGGTTACCCATCCCTGCCCTCCACCTGCTGGGATCCGGGCTTCTCGTCAGCCTGGGAGCCCCTGTCCCACTGCCCACCAAGGACCACGAGACAGTGGAGACTCAGAGCAAATTCTCCTTTTATTATAATTTCTAAACGTTTTTATTGATTTCAGAGAGAAGAAGGGAGAGAGATAGAAACATCAATCCGAGAGAAACATCGATCAGCTGCCTCCTGCACACCCCCTACTGGGAATCAAGCCCGCAACCCAGGCATATGCCCCAACCAGGAATCGAACCGGCGACCTCCTGGTGCATATGGCGACGCTCAACGGGCTCAACCACTGAGCTACACCGGCTAAGCCAAAGCTCCTTGTAAGATCTGGGCAGAGCCAGTGGCCAGGCCCTGTCAGCACCATGTGGCTTTTCGAAGTGAAGCCTAGAACACCGCAGTGGAGGGGCCCAGCCCCAGGAAGATCCCGGCTCCCCCAAGCCGCAAGTGGTCCGGACGGCGGTGTCCCCGGGGACCAGCTACAACGTGGAATGCTTCTCGAAGGGCACGGTCAGGAGTCGGGCTGCGGCCTCGTCCAGGAACCAGCACAGCTTCCCGGTGTGGGGCTGCACGAGGGCGGCAGGGAGCGGGCTGTCCTCCTTGTCCTCCAAAATGCGCTGTGAAGAGGATATGCTTGTGAGGCCCGGCTATATGCCCCTCAGCGCTCTCAGGCCCCGCGGACTACCCTCTCCTGCTCTCAGGATGTGATGGCAGCCTCCCGGCTGTCCAGCTCCAACAGCCAGCAGGGACAGGCCTTCCCTTCCAGCGCCCGTGACTGTCTAGCATAGCGCTGGCACCTCTCCTGCAAAGACCGAGTCGCTATTCCGGCTCACGTTGACATAGGGGCATCTGTGTTCCCACAAACCGTTACTGGTGAACATGACACCTGAATTCTGTTGAATTTTCACATGTCTGGGAATATTCTTCTTTTGATCCACCCGCGACCCCTCCCCCCCCATCCGCCACCCCCCACCCCCAGCTCCCAACTTAAAAAGGTAAAAGGTAAAAACCCTTCATGGCTGGTGGGACCTGGCACATGGGCTGTAGTGTGTCAACCTGCTAATGGGACCGCATGGTGAACGGACATTATAAACACTGCTTTTTGCCAGCTGGGCCTGCCCTGAGAACTCCGTGCTTATAAATCACCGGCTTCTGACCACGACCCTGTGAAATCACCCCTGTTCCCCCCCATTTTACAGCCTGGGAGCTAAGGCTCCAGGAGGCCTCTCTCAGGGGTCCATGGGGAGGGGCCCCCTGTGCCCCACCTTACGGATGGGAAAGTTGAGGCTGTGGGGGAGGACCACCTGAAGCCACGGGGCACTGGCCGGGACATGGGTCTGCCGCACTCGTTAGAATCTGCACCCCAAACTGCAACATCAGCACCCCTGAGCCCAACGGCTTTGGGGAATTATTTTTTATTTATATTTCAGAATATTTCCAGTCTCTCCTACAGTTTTGGCATTCTTTTTTTCTTTTTTAAACAATTCTTGCCCTAGCTAGTTTGGCTTTGTGGATAGAGCGTCGGCCTGCAGAATGAAGGGTCCCAGGTTCAATTCCAGTCAAAGACACATGCCCAGGTTGCAGGCTGGATCCCCAGTAGGGGGTGTGCAGGGAGCAGCCGATCAATGATTCTCTCTCATCATTAATGTCTCTATTTCTCTTCCTCTCTCCCTTCCTCTCTGAAATCAATTAAAAATATATATATATATATATGTCTTTATTGTTGAAAGTATTACATATGTCACCTTCCCCCCACCCATAGTTGTTGGTTTTTTCAATGATGGCAGTTAAAATATTTTAAAATTTATTTTATTTTTTAAAATATATGTTTATTGATTTCAGAGAAGAAAGGAGGGGAAGAGAGAGAGAGAAATATCAATGATAAGAAAGAATCATTGATGAGCTGCCTTCTGCATGCCCCCCACTGGAATCAAGCAACCTGAACATGTGCTCTGACCAGAAATCAAACCGTGACCTCCTGATTCATAGGTCGACACTAACTGCTGAGCCACACCAAGCCAGCTTAGTTTATTTTAATATCTTAGTTTATATTTTCCTAACTATACCTTCTTTCTTATTCCTACTTTTTTTAAACTTATTCCTATATATGATTTTTTTTCCTTCTTGGTTAGCTTTGCCAGTGATTTGTCTCTCTTTTGGACCTTTATCATTAAATTTTAAAAAATAATGCCCTGCCAGTGTGGCTTAGTGGTTGAGCATCAACCTAAAATCAGGAAGTCACGGTTTGATTCCTGGTCAGGGCACATGCCCGGGTTTCGGGCTTGATCCCCATTGGGGAGCATTCAAGAGGTAGCTGATCAATGATTCTCTCTCATCATTGATTTTTCTATCTCTCTTTCTCCCTTCCTCTCTGAAATCAATAAAAATATATTTTTAAAAAATTAACCAATTCATTAGAGGCCATGCAGGAGGCAGCTCATGATTTTAATTTCATATATCCCTTCTGCTGACTTTAGATTTACATGTTTCTAATTCAAGAGTAAAGTGCTTGATTTGTTTATCCAATAGTTTTCTATTTAACGAGAGGCCCAATGCACAAAAATTCGAGCAACAGTAGGCCTTCCTTCCCCGGCTTCCCTCAGGCACCCGGGACCCAAGTTTCCTGCCTCTGGCTGCCTGCAGGCATGGGCACCTGGGCTGCTTCTCTTCTCCAGCCGCCCACAGGTAGCCTGGACCCGGGCTGGCTTCCCTCAGGCCCGGCTTCATCAGGAAGGACACCAGAATGACGTCCGGAATGACGTCTGGTCTAATTAGCATATTACCCTTTTTTTATTATTATAGATATTTTTTAAATGTATCTTAATATTATGAATTTACCTCTCTGTGTAGCTTTTGTCTCATCTCACCAATCTCGTTTTGTAATTACTCACTCCTAACTGGCCTGTAATGGCAGTTCCCGTCCCCCTTCACCCCAGGAAGGACTGAAGTCACTGGGATCTGGTGCTTCCAGCACAACAGCACCCGGGCTCTCTCCTGTCCCCAGCCTCACAGGCCATAGGCTTCCTGGGAACGGGCCCGGCTTTACCTTCAGAACAGCTGCCTTGCCTTCCCCAGTCGCCACAAAGATGACAGTTCGGGCTGCGTTCAGGACAGGAAGTGTGAGGGTCACACGCTGTGGAGGTGGCTTTGGGGAGTCACTGATGGGAGCCACAATCTTCTCCCGCTCCTGGGGTGGAGGGGTGTGTGTGGGGGGGCAGGTAGAGAAGAGAACAATGTCACTTCAGCTTCTCAAGCACTCACCCACATCAAGCACAATTCATCCACCACTCCACCCACCCTACCAATCCCGTGGTACTGGATGTAAGGCCCCATTATAAGATGGGTAAACCGAGGCTCAGGAGGATTAAGCCCAGTGGGCATGCCTATTGGCAGAAGCTGACTCAAACCCTGCTGTAGGCGACTCCTGGCCCCCTGTGGAAGCGCCAGACAGCAGAGGCCAGAGCTCAGGGGTGCGTGGGGCCTGTGTGGGTGCACTCACCTGCAGAAGGGGGTGGTCTGGGAAGAGCGAGCAGGTATGGCCATCGGGGCCCACCCCCAGGATCAGCAGGTCAAAAACTGGGATAGAGTCCCCTTGAAAGGCCTGGCCAGGGGAAGGAGACAGTCCACAGAGGTTGTGAGGAAAAGGGAAGAATACAGAGACAATGGTCAGAAAAAAATCACAGTGGTGCCTGGCCAGTGTGGCCCAGCAGCTGAGCATCAACCCAGGAACCAAGAGGTCGCTGGTTGGATTCCCAGTCAGAGCACAGGCCCGGGATGCAGGCTCCACCCTCAGGAGAGGCCGAGCAGAAGGCAGCTCATCAACGATGTTCCTCTCTTATCAATATTTCTATCTCCCTCTCCCTCTCCCTTCCTCTCTCTCTAAAAATCAATAAACCATATTTAGAAATTTTTTTTATAAGAATCACAAGTAGCTTAATATAGGAGTGATGTTCAGCCTCACCTGCATAAAAGGGACTCTCATCTATGAGGTTCAACATACACCTGCCCAACTGGCTAAGAAGCTGGGACACAACCACAGGCTGGCTACTAGGTGTCAGAGGTGAGGGCACCCCTGGGGACTTCAAGGCAGGGACGTGCCCTATGACAGAGGGAATTCTCAAAGGGTCTCCCAGCGCAGGGCTGACGGGCCAGGGGAGTTTCTGCCAATGACAATCAGAGTGCTGCCTGCTGCCCTGGGGTTGCCATGGAGTGGACCAGGTCGCCCTGTGGCCACTGGGAGGGCTCACCTGTCTCAGCTTCCTGGCGTAGTCTTCTGCAGCGTCCTCCACAGGAAGCTGGGGGTTAATGGTGATCACCTGGCTATCGGGAATGGGCAACTTGGAGAGCAGGTGGGTCTGTGACATATGGAGGGACAGTGTCACCAACAGTAATGAATGGCTCTCAGCATCATGGGTTTGCATTGTGCCCACATGGGTCACCGGGCCTGTGTCAGTCAGGATCCTAGTGGGTCCCAGCGTCAATGCACCAGGGGTCTTTCAAGACTGGGGGTTGGCACTAGCCGGTTTGGCTCAGTGGATAGAGGGACGACCTGTGGACTGAAGGGTCCCAGGTTTGATTCTGGTCAAGGAAACATGCATAGGTTTCCGGCTCCATCCCCTGTAGAGGGAGTACAGGAAGCAGCCGATCAATGATTCTCTCTCAACACTGATGTTTCCCTCTCTCTCTCTCCTTCTCCCTTCCTCTCTGAAATCAAAATAATAATAATAATAATAATAATAATAATAATAATGGACTGGGGGTTGCCTTAGCCGGTTTGGCTCAGTGGATAGAGTGATGGCCTGTGGACTGAAGGGTCCAAGTTTCGATTCTGGTCAAGGACACATGCTCGGGTTGTGCGCTTGATCCCCAGTGGGGGACATGCAGGAGACAGCCAATCAATGATTCTCCATCATCATTGATGTTTCTCTCTCTTTCCTTCTCCCTTCCTCTCTGAAATCAATAAAATATTTTTTAATGACAAAACAACAGGGTCTCACCCTGGCCAGTGCTCCCAGTGGTTAGAGCACCGACCTGTGCACCTAAGGGTTGCAGTTTTGATTCCCTGTCAAGGGCACTGCTTGGGTTTCAGATCACAGGTTTGGTCACCAGTTAGGGCACATGCAGGAGGCAACCAATTAGTGTCTCTCTCTCTCATCAATGTTTCTCTCTCTCCTCACCCCCTCCCTCCCTTCCACTCTCTTAGAAATCAATGGGAAAAAATATCCTCGGATGAGGATTCACTAAAAACACAAAAAATCATCAGCTCAAGCTTCTATACAGAAAGAATACAACACCCAGGGCCTCAGTGACCCGAGGCTACTCTTCTGGTCACGCCCACCGGCCACGCCTCCCTGGAGAGTTTCCTCCTTGAGCAGGAGTGGACAAGACCAGCGGAGGAACGCAGGCAACCAGGGCTCCTCCCAGCCTTAGTCTCCCTGCTTGTAAAACACCGTCTCCCTCCCCCCACACCCCCCACCCCGGGGCTCAAAGACAACGGCCTCGGAGGTCACTAACGCAACATGGAGACCTCGTCCAGGTTGTAGGTAATGAAACTGGTGCCCAGGCTCCACGCCAGGACGCCCTGCCTGGCTCCTCCCGTCACTCTGCACCTGAACTTCCCTAGGTCCCTGCAGGGGCCACCGTGCGTCCCTGCGGGCTTTGCCCAGGCCGCGCCCCGCCCGGCTGCCTGTGAGCACGCGGAGGGGCCTCGGAGCCCCACCGGCCCTGGGGTGGCGGCGCGGCGCAGCCTCGGGGTGACCGCGGGGCACCGGGCCCGCCGCTCCCAGCGCCCACCCGGAGGGGCAGCCTGGGCGCGGCTGGCCCTCGGCGGCCCCCGTAGCCTCACCCGGTAAAGGCCGTACGTGCTCTCGGCGTGCTCGAAGGGCACCAGGCGCTCGTCGCAGAAGCCCAGCGTCCAGTGCGCGAGGCCGGCGGGCCCCGCGGGGGCGATGGCGGCGGGCAGCTCGCGGGCCAGCATGGAGACGAGGCTGCCGCCGGACAGGCCGAGCGCGAAGCGGGCCCGGGCGCCCGCCACGCAGCTCGCGGCCCGCTGGGCCACCAACTGCGCCAGCGACGCGCCGAGCTCCTGCGCGCTCGAGAAGACCGAGATGGAGCCGGGGGCCGGCGCGGCCATCGCGGCGGCGGGAGGCGGAAGCGCTCCGGGCGGCGGCCAGTGCGCCTGCGCGCCGGGCGGCCGGACGCCCCGGGATTAGAACCTCGGGCGGCGGGCTGCCTCTGGCACATGCGCAGCCCCGCAAGTGAAGCCCTGGCGGGGCAGGGCGGTTGGATGCTCCTTTATTTTTTGCAAGTTGGCGTGGACTCAAGTTCTGTCCTGGGTTGGGGCTGGCAGAACCGGCTCCAACCTCATAGTGTCAGGCAGGGCGAGGCCAGAAAGGGGAGCACAGAGCTGGTGAACGCCAACAGGAGGACGTGGGGTGGGCTGGAGGAAGGGATATGAGATTTCCTGGAGGACGCATTTTGGTGGACTTTGGAACCTTCTTTTTTCTTGTTGCTAGTATTGTTTATAATAAAAGCGTAACGCTAATTGGAGAAGCTGGTGCCGGAAAGCCTACTCTTGCACGAATTTCGTGCATCGGGTCTCTAAAATATAAGCTCTATGTATGCCTAGCACAAAGTGGGAACTGAAAACCTGTATGTTCACTTCCTTCTGCACGTTCTCTCGGGGAACCTCTGTCTTTCGGAGAACTCAGACGCCTCCATCCTGTTCTTCCCCGGAGGAGCCCCCAGACCAGCTCAAATAGGATACAGCTTCTCATTTGGCACAACATACAGAGCTGCCAAGCCTCGGAGGAATCTTAAATGCATCTTGCCAAGTGAAAAAAGCCAGTCTGAAAAGGCAAAACTATGGAGACAGAAAAAAAAATAAAAAATCAGTGGTTGGTTGGAGTGGGTGGAAGGAATGAAGAAATGGAGCACAGAATGTTTAGAGGGAAGAAACTCTTTATGATGCTGTAATTGTGGGTGCATGTCATTATGTGCTAGTTGAAATAGAACTTACAACAGTGAACCCTAAACTGCAGGCTTGAGTAAGTGATGAATCAATATGGGCTCATCAATGTAACAAATGTAGCACTAATGCAAAATGTTAACAGTGAGAGGATAGGTAGGAATTTTGTGCTTTCCGCTCATTTTTCTGTAAACTGAGAACTGCTCTCATGAAGTCTCTGACTTAAACACACACAACATAGAGCCTGATCCTGTCATCAGGATTTTTTTTTTTTTTTTTTTTTTTTTTTTATCATCACCTGGGAAGGAATGTTTTTGCAGCTGGACTCACAGGCTTTGGGAACTCTCCAAGGTCCCCGCAGGACCACTTTCCCGAAGGAGACGGTGGCAATGACCTCATTCCCCTCTCCATGCTCGTTTCCTTCTCTGTACAGGGGGACCAGGATGACACATGGAGTGGGGTGGCCATGACCTCCAGAGGGATGTTATCCAGAATACCCTTGCATATAAGTATGCCAAGAGGGCTCCATGCTCACTGGCAGCAGACCCTTCTCCTACCCTTACTGGCATCTCAGCTTTATCTTGCCTCCCTCTCCCTGCAGACTGGGCATCCGAAGACCCACCCCGCACATGGATGGTTCATCTAGCCTTGACCCAGCCAAGGCCCTCTCCATCCCCCGATACACCCCGGGTTCTCCACTCAGTACCCGCTCCCAGCCAATGTTCTATTGTCATAAACATTTCGTCCTCTGTCCTCTGAAGTGGAGACAAGGTGAGACAGACGCCAATACTGGAGGGGGAAACAGCAGAAGGTAGAAGTTGAGACTCTGGAGCTCAGTGTCCTGGGTTAATATTCCAGCTCAGTCACCCAAAGCTACAAGCTGAGCAGTTCTCACTCAGAGCTACAGCCACACCTGCTGGCCCCACACACAGGGGAGCACCCCCAAGCCGTGCCAAGACACACACTCTGGGCCATTTTGTGCAGCTGCTGAAACCAACTGGCAGGTTGGCCGACTCTCCCCTAGGACCACTGAGTTCAGAGCAGGGTTTTGAGAGGCTCAGAGGTTAAGGGAAGCGGTGAGAATGCTAACCTGAGTCTCCCTCTTCCCAGAGGCCGTGCTGGTGTAACAACAGGCAACAGAGGGCAACAAGCAAAGGCCCCATTTGCCTGGCTTGTCTCTGGTGGAGCATGTTCCCCAGGGAGGACCTGTCTTCTGAGACTCAGAAAGGGTTCTGTGCCACATGAGACAGTGAACAACTGGGCTCACATCGGGCGTCGGATATTCCACAGCTTTATTTCTTAAACTCAACTCTAAAACAAAACCTTGGTGCTTGGAAAGGCCCATGAAAAACAATGCGGGTCACTCGCTACTGGCCCTACTGCTTTGTTCTAGGTGCTGGCCGGTGCTGTTGGAGGGACTGACAGACAGACAGTCAGAATGGCCAGCCCCAACAGGAGTACGGGATGAGATGAGCCACCAAGGCAGGCTGATTATCTAGAATGCCACCACCAGGGTCCAGGCGGTCATTAGCAAGGCTAGGAGGGACATTCAGTCACTGGAACCTGAGGCCATTTCGGATGCCACCAATGGCAGACCTCCCCCATCCCATAGCTGCCACTCCCATGGGCCCCTCAGCAGCTACACTGGATGGGGACACCCAAGAAGCCTCTTCCAGGGTGAGCACCTGAGTGGTGGGCCAAGCAGCCACCCAGCACAGTCTTCAGGGTCCCTCCAGCAGGCGCTCTGTGCAGATGCCTGAACAGGGACATCCAGGTAGAGGCACCATCCAAATGGTCACAGTCAATTCTGGCAGCGTCCAGGGCATCAGGAGAGGCAGGGGAGACCCACCAGGGACGGGAAGTGCAAAAGGCAACTGGTGTGGCCTCGGAGTGATTTCCAGCTGAGCCGGAGGTCCCTGCTGATGGCCCTGCACGGGGTGGGGAAAGCAGGCCAGTGCGGCTCCTCCACTGGGCAGGGCGGGCAGAGGGCCTGCCAGGATTTCACACGGGGCTGCACATCCTGGAACCGAGCAGCTGCAGGAAGACTGGCCTGGGTGGGGCTCCTTAAGGCACAGCTGAGGGGAAGTGGGAAGGCCCACTCTGGGTCTAAGGCTCAGCAGGGATGACAGATGGAGGCCCCGAGCAAGCGCCGGGTCCTAGGAAATGCTGCTCTGCTCTTCACAGGAGAACAGAGGGGAGAGGGGAGATGGAGGAAAAGAGGGGAAAGGTGAGGACGGATGGGGACAGCAGGGAGGTCATGGCCAGGAAGCAGAGAGGAGAAAGAGACGCACGGACACAGCAGAAGACAGGCAGAGAGGGGCAAGGAGACAGCTCAGAGGACCAGGCAGGGGAGAATGAGGCCAGGGGAGACTCGGGCTCCTCCTGGGGTCCAGTTTCTCCGCCCCAGGACAGGGCAGGCTGTCGGGTTCCAGCCCGCCTGGCTTGAGGGGGCCGACCGGGAGTCTGGCCAGCAAAGGAGGAGCTTCAAAGGGAGAAGGAACCCGAGCAGATTTGGGTGTAGACAGCCTGGTCCAGGGGCAGGTAGTGTCCCTGCTTCAGGTCCAGGAAGAAGAGCGGGTCTGAGGTCTGGGATGGGTCAAAGCTCTCGTGCTGCAGCCGTGTCTTCTGGATCTTGAAGGTGCCTGTGGGGGGCGGGTGGAGATGGGGGCGAGGCAGGTGGCTCTCAGGAGCCCCCCACTCACCATCCCATCCCATGACTCCAGGCTTTTGCGTATGCCCTCCCCTCGGCCAGGAACATTCTTCCCCATTTTGCCTGCCCAATTTCTCCTTGTCCTTCTGACCCGAGCTTCATGTTCCCTCCTGCAAAGGGAGGCCTCTCTGACTGACCTCATCACAGCCTGAGACTGTATGCTCCCTGCTGGTTACCTGTCCCTTCCCCCCTTTCCCATCATGAGACCCAGGGAGACAGGGGTCTGTCACACAATAGGTCAGGGGTCAGCAACTTAAAGCCCAAGGACCAAATTCAATTACACACTGTCTAGGCTGCTTTTGTCCTACAAGGCAGACCAGAGTTGTTGGGGCAGAGAGTGTGTGGCCCAAAAGACTGAAAATATTTACTATCCAGGGTCTAAGAAAAAGTTTGCACTCCTGCAGTGGATGATTAAAGAAGGTTTTGTAAAAGATAAGGATTGGGGTTAGTATTAAAAGCAAGGGAGAATACCTACGTGCTCTAGAGTTGGGAAGGTATGTCTGTTGTCTTTTAAATATATATATATTTTTTATTTCAGAGAGGAAGGGAGAGGGAGAAAAAGACAGAAACATCAGTGATAAGAGAGAATCATCAATCAGCTGTCCCCTGCACGCTCCACACTGAGGATCAAGCCAGTAACCAGGGCCTGTGCCCTGACCGGGAATTGAACCATGACCTCCTGGTTCATAGGCCAAAGCTCAACCACCAACCTGCACAGGCCAGGCAAGTCTGTGTGTGTTTTTAAAAAACAAATATTCAAAATCACAAACCATAAGTTTTTTAAAGGGTTAAGTATGGCCCCAGCTCAGAGGTGAGCGCGTCGGCCTGTGCACTGAAGGGTTGTGGATTTGATTCCCGGTCAAGGGCACACGTACCTGGGTTACAAGTTCAATCCCAGGCCCCAGTCAGGGCCTGTGCAGGAGACAACCCATCAATGTGTCTCTCTCACATTGATGTTTCTCTCCCCCTCCCTCCCTCCATTCCTCTCTCTCTAAAAAATCAATGGAAAAAAATATCCCGGGTGAGGAGTAACAAAATAAAACAAAACCAGCCCTAACCGGTTTGGCTCAGTGGGTAGAGCGTCGGCCTGCGGACTGAAGGGTCCCAGGTTCGATTCCGGTCAAGGGCATGTACCTTGGTTGCGGGCACATCCCCAGTAGGGGGTGTGCAAGAGGCAGCTGATCGATGACTCTCTCATCGATGTTTCTAACTTGCTATCTCTCTCCCTTCCTCTCTGTACAAAATCAATAAAATATATATTTTTAAAAAGAAAATAAAACAAAACAAAAAAGTTGTAAGTACATGAAAAACTAAGTTTCTTTTCAACAAAGGCTATAGTGGACTAAGTTCACAGACTCCCAAATAGAAGAGGCTTACAATGTCTGAAATTGTTAAGGAGTTAATATCCAGACCATTTTGAAGAATTCCCACAAATCAAAAAGAAAGAGAGTGAGGCAATACAAAGACGGTGAAATATCCTAGAAAGATCAGAGGCTTTGATCTGCTCAAACTTCCATAGAAAATTGCAGAAAATGAAGAGATGCTGAAAATGGAAGGATGTCTAGTGGGTTGGGAAAGAGGAATGGGAGCAAATATGTGAGTAAAACAGAGAAGGGTCCTGCACACGCCCATAGTGCCAGGAGGCTGAGAACCATTACGGCAGACTCCTGCCTGAACCAGGACCGATACGGGGTGGGGGAGGGGTGCGGCGAACCTGTGGTGTCCATCTGAGGCAGGAGGCGCAGGAAGATGGGCCGGGCATAGGGTGCCAGCACCTTCTGCAGCTCCTGGTACAGTTCGTTGGGGCTCAGCTGGCCGTGGGGGTCTGCAATGGCCGCCATGCCTGCTTTGCCTTCTACTCCTAAAACAGAGGCTCAGTTGAGCACCATCCCCCGCCCACCATGGGTCCAGACACTGTCCCATAGCAGCCCCTGGCCTCTGATCTCCGGTCCCTTCCACCTGGGCAAACACTGGCCAAAGCAGGACATTTTATTGAGCTCCTGCTACCTTCCTGCAACCCTGAGCCAGAGTCGCTTTCATGATCCCATTTTCTGGTTGAGGAAACTGAGGCTCAAATCACATAAGAAGGGTGACTCCCGTTCCAATGGCACCCGCCCAGGCTGCTGCGTGCAGCTGTCCAGGAGGTGTACTGCCCAAGGGCACATGTACCTTCAGGCTCCTCCTGGCTGGGCTCCCATGGACCACCCCCACAGCCCCGGCTTGCCTGGCACGGCCACCCCATACACGGCCACATCCGTCTGGCCCAGCAGGCGGCTCAGCACGCCCTCCACCTCGGTGGTGGAGACGTTCTCCCCGCGCCAGCGGAAGGTGTCCCCGCTTCGGTCCCGGAAGTACATGTAGCCCAGCTCATCCATCACCAGCACGTCGCCTGGCGGAGGGGAGGGGAAGGTGAGATGGCAGCCGCCGCCCCGCCCCGCAGCCAGCCCCGGGGGTGCACACCTGAGAGGTAGGCGCTGTCGCCCTTGCGGAAGACGCTGTGGGCGATCTTCTTGCTGGTGGCGCTCTCGCTGATGTAGCCGTCGAAGCGACGCAGTGGGTCCCGCTGGTTGATCTGGCCCACGAGGAGCCCGGGTTCCCCTGGGGAGGAGGCCACGCTCAGATGGCACCAGGGGGGCGGAGGGCGGAGGGCGGAGGGCGGAGGGCGGGGGCCCAGCTCCGGGAGGACTGCGGGTGGGCCGCGCACCTGTCCGGCAGGGGATGCAGAGGCCCTGGGCGTCCCGCAGGAGTTCCATGGTGTCCTCGTTGACCTTCACCAGCCGGATGGGGTACACGTAGGGCAGGATGCGGCTGTTGAAGCCACAGGAGCCCACCTGGAATGGGGAGAATGGAGTCGGAAGGAGCCCCAGGGTGGCAGTGTCCTCCCCATAACACGTTCCCTTTCCTGCCCCAGGGCCTGGAGTAGCACCCTGTCACCCAGCTCTGTGACCCCGGGTGACCTGAAAAAGAGGAGATTAAATAGAGATTACCCTGGGACTCCTCCTCCCACCTTCTCCGTCTCCCTTACGGTTGCAGACCTGCTGGCTTGCTGCCACTTCCTGGTTCACAAAACCCTCTACATGGCTGGCGTGACCCTGGAGCCATGGGTGTGTGTGTGGGAAGGGGAGGGCTGGCAGAGCTGCTGCTCGCTGCCCACAGCACACCAGCCGCCCGGCTCAGTCTGTGAGGTGGAAACGGAGGCGCCTGCCTGGCGCACACAGCCACTCTGTGGACTTGGAACTCAGGAGTGACAGTTACGGCCCCATGTTGGGGGGCAGCCCAGAAGCCCCCTTAACCCGCCATCGTGCTCCGGGCCAGTGACCCCCAAACCGGGACTGGTGCCGGGCACCGCCCGCGCACCTTCCCGTCCATGTTGGCGATGCTGCAGTTGCACTCGGTGGCCCCGTAGAACTCGCCGATCTGGCGCACCCCGAACCGTTCGGTGAACTCCTCCCAGATGGCGGGCCGCAGCCCGTTGCCCACGGCCAGGCGCACCCGGTGTTGCCGCTCCGCCTCCCGCACTGGCTGCTTCAGCAGGTACCGGCAGATCTCCCCGATGTACTGGACCACCTGGCAGAGAGGAGCACGCGTGGAGCCTGACACCCAGGACAAGGCCCCCTTCCTGGGCGAGGACAAAACGGCCCTAAGGTTAGTGACTGGGAAACAGCCCCGCCCTCCACAGGGGTCACCACCGGCCTTCTGCGTAAAGGGTGCATTTGGTTCCCCCGCCCTCCGCCGTCTCTACCCCTAAGCTGCTTCCTGGGGCACCTTACGTGCTGCACGCAGGCCACGAAGGTGAGCCTCAGCATCAACACCCCACAACCCAACTCAGTCCAGAGCCCATGTGCTCTACTCTGTCCCCCAGACCCTGGCCAGCCGGACCCAGGCTGCCCACAGCACCGCCCCTGGGGCGGCACCATTGTCAGGCATGTACTCTGTGCTGCCTCTGAATCACAGCAGCCCGGCCCCACCCAGCTGCCCTCCAAGTCACCTGCTCCCCACCGCCCTCTGCAGGGAGCACCCGGACAGGAGCTGGGAGCTGATCATCAACCTGGGACCCCCAGCTGGGACACCGCTGCATCAAGATAATTTCGTACAACCAACTAAGCTACACCTGCTTAACCACTTCATTTATTTACTTTTTTGTTAATTCTCACCCGAGGATATTTTTTCCATTGAGGAAGGGAGGGAGGGAGGGAGGAAGAAAGGAAAGGAAAGGAAACAGGGAAGGAGGGAAGCAGCATTATGAAAGAGACACATCAACTGGTTGTCTTCCCCATGGTCTCTGACCGGGTCCAGGGATGAAACCTGCAACCCAGGTATATGCCCTTGACCGGGAATCAAACCCGGTTGTTCTATAATAACCACTGCAAGAACACCGGCCAGGGCAGGGCCTAACCATTTTTTTAAAAATATATTTTATTGATTTTGTACAGAGAGGAAGGGAGAGAGATAGAGAGTTAAAAACATCGATGAGTCATCGATCAGTTGCCTCTTGCACACCCCTTACTGGGATATGCCCGCAACCAAGGTATATGCCCTTGACCGGAATCGAACCCGGGTCCCTTCAGTCCCCAAGCCGACGCTCTATCCATTGAACTAAACCGGTTTTGGCACCATTTTTAAATATATATATTTTTATTGATTTCAGAGAGGAAGGGAGAGGGAGAGAGAGATAGAAACATCAATGATGAGAATCATTGATTGGCTGCCTTCTGCTTGCCCCATATTGGCAAATCAAGCCCACAACCAGAGCATGTGCCCTTGACCAGAATCAAACCTGGGACCACAGGCCCACATCTATGCACTTACGTTATAGCCAAACCGGTTAGGACAGTGGTGGGCAAACTCATAGTCACCAGAGCCAAATATCAACAGGACAACGATTGAAACTTCTTTTGAGAGCCACATTTTTTAAACTTAAACTTTTTCTAACACCACTTCTTCAAAATAGACTCGCTCAGGCTGTGGGTATTTTGTGGAAGAGCCACACTCAAGGGGCCAAACAGCCACATGTGGCTCGGGAGCCGCAGTTTGCTGACCATGGGGTTAGGGCATGGGCTTAACCATTTTCAAGTGAACAGTTCAGTGGCACAAAGCACATTCACACTGTTCAACAACCATCTCACCATCCATCTCCAGAACTTTCTCATCTTCCCAAACTGAAAAACCCATCTCCATTAAACATTAACTCCTCACCCCCATCCCCCACCGCTGGCACCCACTATCGTAACTGTATCTGTGAATCTGACTATTCTTCAGACTTCATCAAGTGGAATCACACGGTATTTGCCCCTCTGTGCCTGGCTTAGTCACTTAGCACAATCTGTACCCATGAGCATCAACGCCCCCCCAAGGTTCACGCACGCTGTAGCTCGTGTCAGAATTCCCGCCCCTTTATGGCTGAATAATATTCTACTGTGTGGGTGGACCACAGCTGCTTCTCCATTCATCTGTCCACGAACACTTGGGTTGCTTCCATGTTTCAGCTCTTGTGAATAATGCTGCTATGAACATGAGTACACAGGCATCTCTTTGACACTCTGCTTTTAAATCCTTTGTTTTAACATCAGTTTTTCGGACACCATCAGCCACACAGTGTATCATTCCATTTACAGGGAATTTCCAGAACAGGCAAATCCACAGAAACAGAAAGCAGATTAGTGGTTGCCAGGGCTGGGGGGGGGGGGGGGGGGGAGGTGATGCTCATGGGTACAGATTTTCCTTTCGGGGTGATGAAAATGTTCTGGAATGAGAGAGCGGTGATGGTTGCACAACACTGTGAAGGAACTAGACAATGAATTGTTCACTTTAAAGGCTAGTTTTATGTTATGTGAATTTCATCTCTCAGAGGTTTTACTGAAACATCTATGCAGAAAGCATGCTGCTGTCGGGCGGCTTCACATGCTGCAGGAGGGACTAGGGACTCGGGTCTGGGGTCTGGAGTCTGGGGCCTGGGGATGGGGTCTGGGGACTAGGGATGGGGTCTGGGGTCTGGGGACTAGGGATGGGGTCTGGGGTCTGGGGTCTGGGGACTAGGGATGGGGTCTGGGATCTGGGGATGGGGTCTGGGGACTGGGGATGGGGTCTGGGGTCTGGGGATGGGGTCTGGGGTCTGGGGACTGGGGATGGGGTCTGGGGTCTGGGGATGGGGTCTGGGGTCTGGGGTCTGGGGATGGGGTCTGGGGTCTGGGGACTGGGAATGGGGTCTGGGGTCTGGGGTCTGGGTGGGGAGGAGGAGGCAGTGACAGGTGCTCAGGAATCCCTCTACTTTCCTGTCCACATGTATATGCATCTGCAACTCTCAGTAAGTAAGGTTCAGATCCAGACTGTCTGTATTTCCAGATTCAGATGAGCAATGTCCCCCAAGACCTTAGCCCAAGCAGAGACGAGTACAGGCATTGTCCCTGCAGGAGCCCCTGCCCAGCTCTGTGCAGGGAGAGCGGCTGAACTCGCCGGGCCCTCCTGTCCACTGTGGGAGAGCACCTGCCAACTCGCCAGCCCCGTTCTCTCCCCGCTCCCCCTCCCTCTTCTGGGAGGAAGGGGTTAGCATCTGTATTTCCACCCCATCACTCCCGTGTGAGACCCCTCCTGGAGAGCGCGGGAGGGAGGGATGTGTCTTAGCCGCCTGCTGTCAGGAACAGAAAATGCCCTCCATGTCTGCCTCACGCGCACCCCACCTGGAAGTCCCAACGCCTGTGGCCTTAAATATTCAGTAGCCCAGGGTGGAGACTGAGCCCGCTGGCCTCATTTCCACTCAGCCGCCTGCAGGGAAGACCGGAGGGCTGAGGGCCCAGGGCACAGGGAAGAAGGGCCTCAGGGAGTTCACACAACTTGGGCCCGATTGCAGTTACACTGCCTTAGTTTCCCCGTATGCAGTCCTCATATGCAAAGTCCTCATATGTCTCTGCCCACTCCCCACGTGGGCAAAGGGTTAGCCCTGGCCTCCCTCTGCCCCACCAGGAGCCCGGGCGGGGGGGGGGGGGGGGGGGGGGGGCGCGGTGTCATGACGGAGGACCAGGGAGGGGCGGGCTGACCGTGCAGTTGTGCTTGACGCAGTCGTCCCAGAAGCGGCTGGCGGAGAACTTCTTGCGGAGGACGACCGTCATCCCGTAGATGAGACACTGGCCCACGCCCATGATGTTCCCTGCAGAGGGCAAGCTTGGTGAGGGGTCCCCAGCCCCCGCCCTGCCCCCACCAGCACCCCCATGTACCTGCGGAGTGATACAGGGGCAGGCAGTCGTAGAGCACGTCGGAGGGGCCCATGCTGTAGGCGTGGTGGCCAAAGGCGGCGATGCGGTAGTACCTGTGAGGCGGGGGGCAGGGCTGGGACCTACGTCCTCCAGGCCTGGGAGTGAGGGTGCTGGGAACCGCGGACACAGCGGCACGCCGGGCTGAGCCAGCCCAGTCCCCAGGCTTGCAGGCTGGCGGAGGCACAGGCAGCGGACAGACAGCTGTCCGTGGCGCTGTGTGCCCTGAAGGACGTAGGGGCTGAGGGACAGAGGGGCTGACGGTGGTACAGCCAGGGAGGGTGGGGAAGTGGCACATTAGCTAAGGCCTGGCGAGGAGCTGAGGGGGCGAGCGGGGAGGGGCAAGCAGGCAGCGGGCTTAGCACCTGTAAGGCCCGGAGCCCAGAGGACCTGGCCGGACTGAGGAAATGTGAGTGGCTGAGAAGACATTGAGCGAGGGAAGGAAAGCATCAGAGAGGCGGCAGGCCCCCACAACATGAGTGGGGTTTTATTCTGAATCCACGGCAGGTACAGGCGGCCTGGCACAGGGGAGGTCTGAGTTAAGACTTTAGGCCTTCCTGCGGCCACCGAGGGGAGCAGAACCATCGGGGGCAGGAGCGGGGCAGAGGATGCTAACCAGGGGCTGGGGCAGGTCCGGGCAGAGTGGGGGTGCGTGGAGGACGTGGACAGACTGAGGGGCGGGCCCGCTGACGGGCTGGATGTGGGGAAGAGGTGGAGCAGCTGGGAGCTCTGAGCACAGGAACAGGCAGTGGGTTTTGTGCGGCTGGGGAATCGGGCTGCAGAGACGACCTGGCGTCACCCTTCGACGGGCGCCCCGGGCCCCTCACCTGCTGTGCACGACGATGGCGGCCTTGGGTAGCCCCGTGGTCCCCGACGTGTAGATGTAGAAGAGTCGATCTGCGGGAGGTGAGGGTGTTGGCGACCAGGTGCCGGGAAGGTGGGGTGAGGACAGAGTGGGCACTGGTGGGAAGAGGGGCCCCACCTGGGACTCACCATCCATGCCCTTCCCGGGGGACTGTGCCAGGGGGGCCGTGGATGCCTCCTTCAGCAGCGGGTCCAGCAGCTGGGTGTCCGGCCAGCTGCCCTCAGGGCCCAAGTCTCCGGAGCAGAACTTGAGCAGACTCTTCCCCAGCTGCCCGCTTACCTCAGCCACCTCTGCAGCCCAACACAGACGTGTCACGGTCAAGGGCGGGCAGGCCCCTCCCCAGGGCCGGGGTGCACCGTCTCCTGGCCCCGAGCCCAGCCTCACCTGCAGCCAGCTCCCCTCCGAAGATGAGGGCCTTGGCGCCCGAGGTGCCCAGGCAGAAGGCCAGGGGCTCGCGCCGCAGGTTGACATTGAGCAGTGCGGCCTCCACCCCAGCCTTGGCCAGGCCCAGCCACAGGCCCACAAACTCCGGCCGGCCCTCCAGGAAGATGGCCACCACGTCCCCCGGCCCGAGGCCCCGCTGCTGGAAGACGTTGGCCACGGCATTGGAGTAGGCGTCCAGCTGCGCGAAGGTCCAGCTCGCGCCGCTGCCCGCGTCCACCAGGGCCAGCCGGTCGGGCTGCTGCCGCGCCACCGCCTCGAAGATGCCCGGGATGGTGTGGTGGGCCCGCTGGTGCCGCCGCAGCTCCAGGCGCACCCTGATCAGCACGGAGAGGCCGCTGGGGGGGGGGGGGGACGGAGGGAACCGTTACTGGTACCTGCCAGGCCCCCGGGAGAGCCCCCAAGCCCTCGTGCCACATCTGAGAGAGTGGAAGGAAAGGTCCCTGTACCCCCGAGATCAGGGGGGTTCAAGGAGGACCCTTTGGTTGGTGGGCTTTTCAGAGCTAAGATCCACCTGCCGACCAGCCCAGAAAGCAGCGGGTTCCCATGGGTGGCAGGCCCAGCAGTGCAGATCAATCTTCCTCCACCCGGCTCTCTGTGACCTGAGGGAGCCGAGGGCTCGTCCCGCCTTTGTTTCTCTCCTTTGGGACATCCCAAGCACACCTCGCTGGATTCCTCGGGCTCCATCTGCCCCATCCAGACCCTGGGGCCCAGCCATGCGCTGGACAGCTACTCCACCCCCACGTCACTCAGTGTCAACAGGCCGGGGAGGGTGGCTTCTCCCAGGCGGGCCTGTTGTCAAGGGGGGGGGGTACAACTCAATGAGCACTTGGAGCAGGTTCGTCTCACTAAGCATCCTTGCCACCTCCCCCAGGAAGCCTTCTGGGGGTCAACCCTTGCACTGTGCCTGCTGCTCCCCATCACAACATACAGTCCACAAACGGGGCCAAACGTGGTCAGATTCACATAAGAGGGGAGAGTCATTCTGGGCAAAGAAGGGAAAATGCAGACAGTGGGGCAGGCTGCTGCCACTTGAGGTAGTAGGCTTAGTCTTTCACCCCAAAGCTTGTATGAATTAAATAAAAGTAAAAATCACAAATGAAAGTAGAAAGGTGAGAGAGCACCAGGTGAGGAGAAGGATGGAGAATTTGCGCATCTGTGGGCATGAAGAACAGACGAGGTCGGCACAGACTCCCAGAACCATATCTTGGGAAAGAGATATTGAGGAGGGAACTGCAGGGCTGGGGCAGCAGAGAGGGCAACTTTCACTGCACACCCCTCTAGAACATTCATGTGTTGTGTATTAACTATTATCAAAAACAAGAATGCAAAACATTAAAAGTTAGCTGTTTATACATCCATCTTCCTGGTCAGATCCCCAGCGCTCATCCATTCCACTAGCAAACAGAATAGCTACCAAAACCAGTTTGGCTCAGTGGACAGTGTGTCGGCCTGTGGACTGAAAGGTTTCCGGTTTGATTCCAGTCAAGGGCATGTACCTTGGTTGCAGGCACATCTCCAGTAGGGGGTGTGCAAGAGGCAGCTGATTGATGATTCTCTCTCACTGATGTTTCTAACTCTCTTTTCCTCTCTTCCTCTCTGTAAAAAATCAATAAAATATATATTTTAAAAAATAGAGTAGCTAAGATGAGCAGCCTTTGCT